TAAATTATTTTAATTTAATTTAAATTATTAACGATATAAATTAAAAGGAAAATAATAAATATATAAAAAATTAAGTAAAAATAAAATAAAAAAATACATTTTTTAACGAAATTAAGTTAAAAATAAACTTTAAATATATAAAGTTTTTAATAATATCGTTCGAAATTATATAATTTTCTAAATAAAAAAATATATTAATTAAATTATAAAAAAATTAACTTTAATTATAATTATTATTTAAAATTATTATTTATACGTATTTATTAAATTAATTTAAAAGTTATAAAATTATAATTAAATATATTTAATAAAATTATTATATTAACTTTTAAAATTAACTTAAATTATTACGGTTTTTCGAATTTATTATTTAATTTATTATTTTTTATTTACATTTTAATTATTATATTAAATTAAAACGTAATAATTTTATATTATAAAGGTATTATTTATAAATAATAAAATTTTTAAATGCGTTTTTATAAACTTTTATAAATAAAACATTATTATAATAAATTATTAATTATTAATAAATAAAAAAGTAAAAAATATATAAAAATAATCGTATAAATATTTAAAAAAAAATATTTAATTCGAAATAAAAAATTATATTAAATTTTTACATAAAATCCATTTATAAATAATTAATTAACATAATAATATAAAGTTTATATTATGAAAAACGAAACATTTTATTATAATTTAATATTTTAAAATAATTAAATACGTACTTACCGTGTTACTTAAATACGTAAATAACTTAAATAAAAAAATAATTAAAAACGACCGATGTTATTACGTATTATTAACATTAAAATTATATATTTTATATTTAAAAAAAATTAATATAATATAATAATTATTTATTTTATATATTTATTATATTATTATTAATTAAATTATTTTAAAATAAATATAAATAAAAAAAAATATTTTTTTTATTAAATTTAACTTTTAATAATATTTAATTATTAAATGTTTTATATTTAAAAATTATTATAAAGTTTAATTAAGAATTAATTAATTACGTGTTATTTTACTTTACGTTATAATTAATATTATTATAAATTATACGATTTTTAAAGCCGATTAAGGGATAAACGAATTATTAAAAAGTAATATTAACGATTAAAAAAAATGCGATTAACGTAAATTAAAATTTTAATTATAAATTAAATATTAAAATAACGTAATAAAAAATATAAACTTAAATAAAAGAATATATAATTATATATATTTATATTTAAAGGGCGTTTATTATATGTAAATATATTTTAATAATATATAATTATTTATTAATAATAATTTCTTTATAAATAAATATTATAAAAATTCCTTAAATTAAATAAATTATCTCGTATTATATTAATATTATTTTAATTAATAAATATTTTTAGTTTTAAATTTATATAACACATTTTTAAAATAAAAAATATATATTTTATTAAGTTTATTATTATAATAATATTTTTTAACTACGTGATTATAAGTTAAATATTTTATTTTTTAATTTATTATAATATTACTTTTTATTTTAAAAATAATATTTTATTAATTTTTTTTTTATTTTATTTTAATTAATTAAGCATTTTTTTTTAACCGTAATTTAATATATTTAAAACGTTAGCGACGAATATAAATTATTTTATACTTATTATAAATATTTATAAAAAATTTCTTTTATTTTAACATTTTTTCCCGGAATTTTATTTTATTATTAATTTTAATTAATTTTAAAATATAATTAAATTACGATAAAATATTAATATTTTAAAAGTTTACCGTTTATAATTTTTTTTTTTTTTAATAAAAATTTATAAATATTATTTAATAATAATTTTTTTAAATAAATTTAAAACTTTATTAAATATTAAATATTTAATAATTATATGTATATATTAATTTTATTTTTATTACTTTTTTTTTAATTATTATTAAAGTTAACTTTTTAAAAAATGTTTTTATTAATATTTAAATTTATAATTAAACTTAATTATAATATACTTCGAGTTAAATTATAATTTTAATTTATATTATTTATTAAAACGTAATATTTTTTTTAAAAATACGGATAAATGTTTATATAATTAATATTAATATATATACATTTTATAATTTTAAAATAATAATATTAAAGTTTATTATTATTTTATTTTATTATTTTAAAATATAATATTATTTATTTTAAACTTAACTTTTTTAAAATAATAATACTTATAATATAAAAATTTATTATTTTAATAATATTTTATAAAATAATTAAATTTATTAATATAATACTTAATATAATAAAGTAGAATTTTAATATTAATAATAATCATTTTAATTATAAAAGATAAAAACTTAAAATATAAATTTATTAATTAAAAAATTATTAATTAAAAAGAATTTAATATATTTAATAAATAATTAATTATTAAAAACTTAAATATAACTATAAAATCCTTACTTATTATATATATATAAATCGATTATAATAAAAATTAAAATATTTAATTATTATATACGTGATATATTATATAATTAATATACGGAATTTTATTTTTAAATATTTTTTAAGTAATTTATAATTTTATTATTATAAAAAAAATACTAAAAATAAAATTACTTATTAAAAGTAAATTATTATTACGCGTATTAATAATTATATAATAAATAAATAATAATTTAACGATAATTAAATAATAGTTTAATAACGATTAAATAATAATTTAATAACGATTAAATAATGATTTTATAATTATTAATTAATATTTATTTCGTTTTAGTTTAACGAAATGATTAAACCGTTTAAGTTTATTCGAAATATATTATTTATATAAATAATAATATATTTTATTATAAATAAAATATTAAAAAAATAACTTATAAATTTTTTTTTTTTAATATTACATTTTATTATAAAATAATTTACGTTTATATTATAAAATAAAAACGATTTTTAATATATTCATTTTAATATTTAATATATAAAATTTAAATTAATAAATTAAAACATTAAATGTAATTTTAAACGCGTAAAATTTATATTTAATTTTTAAGTGATTTTATAATAAATATTATAAACTTATTATTTAATTAAAGTTTAATTATTATTTAATTAAAGTTTAATTATTATTCGATTAAAATTTAATTATTATTTAATTAAAGTTTAATTATTATTTAATTAATGGTTATATTATATTAATTTATTAATAAAATTTATTTTAAACTTAAATATAATTAATTAAAAACCATTAAATATTAATATTAATATTATTTTTTTAATTTTTATTAATATATATATTAAAATAAAAATTACATTTTTTTATTAACCTTAAATTACGCTTAATTACGAAAGTTTAAAACTTAAATAATTAAAAAAAATAATTATTTTTTAAATAACTTTTATAAAAAAAAATTAATATAAATATATATATAATTTTTTTAAACTTTCGCGTTTTAATTAAAAAATATTATAACGAAATATAAATATAACTTTTATATTTATTATTATTTATTTATTTTATTATTTATTTAATTTTTAATAATAATTAATTAATATTAAATATATAATCGAAATAAGTTTAAATTTTAATATTATATATAACGTTATATTTAAAAATAAATTTACCGTATATATTAATTTATTATATTTATTTTATATATTAATAATAATAAATTTAACGATATTAATGTAATTTTTATATTAAAATTAATATATATAATTTATATAAATATTTTAATTTTAATATAATTAATATAAAAAACCGATTTATTATTATTAAAAATATTTATTTCGAAAGAAAAATTAATAAATAATTTATAAGTAAAATTATTATTTAATTTTTATTTAATTTTTATTTAATCGTTGTTTAATTATTATTTAATTATTATTTAATCGTTATTTAATTATTATTTAATCGTTATTTAAACTTTATTAACTTTTTAATTAAATGTTTTTTATAAATTTATTTTTATAAAAAAATAACATAATTTTATTTTTTTTTATAAATTTAAATTAATAATTATATAATTAATAAATATTATATTAATTAATATTTAATAATTATAATTTATTAAGTAATAATATATTTTAATAAATCGTTAATAATTTAAAAAAAATTACGTAAATTAATATTTAAATACGTATAATATTAATTAAGTTATTATTAATAATAATTAATAAACGAAATTTAAATTTTATCGTTAAATAAAGTAATATATTTTATCGTTTTATATATTATATTATTTTTAATTATATTATATTATAAAAATTAATATATTAATATTAAAAATAATTATAAAATAATAACTTTAAAAAATAATTTTATTAAATTTAATATATTAAACTTAAATAAAAATAATAATATAAATAAAGAACTTATTTAATTAATTATATTTTTTATTAAATAATTTTTAATTAATTTATTATTAAATTAATTTCTTAAAAAGTAAATAAATAATTTTAACTTTTTTAATAAGTTTTTTTAAAATTTATTCGAAATAATTAAAAATATTAAAAAATATAATATTTTATTAAAAATTTTATTAAATTTATTTTTTCTTTTATTATTTAACGTAAAAAAAAACCTCGATAATTATAATTATAAAAATAAATAAAATGTTTATAATAATAATTAATATAAAAATAAAATTAACATTATAATATTACCGGAATTAATAACGATTAACCTAATTATAAAAAAACATCACTTATTTATTTCGAACGGTAAAAAAAATAAAACAAAATTTAAGTTAAATAATAATATTATCCCGTTAAATAAATATTAATTAAAATTAAAACGATAAAAATTATTACAATTTTTCCTTTTTTAAAAGTTTTATACTTAAATTTCTATTATTTTTTAAATTAAAATAAAATTTTTTTTAATAAAATAAATTAATTCGTTGATTTGATTACGTAAGAAAAACTTAAAATGCGGAAACGTTTTAATGCTTTAACGGTTTAAGGGATTTAACCCGCCGTCCATAATCGCAGTTACTTTGTAAAATCGTAAAATTGTAAAATTGAAGCATTGACGTCAAACCTTGACAGTCGCACTTTCGTTATTCAGCGACCTTAAAAATCGTGTGACGTCGCTAACTTTTAAGATTTTTCTCTTTCAACTTCGCCTTTGATATTAATTTTCACTTTCTTTTCTACCTCAACTTCAACATTGCTCAAATTACGCCAAAACCCGCAAAGCGAGGCTCGGCGGCACATGGCGACTGATCCTCGTGCTATAAATCCTTGGGCATCGCAAGAGACCTTAATATCCCTGCTCCATCTCGATCCTACGCCGATAGATAATGCGTCCGTCTACGACAAGGAGCTTCCGCCTTTACCCGAAGAGGCATCGCGATATTCGGATCCAAGTTTAAAGTCTTCATCTCCAGGTTCAACTTCTACTCTAGGTCTGAGTGGTAGTGGGCGAGGTCCAATATATTACTGTACAATCTCGACTCTTTTCACCGTAACCAATGAGATCGCAGCTTTTACTAACCACCTTTTCTAGTATCGCGAATACAGCGCTACTCATCCTATACATTTTCCTTCTTCGCCGGTCTCCATGTCGCCAATACCTCGATATTTCCTCTCGTATATCAGTCCGTTCCGTACTCCGAACCCTTCCTTCTTATGGCACGCGAGCTTTATCAGACACCCCTTACCGAACCTTTACTCGTCGGTCTCCCCGTCGTTGCCCATATTACGTCTGGTGTCGCAATACGACTGCTCCGTCGACGACAGAATCTGAAGCGTTATGGTGGGGCAACACCTGGGATTTGGGCCCTTCACCACTCAAATCCAGCATCAAATCGCAAAAGTACCGTGAGAATATGGCCCTCTCTAAACTACATCTCGATATCCGGATATGCTTTTATAGGGCTGCTCGCTTCACATGTCGGTATAAATCGAATCTTACCCTTAGTAGTAGACGGCGATAGCTCTAATATAGGGTTACAATTCGTGTCTCATGGCTTTGCTCGGCAACCGCTACCGCCATGGATCGCTTACTCTCTGCTATTGTCCATCGGGGTAGGCCATATGGTTTGGGGATGGGCTAAGTGGCTTGATCTCGCACCCCCTGCTAACTGGAAGAAAATAACTGTAGATAGGCAGATGCGGAAGAAGAGGCGGCGCGCCTGGTGGGGGGTCCAGAGTGTCACCGTCGGGCTCATGGCATTATGGGCTGCTGGCGGATTAGGGGTCGTGGCAATAGCTGGACCTGCCGAAGGCTGGCTTGCCACTGTCTATGATAATATCTATAGTGCAGTCGGACACTAGGCGGTTGTCCTCTGGCTTGTAAGTGTGTATATACTCTTGCATAGGCATGTGGCAGCATTCTGGATCGGCATCAGCGATTATCTATCTAGGTAGGACTTAAGGTATCCAACCTTTAATATATAGACATCTAACTCTGTCAATACGATTATAATCAAAAGATAAATTCATATGCTTCATTATTTTATTCGAGAACTAGAACCCCGATGACTGTGAGCACCTGTGTTCTTCCTGGCCAACTACATCTTGACTAGTTGCAATGCTGACTGTAATTACCTTGTCATTGCCCTGTAGCTACGGAAACATCGCCGGTGTTGCTGTTGCAACATAATGAAGGTTCACCACCTAGGTAACACGGCACGATCTGTGGTTAGTGTGTTTGCTTGTTGGATTTCATTTCTTGTTTCATGATCCAGTCCCGCGTACAATGGGTCAATCGAGGACTTACGCATACCTCTATTCAAAACAACGTCTCCAAGGTCCCCCGTGGCCGCATGTGAGTGCCCTCACTTTCATCCTAGCTATAATGCACCTGCATTAACCACGACCGAATACTTTCACACAAGGGTTCACAAGGGAACTATATTGATCACCTTGCACAAATCTTCGGCAGATTACATTACCGCCATTCGATCTTTATAACCTATATACAAAGCACAGCATCATTTGCATATAATAAGGTAAGACACCCTCAACACCGCACCCCGTAGCATACAGCTTTCTGCCCACAGCGCTAACCAACGCACCTACCTAGGTCCCCAAACCCCTCTACTCTACAGGGCGACCGAAGAAAATGTGCACAGACCTAATCATCCTCACGATATGCCCGCTCTGCCAGATCCCGCAGCACACGCAGCTCGTATATCGCCGCGGGTGCGACGAGGCCACGGACCTCGGCCGCGCGGCTAACGACTTTGTCCGCACCTACGGCACTTGCGCCGCGGGACTCGCGCGTGAGACGAGGACCAGAGCCGCTTGCGAGCCATGTGGCGTTTGTCGCTGGAAGGTGTGGATGCGCGGCCGGCAGCGGTTGAAGGGGGTGGATTTTTGGGAGAGAAGGGAGCGGAGAGGTGAAGGTGGCGGTGGTGGGGGGAAGGTTATGATGATGACGGGTGGGGGATGGAGGGTTATTGGGTGAGTGGTGGTGGTGGTGGTGGTTAGGTCTTGGGCTGGAAGGAGGTGGATGGGGGGAGTGGTTCACGGACATGTTGTGTTAAGATATGAGGAAGCCGAGGGCTTAATAGGGGGGATATACCCACGGACTAGGCTTACCTGTGTAAGTCTGCTTCGTTATACCATCTCTGGTATCCGGATCTGGAGCCTTATTCTGTGTCCCTTAATGAACTTATTCTCAATGGTGCTCAAATTGTTTGTTTGTATGATCCTATAATTACTGGAGGTCTACCAAGACATACATTCACACATGTCGGTCATTGAATGCTGTGTCTGCCACCATATCGGCGAGTAACCGTGCTGCGGGCACCCCTTGGAACGATCATAACTAGATAGAATCTACCTACCTACGATACCTAGGTAGGTACCTCACATTCGCTCCTATGTAAATCATAGAATTTCCGCGTCCATCGTCGCCTTCTATGGGTCTATTGAAGGACTAATGGGTGGGTATAAGGATTACTATCGGATTTTGTCATCAGATTTTATTCAGATTTTGTCAATTCCGAATTGGACTAAGATCTACAATGAGGCGTAGACTGGTTGGTAGCTATCCCTGTTCCCCTTTACTATTGGAGGAGTTAAAATCCCATCCAACAAATCAGCGTGTTAGTCTCAACGATTAACCAGGAACCCCGGTCCGCACCCTGGAGCTGCCTGGTCCAAGTGAAGACTTATATTCACATGTCCTGTCGCTCCCTAGAAACCAATATCTGAACGTATATGAAGATGGTATCAGATTTTATTTTTATCCCATTCAAGATTTTAGCAAAATCATACTCTTTTCCAACCAGGGTCGATTAGGTAGGTATGTAGGTATATATTCAGAAAGTTCAGCGACAGTTAATCGTGTGAAATTATAGATAGACGGGAACCCAACATTATTGCTCATGGACACCAGCTTCATTACCAAATACTGAAATGTGTACCTATGCTTAAAGCTACCAACTTTTCTAGCCCATTCTTCAAGTTTGCGATGCCTTCTTCAAACAAGACCCAATCTCCAACTATAGGCAAGAACCGTAGGTAGGTACCTACATAACCTTTAAATCAGCTAATAAAAGATTCAATAACTAAATCATCCTGTAGTCACTCAATCTCCAAAAAGTCATACACACAATCTCATATGCTCCAAAAATACCTCCGTTCCGATGCGATTATATCCGAGCGATGTGTTGGTCTGGTAAACTTAGGCCTGACACGTACGGGGACGAGTAGCCGTCTTGAGAATGTGAAAGATCAGATCAAGCATTTCGACCATGCGTTTTCCAAGAATAGCAGAGCGCAGCAAAATTACAAACGATAGGCAATTGTATTAGAGGAGGAGAAAAGGGGATGAGAAAGAGAGTGTGTGTGATCGGAATTGGACACTACCTAGTAGGTACCAACGGACTCTTCTATAAATTTAATAATAGTTGGGTATTTGAACCTACCTATATTAGATTAAGTTAACACTGTAGTTTTAGCCATGCGACTTTTAGAATAGAACTTTGAATATTGTAATCAATCCTCTCATAGTGGGATCTTCTTCCTTGTTGAGATCTTAACCTTGGGTCTTGTCTTCTTCAACCCCTTCTACCTCCCTCCTCCACTTTGGAGCAAACTTCCATTGAATAACGACACCTAACATCGCGATAACTTGTACAATCACGCAGACTGTAAATGCGAGACCAACACCGATGCTACTGATCATGGGCATTATGAAACTAGTACCGCCAGCGGCAAACAAGCATCGGGCGAGGTTCAAACTTGCGCTGGCCGCGGCGCTCCGATCGGAGAAAATGTCCACGAGGTAGGTCATGACCACCGATTGTGTGGAAACGGCAGTCCAACCGGTAATGAACGTGGAAACGATAGGGACAGCAATATGAACGCGATCGGGATATTGAATCGTCCAGCCGAAAAGAAGGATGGATAAGCATTGAACGGAAGAGAAGACTGGCACAAGACGAAGACGTGCCTTTTCTAGAGGAAAAGAGTCCTCGGGGTTAGTAGCGTGTTGGTCTAAGCTGTTAGACTGTTCGACATCTGAATGGGTAGAACGACTCTCATGTTGCGCTTTGACACGGCGGTAGTCGATATCGAGGACCTTGCCGGTGATGAGTGTGCCTATCATGGATCCTGCGCCGTTGGCGATGAATGTTAGGCCAATTTGGGTATCGGTAAGACCGTATCTTTCCTCGAAAAGAGAGGACATAGCGGTGATACTCATTTGCCAGACAGCGTAGTAAATGGCGAGAAAGACGATGATAGGGGATGCATGTTTGCTGATTAGGATTCGAAGAGGGCCTGTCACATCAATACGTTTTCTCTCGGCGGGCTGCGAGCTAGTCGCTGTCGGATTCCATTGGACCTTGGTGGTTTTCTGATAAATGCGCAGGGGAAAACTGGCGATTGGATTAGATGGTGTCCGACTTCCGTTAGCGACAATGGACCTCAGAGTTTCTGGGAGCAGGATGATTAGGAAGATCAGGAAGACGCCGCTGTAGATGGTCAAGAACCAGAATATGGCCCTCCAACCCAAGGACCCGGCCAGAGCACCTCCGATAACCGGGCCAACAGCTACAGGCACGAGCAGTCCAGCCTGGAATATGCCCATGAAGCCTCCACGTTCAGCACGAGTAGTAATATCGCCGATCACACCAGACCCGATCGCGATCGTACTCGCACTTCCAGTACTTTGCAGACATCTGAGCACAATTAGAGTGGCATAATTCTTTGCCTCTGCCAAACCGACGCATGCAGCAAGAAAGACCAAAAATGTGCAGCAGTAAGCGACCCGGCGACCCCTGACGTCAGAAATTGGACCCCAAAGACTAGGCGCTAACCCCTGGGAAACAAGGTACGAGGTCACAGTGAGGTTGACGAGCTCTACTGACACGTCTAGGTCATGAGCAATTGTAGGGAGAGCTGGAAAATAGATGTTCGACGCGAAACCAGAAACTATTGTTCATATTATACGTGAGAAATTGTACGGAATAATACAACTTTGGGCGGAAACACTTACAAGTTGCTGCTGTTGAAACGACTAGAATTATTAGGGCTTTCTGCCGCTTGTCGAATATGCTGTAAGGTTCTTCCGGAGCTGGTGATGACGGTGGTGACGACACTGGGGGTGTACTTTGACTTTCTTCGGGCTTTTCCGCCATGGCTGGTTTCTGTTGTGATTACTTTATAATTCGAAAGCTCCTAAAGGAGAACTGGATGAATACACATTTTATATAAAGACTTGAGTTACATGATCTCCAGACGGAGTTGACGGGGCGGAGTTGAGGTCACGGAACTGAGAAATATTAGCTAATCAAAATGGGTTCCATAATCGGGTTGAAGCTTGGATCAGTGATCTCACTGCATTTAAACGCCGAGCCCCTGTAAAATTTAGGAACTTACCTAAAGAGGCGCTAGGCACTCCAGCTATGATACGTAGGATCCTAGGTATGGATAATGGCTTCAGCGCCTTGTAACCTCCCTAAGTTTCCTATAATTACAAATTCCTCGGAAATCAATTGGCAGGATAGTAAAATACGTCCATTTCTACACAGTAACTAATATATCACGTCATATTATGTTCATTAAAACATCGTTTCTATCCAGATGCCTCCTAAATATTGCTGCGGGTCTTATGCTCTGAGCATGGCACCTCTTTGTCCCATATGTGTGTCCTAGAAGATAAAGATCATACAGAAAGCGTGATATGATATCCTTCAGTGGTCAAAGTAGCCCGTGATTAGATCATCACGCGACAGGAGTCCTAGTAGTATCGCTCGGCAGGGAGGAAAACGAAAGCTTGTTCGATATACTGCGCATGATCTTGTCGGGACTAATCGAGGCAACCAGGAACCACAACGATGGGAGGTTAACAGCTATAAGGGAAACCCCTGTTTCTAACATGGTGTAAAAGAATATAATGGTAATAATGCCTGGCAAATTAAGTCAGTTGACTGACTAGGTAGGTAGGTAGGTATTTAAGTGATGCGCATGATGATGAGAATATGTGATGAGTTGGGTACTCACGTTCTTCGTCGTGATTGATGAAATAGTCCGGCCCTCCTCTCTCGGCCTGGATATACTGTGTCATGCGGGCTCCAGATGCAAAAAGGCCTATGAATGTCAGGAAAAAGACACCTAAGACAGCGAGCTTTTTGGATAGCGTAGCGTTGAGGCGTAGGATACGAGGAATTGGAAGAGATAGGATCCAAATATCAAGAAGGAAGTCGGAAACCGCAAAGCCATAAAGGTATGGAAACGATAGGGTACAGTATTTTTCATAAGTCCCATCCCATGTCGCAGAGAAATGTGTGCCGCATTGAAAGCCGGTCAGGAACTGGAATACCACAAGCCAAATAATCACCATGATGATGGTAATGATAACGGTAATGTTAAACCAGCATCTATTTCCCCCGACATAAAAGATTCTCCGGTAAAAAAACAGGGCGCTAAGTTTAGAGCATGCCAACGAAGTTGTACCCAATACGTCCCACGCTATTTGAAGCTATAAAGGCTGAGTTAGACGTACTGGGCTTGAGATAAATGACAAAAATGTTCTCTGGGAAAAAGTACCTTTGCTGATAATTCTCCAGCTATCGCAGGTGAAAGCGCATAGCCAATGATATGGTACTGAACCACTGCTAAGTTGGTTAATATCATACAATCGAGTTTAAAAAGGTACTTAGTGATTAGGGGGAACTTGCTAATGATGGAGATAATTGCAGCTCCAGCAAAAGATATCTGAGGACAACGTTTTGTATTAGCACGGGCTTTGAGCTACAACTTCTAACTCTCCGGTAGAATGGATTTGTACCAAGCTGGCCACGGTCAGCACATCATCAGTCATAATAGGCATATGTGTCTTATTGCGAGCGTGAAACCGGAGCCCTACAGCGATACTCGACAGACTCAACATGCTACCACAGACTGCTAGCACTCCATCTTTCGATTCACTGGACATGTTGAAGATGGATTTCTGTAGGAACAAAATTTTCAATTGTAAGTACTAGGTATAGGAAGCAGACATAGGCTCTGCAAATTTTGGACATAGCATCTTCGGAAGGATATCACACCATATAAGTATCTGGCATTAGGCTGTAGACATGCTGGAATTTCCATGGTGCCTAGGTAGGTACCTAGGTAGGTTGCCGATGGGTATGTGGCCGAATGATAGATTGCTTTGCTCAGATCATATTCCGATACTCTCAGGATTGGGGAAATACAACGAAATAGGTAGAACCTAGCCTGCAGATATGTTGTCGGGTTCATGCTCGGTAATTGGGTAGCATAAAAGGGTTATGCAGCTGCAATTCCTAATCACTTATAACTACTAACAACCAACAACCAACAACTATACCACCACCTCCTTGCACTCTTCTTTTCCACTTGCGCACAATTAGGTAGGTTACCTAGGTACCTATGAAGTGGGTACCTATCTGGACGACAAAGTCAATCATAAATGTGAATATGGATAGGGGTATTCACCGATGACAAGGATGATACGATGGCCCTGTAGTGTAACCAACAAGAAAACACTTCCAATCGCCGTATGGTATGGTACATACCTGGGCACCTACCTACATGTAGGAAAGTTGCAGTTAATTTACATTCCTCAAAGGGTATCCATACCTAGGTACCTAGGTAGATTGAACTCACAAACGGCTCAGTAACCTTGCCCCAGAGGGTGAAAAGAAGCGTAAAAGTACAATACCTCTTATCGGTTAACTGATGGCGTAGGTTTACATAAGCCGTGCTTTGTCAAGTCTAGGTCATATAAATAGGATCTTTCCTCACTCTTACATTTGGAAATGTTGATTTCTATCAATCAGTGTTGAAACAACATCTCAATTATACCTACCTATACTAGTACATCGTTTGAATACTCTTATTTCTGCGTGCTTTACTTCCAAAGCCTGACGATGGCGAAAATTCCCACGTCAGAAGGACAAATCCCTTTTCAAATTCCTGGGGAAAATAATATTTCTTGTTCGACCTATTACAAGGTTTTCGGCGATCTTGCGCGGGACGCCCCGGCTGTAGTAATCCTTCATGGCGGCCCTGGTGGTGGGCATGAATACTTGCTCTCTTTCGCAGAACTTTGGCCTCGCTACGGTCTCCCGGTAGTTTTGTACGACCAGATCGGATGCGGTGCTTCAACCCATCTTCCTCAAATGGAAGGTAACAAAGGTTTTTGGCAAGAGTCTCTATTTGTCGCTGAATTGGATAACCTCCTCGACCATCTGAAACTTCGTGAAGGCCCTGGATTCCACTTGCTAGGCCAAAGTTGGGGAGGGATTCTGGGAGTTGCCTTCGCTGCCAGCCGACCTCGCGGTTTGCGGAGACTGGTATTGGCCAGTGCACTGGCCAGCATGGAGCTTTCTGTGCAGAGCATCCAACTCTGCAGAAGCGAGCTTCCAATGAATTCACAGAGAGTGCTAGATAGATGCGAACAGGAGGCTGATTACGAGAGCCAGGCTTATAAAGAAGCTCTGACTGTCTTTCATAAGATGTTCGTGTGTCGAGCAGAGCCAGTGCCGGCGGAATTAATGCTTGCATTCCAACATCTTAGCGATGATCGGACAGTTTATGGCACCATGTAAGCTGATGACTATTTATTATATGTTCTTCTTTTCTCGTTCTCCTCCCCTTACCCCTATTTATCCATGTAATCTGAGAGAGAAACTCGAGTGTTCACACTATTCTCGGTTTCGACTTGGTTCTTCGACTACACATACTTATATCCTATGGTCGTATAGGTACGGACCCTCTGTTTTCAAATGTACGGGCTCACTACGCAGCTGGTCGAGCATACCATGCCTCCCACAGATCACGGCCCCTACTTTAGTCTATAACGGAGAGTATGATACGTCGCGCGATATATCGCAGGAGCCGTTTTTTGATCACATTCCACGTGTTCGCTGGATCACATTCCAAGGAGGAAGTCATATGTGTCATCTTGATGCTGGTGGCCTCGGGGAACGGGTTTTGAAGGTGGTGGGTGAATTTCTGATGCAGCACAAGGCGGTTGCATTACAGCCCTGATATCATGTTATCTTCAAGTCTATCAAATGTTTTGGATATGTAGGTACCTAGCATATTGGGTACCTAGGTAGGTAGAAATTTTATTGAATCGTATTAGTATAACTGAATTGACCCTAACAGGTACCTAGAGGTACGTAGGTGGGTACGTAGCGACTTATATGATATGCTACTCACGTAGGTACGTATTGAATATATGAATGTGAGAATGTATCAAGTCAGAATATATTGAGCGTTTTGAAGGGTACGGGTAAACAGTTTTAATGTGGTAATTACCTCCTAGACGACAGTTTTGTTAGTTCAAAAAATGGCGCAGTGATTGAGTTGTTGGTGTGCTATGCGGGAAGGAAAATCGCCCACCCACATTCTATACTAGGTGGAGGTGCGTGGGTACCGGGTAGGTACTAGGTAGGTACCTAGTAGGTACCTGAGCAATCAATATTTCAAACCAACCGTGGCGGCCTTGAAATTATGCATATATATACCTGTATTTAATCGATAATTTACCCCAACCGTTATAAGATACTCAAAATTCCCTATGCCAACTTAGGAGGTGTAATATCAGGTGTAAATATTAATAATGATTGGTACTTAATACCTGCCGCCGGATCCGATAAATAAGACTTCTTTCATATGTTATGCCTACCTCAATATCTCTAGATAAAATGAAATTGACATCTGCCATTACTTCGATAAGTTTGGAAGATGTTTCTTTGCATTCTAATAACATCAAGTATAGAGTTATAGCTTTAGTAAATTCTGACGTATTAGGTGGCATAATACTAGAGGAAGAAAAGGTTTTGATTTATGAATAGGTAGGTACCTAGTAGGTAGGTAACAGGTGGGTATGTGAAGGACTACTACCTTCAATACATTTCCCTACCTACCTACCTACTTACCTGGGTAGGTACCTAGATACCTAGGTAAACTTTTTATAGGCATACGGATTACTCTAGAGGTTTATTTAATCAACGGTTCTCATACGGGAATTCAATCTTCAAAATTCGCGCCTACAGAAAAGGGGGGAGGTTCACGAGTCCTCACCGTTCTGTCGTAATAACTGCATTATACATCTCACTTTACGGAGGCATATTGGAAATCATATTTGTCGCACAACGTTAAGTTATCATTCACTGCCAACTTGCAGGTAAGCTCTTCCAACTATGTAAGGTGTTCAAATCCTATGCCTGGGTGATATTGGAAACGGAAGCCCGCAAGACGAAGGACCGGCTCGCCAGTGACTTATCTCTACTCCTAGACGGTACATGCTTTGGTATAGATACCGCTGACAAACTTTATGATTGACCCAGTTGATTCAAGCCTTGATGACACATCTCGGCCTCACCTCGTCTCGCGAGTTCAAAGTTCCATGTGCTACAGGTTCTATCCGTTTCCCTGTTAGTATGAATGTCTACCATTGTTATAGACGATTTCTTGCAAATTTCTCACCAGCAGGGGTACATCCTTCAGCCGCATCGATTTCTATCATCTCCCTGTCTTATCAAGGTTAGAAATTTTGCTTCCTTCTTCGGCTTCTTCGACTTACCGGGGATTGGCGTAGCAAGCCCGATGACGATAAACGCCAAAACAAGAAAAGCTGAGAACGATACGCAATGCATTTTGACTCGTGTACGAAGAAGTTTTTGATCGGGGTTAACTAATAGTAAATCGAAATACAGTATTGGTGCTGAATCTGGTATTTTAATAGAGATTCGAAAGCTCTGTTTGAAAAATAGGTTAGAAACTGGAAACCTTGGAACATAAGGAAAGAATAGGCCTTTTAAGCTGAACTTTCTATCGTAGGTAATAGGGTTGGTAGGACGTAATACTTTCCAGGTTGTTAGATATGCCTAGGTAACCAACTGACATCGTGCGCTTAGGTGATCTCTATCAAATATTCAGTCTTGCCGTTCCATTAACAAATCTATCAACTAGGTAGGTACCTATTTATTGCGGTTGGTGATTCGGGGGCCGTATCCGGGGCATATATATCCCCTGAACTAGCGGTTCTCAGGGATTAAGGAGCGGAAACACAGCTTCCTGCATACCTTGGTACATACGCACTGTCTGTCGAGTACCTACCTAGGTATGGACCCTGTGAGCTAAAGTTGGATATGTAATGGTCCCTTGTGAGAGGGATATGATCTTTTGTATATTTTATCTCGTACCAGCTGCACCAGTAAAGCTGTGACGCAGAAGTAGCACTCCTTCCCGGTAATTATCGAACTGCTGTATCGGGGGGTCGGGTGTAGTTTCCGTTCTTGTCATGGGGTGTATTCTACCTACTTCATGAGATAATGCGACCCTACTATAATTGACTAAAAGCGCCTACGAAGGGGCCTCTTCCGCCACCAGAACGCCTCAAGGCTACATATTTGACCTATGTAGTGGACCTTGTGACGCTTGATTAGTTGCTAACATACATATTCAAAATGCAGAAGGAAGCCAACAGTCTCAGATTAACTAGGTAGGTAAAGTGAAAGTGTTAATTCCTGATGTGATTCATGATATTCAATCCCGCCCATCTACTACAGCCTGCTCCTTTTCTCGAAGGTACTATTAGGGTGTGTTTTACTCTACATTCGCTACCTCATGTCTATTATTATCTGTATTAGATGACCAGGAAATGGGCTTTTAACCCCCGAAGTCCTTAATTACTACTATGGTACTTATCAAGATAAAAAACCAAGCTCTCAATACTACTGGATTATAGCGAAATTCTAAATCTAGTTCTCCATAAAATTCATCATGTCACATGAAAACGAAAAGTTCCTACTTCACGAAGACCATAGTAGGCCGAGCGATATGGTTTTTGACCAGCATCTGCGGGATCATAAGGCGTGCTGCGCGTCGGAAAATGGATGTCGATCCTCGGAACACCACCTTCGCATTCCGACCTTTCTTTTGTCGCCTACGTATATCCTCATTTTGCACATTTTCTGCTTCCTACTTGGGATATCCCTTGTTTTGAAAACCATTGGAGGAGTTACTGGTATGTTAAAACTTCACAAATCCAAACAAAATGACTAGAACAAAGAACTGGTGGGCCGGGAACTCTTTCTAATGCCCTCACAGATGTCAGTAGCTACTACTCGGACTGGGTCCCTATCTCCCATGAGCTGCTACGTGAAGAGGCATTGGACACGCCAGAGACCAAATTCACAGGATTGCCAAATGATGTTAACACGAAAGCCTGGGATGATCTCATAACGCGTGAGTATTCTCTTCAAATTATTGGGGGATCTAAATACTGAATGAATAGCAACCTTTTTCTCCGCTTCAGAAGAAGATCTGCAAATGACCGGTGAATCGATCGATGACTCAGTGCTCCTAGCTGATGGAGGCTATCTAGCAGGACTTGGTGTTTACCATAATATACACTGCTTAAGACGTTTACGGCTTTTCTTGCACAGTAATTATTATTATGGAAACCTCTCGGAGACTAATATGGAATATTTGCGTGGGCATTTGGGTAAGAACGCTCCGTATATACATTTCTGGGAGCCATTGAAGGAACTCCTCGTTAAAAGTTGATGTCGCTTATCAAGATCCTTCTAGGTCACTGTATTGAATCTCTCCGCCGCAGCATAATGTGTAATGCGGACACCAGTATATACACTTTTACTTGGACGGGTGCTGAATTGGTTCGACCAGGTGTATGGAGGCCAAGTCCAAAATCGAATCAGGACAGGAAATGTGTCATATGGGAACCACTAGAGAACTGGGTTACGGAGAGACGGGTTCCACTCAATCCAATATTGTTGAAGCCTAGTGGAGAAGAGGAAGAGATTTTGATGATTTGATAACAAAGAGCGAGGTGATGCTTGAAGGATTTCCTGGATGGCTATCTTCAAACTGAATAGCAGTTAGAGTTGACTAACAGCAGCTAGGTTAGGCTATTTCGAATATTTACTACCGACCCTGTTCCTTGACACCAAGTGCATGTGGGTCCATTTTGGCGATGCCTCTTCCTAGTGCGTGATAAGGTACTACCTAGGTAGGTAATAGGTAACAATCTTTCCACTGGAACTTAGAGGGCAACTGCTATACATTAGGGGCTAAGTTACTGGAGAAAGACCTGCGCACGGTCTTTTAAACTTCAACCATATGTGCTTAACCGCCATGAGTACAGCTTGTTACTGTATAGATCATTGTTCCGAATTCATCAACACTCTCTAGCCATATATCCACTCGGTTGCGCCTCTCAAGACGGGCGGGCTCATCCAGATCTGCTGGCATCGGCCAGAGTTCATCGATACGAAGGCCTTCCTCTAACCAATCTGTTAGATATATGTTGTAGGCTGTTTCCCACCCTTGTCGTGTCTGGGATGCCCATAAATGCTTGCTTATAGGGGCGGGTAAGCCTTGAAGCTCTGTGCCGAGAAACGTTTGAAGGCCGTCTTGAGAAGAAAGGACGCTGTCGAAGAGATACATCGCAAACAGGGTTCGTCGCTTTGCCTCGGCGACAATCCAGGCCTCCCATTTGGGACGAGCATGTCGTTGTTCCGCTATGCACATAAGTCCTCCTCGGCTGCTTGAGCATGCGAGCTGTTGGAGGTTCATCATTGCTTGTCGAAAGGATATACTAGATATCTGGCTGAGCCTAAAAAATAAGACCATAGAGTAAATTAAATAAGCTTGGAAGGCTGCAAGCTGAGTAACATTATCGTATTCCATATAATGGTCAAAGAGATTACTCATCTCCCGTCCCAATACGTCCGCAGCAACTCCCTCGCTTCCCGGCAAGGGGTTTTCACAGATGCGAATTAGACTCAAGCAAGTTGAAAGCGGCAGACTCGCGGATGCGCTCATCACCTGCGAAGCATGTATAAATGGCGGAACCCCGCGACCGCGGATCGCGACAGCAACATACGACTTAAGGATCCTATAGATAAACGATGTTATGTTAGGCGGGTACTGTTTAATCTTTTGACCGGAGACAGGGATATAAGCATGTAGCCAGCGATTGCTAATATCGTCAACGTTGATAGGGCTAAAGAGTTCTAAGCTTGAAAAATCAAGTGTGTCTGATTTCGTAGGTGGAAGAATTGGGATTTCCGGCCCTGGCTCCTTTGCCTTTGGAAGATAGTTCCCCGCGAATGTTTCGAAGGAAGAATTAATTGGGCTGGCATCACCTATAACTAGCGTTGATTCAGTTGTCGCACTGCGAGCATCTGCAGCAGCGGGGATTTCGCACTCGGGACTTGGAAGTAAGTCCCCGGGTGCGGAAAGAGTATTTCCGCCCGTGCTATCTGTAGAGGCGGTGGGCAGCAGAAGGTGAGGGTAAGAGCATGATAGGCCTCGAGAGGCGCATCGAGTGCAACATCCTACTTTGCGATCGCACTTCGCCTTCGCAGTTGAGCAGCTATTGCAAGCCTTTTGGCGCGAAGTAGAATACCTCGCAGCCTTCATGATGGCATCGAAGAGTATGCATTGATCGGTCGTTAGTCGGTATTTACGTGGGGGTGTTCAGTCTTGTTGAAGCGTGTTGAATATAAAATGCGACTGGAGAGTGAGAGTCCAATTGAAGAGATGGTAGGTACCTACTAGGTACTAGGTGGTATCTACCTAGTAGGTACCTAGTTATGTCAGCGATACAGAATATAACCAGATTTATTGGAATATCCGCCCCGCTAAATGATTTTCTCTCAAGGTGCACGATTATAGGGAACTTGTGGGATACTAGGCGCTAATTTTCTAGGGACTTTAGCGCATCATTATCTTCACTTGGACTAGGGCGCTAGGCTGCTAGGAAGAACTAGAATTCGACGGGGCTGCGGGGTTGACCTTCAGGGGGCTAACTAATACCAGGTAATCAAAAACCGTCCACGAGAATGATGTGCTAGAACCCCTATAACTTCAACCCCTAGTAGTCCCTAATCTCCCTAGTTTACAAGGAATTAGCGGGAAATCACAGTATCGATAGAGTGCGTCCATGGATATATGTAGGTACTAAGTATTCCTTGACGATACCCGAGTACCTTTGGACTTATCTATTTCTATTCAAATTTCTTGATCAGATCGCTGATTTCAACAGCTTCAACTTTCAAATACCTAAAGTCCACCATCGGAACCCCACCAAGAATCCAAATATGGGCGCGCTCTTCGGTCCACTACGTCGCCCCTGTGAAACCCCGCGATTGAAGCAATTCGCGATTGCGACAAGGTTATAGACATACTACAAGACGCCACTCCTAAGTTTCGTTCAATAGCAAATCTGAAAGATTTCCGTCCTCTTTAATGTCTATGGTACATTAATAGACTATGAAAATGGTCTGCCATCAACCCAATTAGCAACGGGAAACTCCCGACATGCCCTATTCTCAGCTCTTGACTATTATACACTTATGGGTGGTAAAAGCTAGGGTTGGCGCCGCTGACGACGGAGGAGTTATAAGCCTTCGGCAACTCCGTATTAAGCTAGCCAGCATTCCCAGATACTGTCGCTGCATTACGTCGATTAGTAATCCATTATAAATAGGCGGTATCGTCGAATATTGATCACGCTTCCTTTGGTCTTACTAATTCCGGTCTTCTACAAGGATTCGGCTCAGAACGTCGGCTTGTACAAGCTAAATCCCTAAAACTTCGAACGTATGCTCAAATATGTCAAATAGAAGTTCCACAGGCAGCACGGAGTTAGTCTCATGATCACCCCGCGCGGGCGATGGGAATTACCTGACGCAATCATGGGAAAAAGGATGCAGGAGATATATGACTGGAAGTTCAAGACACGGCCGACACACTCGAAGCTGAACTAGGCGCTTCCTCGATAAATAGGAATAGTCTTGAAGGTATATGGTTTGTCTTGCGGATCCAAAGCCTTCTCCTCGACATTCTCTTGCATAAGGTATAGCAAGGCGCATTGTCACTAACTAGATAGGAGTCCACTACCTAATCTAACCCCTATGCCTGCATGATTTTCTCGAACATCTTTACACGACTTGTCCAGCTCCTACATCTCTTTCCGAAGATATACATCGGGATTGCGCAGATGCAGATGAAGACGTGCACACCCCCGATTATACAAAATACCTCCTTTGGGCCCTGGCTACTAATCCAATCGGATATAAAGTAGTTCATGCCGAACGAATAGATATTCCTCAGATTGATCGCCGCAAATGCCTCTGGAGCTTTGTCACGATGGCAGTCTGTCAAATAACCATAGACAGCAATGGTCATGAACCCCACACTGAAATACTGCAATCCATAGAATATCACGGGCGCAATCCAGGGGTCTTGCTCTTGTAACGACCATCCAAACCCGAAGAAAGATAGGCCCCCAAGAATCAGAGTAATGATGATGAGGACGAGTCTGAACTCGGGCTCATATATACCTCCGTTTCTCCTCGACATCGCCTTAATGATCCAGTCTGCGATAGGCCCAGATATAAAAGCTCCCACGATTGCGCCGATAAGTGAAGCGATCGAAACAAGCCCGACTCCAGAAACGCTAAAGTTGTACGGGGGAGCTGTGAATAGCTGAGCCAATACGGAGCCCACCACCACCAGCCAAGAGGTCGTAAGTCCGTACGCGAAAAATGAGAATAGGACTTGCGGGAATATGAGCATCATCAATGGTCTGGTGAGAACTTTCCAGAACGGATCATCCGATACTCTTCCGTGGAATATTTTCAAATCATGCCAGTAACTATGCTTCTTTTCCGACCACGCAATATCGGCCACAGCACTTTCTATAACTTCAATTTGAATCTCAACGTTCTCAGCCCTGGGCGATTCGCTGTCGGACTTCGTCTTCGGGTTGTTGTCCTTGGCTAGCTCTTCTTTGTTGCTCGGCCCTAACCCGAGATCCGTATTCAAAGAATCGTCCCTTCTATATGCGGTCTCGGGACAGAAAAGGAATAGAACGATTATCCATACTCCGAACATGATTGCGCATATGCCATAGGTCCAGTTCCAGCCCAGGTTTTGGATGATGTAACCGGAGATAATCGTACCGCCCCCAACTCCAATTGAAAGACAGAGGCCCCAGGCTGCGAGCCGGACTCCGCGTTGGTGTACAAAATAAATGTCCGCTATCGTCGTGGTTACCAAACTAGAATGTGTCAGATGCGGTCTATCGACATATTCGAAAAGAAACATTGATGCCTACACTTCAAACGGGGACATGCCTATACACCCCACAAGCCGGAAGCCAAGCAAACTATTGAAAGTATGCGAGTAGTATCCTCCAATACTGCTGATGAATAGTAGCAGGTTACCGAGGAGAAAGACGGGCCTACGGCCCCAGACAACAGCCATGGAATTGGTGAAGAAACATGACAGTCCAATCATGAGGATACCATATCCAAGATCACCATTGAGCTTGTTATACGAGATTCCGAACTGGGAGGTCATTTCGACGAAACCTGGAGTGATCATTGGCCCCTAATAATTGCGATACGCGATTAGCTTAGTGGAACGGGACGTTGTACCAATCTGTTCAATTGAGATTCTCTCGCCAAACACTGGTGTAGCAGGTATCAACGTCAGAAAGAGACTTACCCAAGCGCCCACGACAGCCGTATCAATACATATGAAGAATAGCATGAGATCTTTCTTCCATAGAGGCCAATTTAATGGGTCATTTGGACTGTTGCTAGGTTGCGGTACCAACACGACATCCGAGTCTTTGCCCTTTCCGTGGCGCAGGGCCGAGGCGAGCTCGCCATGACGGCGATAGTTATCAGAACCGACGACATCTGTCAGAAGAGCTGTGCCAGGCACATGAGAAAGATGCCTGTCCTCGAGAACCCCGAGTCCCATGATGATGGAGTCCTTTTTGATTCCGTAGGAGTTCGATACTGCAGAAGATTAGCACCTACCAGGCAAATCCTTCGTAAGGGGCGGCTAATACGACTTATAGCCACGACGCAGCAAGGATATCTCCAACTCTTCATAATAACCCCCCTATACTATTGGGGTACGCTTAATTTGATCAACACGGGAGATGGTAGGTTCTTACCATCCATCTTGCAGTCGATTCTCATCGATTGCGGGGAACCTTGTTCAAACCTACCTCCTAGTCCTTGAAGGCATCGCGGCACTGGAGTATCTTCAGCTGAATGAGGTATGAGTGTTAACCAATGCAGTATTCGAAGAGGGGAACCAGGGTCCCATTGACCAAACCCGAGGTCTCTGGCGTTTCCAAACTTGTCTACCCCCCATGCAGCAAGACATGGTCGTGTATCCTAAATTCGGCAGAGATTCATCGTCGCAGTCCTGTTGTGTAGCATTAATTGGCGACCTCCATGACCACGGTGATTCTAGGCGTTCCCGGGTTATTCCACTTATAGTATATGCTCCCTAATCAGCGAGCCTTAATCCGATGCAAATATTATATACTAAATAGATAGTAGGTAGGTATGCACACAGGATTGACCCCCCCAAATTAATTGTGGCGTTGCGATCTTCAATTTTAGCTCGGTATTATCGCCCAACGTACCTACTGCAAAGTCAGTCGACAATATTAATCGATCGTCGATCGGAAAACCCCAAATGCAGGTCCGTGAAATGAAACGGAAGGATTGGAGCTCATAGTTTTAGGCGATGCGATGCATACCTCCTACAATTTTAGAAGATGACTGCGATTGACTACCTAAGGTATATCAACAGTCGGGTTCGGATTCTATCGACCTGCGAGAGGATTGCGTGTGGTAGAGACGTGCCATACTTATGAATATTAAGACGCGGTTACCACGTGAATGAAGGAGGTATATAGGAAACAATCGTCGTAGACAGACTATGAATTTTCCAAAATGAGGTCCTGCTCAAAAACGCCCTTAATAATATCCAACATATACAGGTAGAAAACGATGGGCTTCTTCTCGCCAGTTAAATTGTACTCCTAGTTACTCCTAATTGACTGCGTCGAAGTTTCAAATTGGAAGATTCCTAGGTAGGTACCGAATTATTCAAGTTCCCAACTAACTAGGCGCCACTTGGAAGAAGTATGATGGCGGATCTGAGGACCCCAGACCAGCAGTGGTACCACGAGAGCCATCAAGCCACCGAAAATACCCCCCAGTGTACCAAAAGCCTAAAGAAGTCATTAGCCATCGGAGCTCTAAAGGTATCTTTGACTGCACAATTACCTTGGAATATCCCATGTTATCAACCCAGGGCACCACTCCGTGGACTAACCCGAATGCGACAATGTTTTTAATACCATTGATCATCTCCAAGCATTCAGCTGAGACAGGGAAATAGCAATCACAGACATATGTCATAGTTATGCTCGCAGATCCCGTCAAGCCAACACTCATAAGGCCGTATGCCGTAAAAATGACCGGCCAACTCATCTGTTGCTCCACAGAAAAGCCGAAGAGCACTATTCCGGTGAATACTATAATTGTAGGGACGATAAAGAGAAAAAGACGTGTTTCGGGAACAAAGACACCATTGTTGCGCTTGGCACAGTACGCCGCCCATCTGTCTATGCAGACACCGCCAATAATCGCTCCAAAGGCTTGTCCAACTAGGGGTAAAAGTTAGCGTTTGACTAGGTACCTATGCCTGATGGCTTCATAAAGAAATGTGGGCAACATGATAAAGACAGGAGGCGACGACTTGACATACTCATTCCAGGGATATTTATCAAACCCACTGCGCCGACGGAGAAGTTATAAGGCGGGGGAATGAGAATGGTCGAGCTGACAGCGTTTACCATGACAGTCGGTGCAAGTGCTAAAGAGTCTTCACCAAGTTAGCATTATTTCTTCAGTAGAGATAAAAGGGCAATTACACGCAAGAGCTGCAAAGAAGCATGCCGGGTAAGCCAATAGAGGTATGGGACGAAGTAGCAAGCTCAAGTACGACGCATCTGAAGCGACTCCAGACCAAGGGTTGAGAGACTGGAGATAAGTCTTGCGATTATACGTGGAGCTCGGCTCATCTGACGACGGGCTTCTGTTTCCGACCTCCAGATGCTCAAATTGATCTCCTTGAACCTTTTCACTAGGGCTTTCAGAGATTGCACTTGAATCCGATCTCTCGACGATACTTGGCGACCTTCTGAACCTCGTCTCGGGGGCAAAGAATATTATCAACAATAAGTTTACACCTAGAAGAATGGCACTTAGCCATTTCCCCCATGCCCAACCCTTGTCTGTTGAAGTGGTTAGTTTTTGATTTTCGCATCTGAACACACCCCTGCCAAGAAAGTCGAGTGTGGTTATACGTACACTCAATTAGGTAGCCGCCACATAATGGCCCTAAACTACTGCCAAATGCGATGAAGATAATATACCAGGACATCTTTGACCCTCTTTCGTGCAAAAAGTAGATATCCTAGGCAATAAAAGATCAGTGATCTAGAACCCGAAACCCCTAGGCGACCTGCTTTTTAGAGGGGGGCATTTACATTGATAATTGCAGCACCTAGAGCTTCCGAGGCTCCTCCGCCAAACCCGCCGAAGATACATCCCCCCAGCAGACTCCCAAAATCAGGAGAAGCAGCAGCCCAGATTGCCCCAACAAAGGCAATTGTACAGGATACGATAAACACTGGACGTTTCCCGAGATATATCGCCGTAGGGACCCAGATGAAATTCTGGTCGGAGATAAGCTCAATGGTCGTATTAAGGCCGAAGGATAGGGGGAACTCACAGATATGCCCTGAGTAAGAACTATCCAAGAAAGAAGACCGGAAGCATCATCAAGAGATACGTGGAGGTCTTCGGAGATAGGTAAGAAGCTATCCGAAAGTACAGTCCCACTAAAGTTGTTCAGGCACGAGAAGAGGCAGATAGTCAGAAAGACGACATGTTTGCGCCATTTTGGCCACCTCAACGGGTCATTGGGATCTGAGGATGGCTGTGGGAATAGGACAGTGTCACTGCCCTGTATATGCTGCTGGGAGAGATTTCCTGGGATTCAAGTCAGATTTGGAAAGGTCACGTTCACGCAATAACGTACCGTTATACAGTTGAACTGTGCCTTCGCTTGGATCCAGCTCCCTGAGCGACTTGAGTTGCATCCTACTGACGTGAAGATGTTAGAATGATGATGAAACTAGACTTTAGAAAACTATGAGAATGCAGTCCTGGATTAGGACGAGAAAGAAGCAGGCTCACTAGAAGATAATAAAGGGCGATTGGCCGTCAGGTAAGTATTCTTGGTCGGAACATAATACACGGTCATCCGTAAAATCCTAGTTCCAAACCGCGAACTCTTTCGCCAGATCTACAGCAAGGATATTGCGTAAGCTTACATGTACGATAATTACACAGATAGATATTATCTTCCAACATCGTTCACCTTCTCTTCGTTTGTCCGAATCGAGATACATTCACATTCCGGACCCCCACCGGCCTCCACCGGCCCGGTGTGGAGCCGACGATAACGCAGGGAAGGGATGAACATTGAAGGATCCATTTCGTGGATAACGAACTGCAGACACCCGAAAAGGTCTTGGCAATGGTACTACTACAGTAGGTACCGAGGATGCTACACACCTACGCGTATCCTGCTCGGCACCTGCCCTATCTATCTCCATAGAACAGTCACAAATCTAACTTTAACCATTTTAGCCATTCCCCGCAATACGCTAAATTGGTTGTTCCACAGGTTACACGTCTTTCGATCTCTCTAACTATATACAGGTAGTAGGCTAAACCCTTATTATTCTTCTGTTTCTAAATCCCGATTTATACTAATGTGGCCTTATGATTGGCTATTCACTAACCTAAGTGTAGGTACATAGGTACCTACTTACCTAGTCTAACATTACTAGGTACGACGTACTACCTGGTGGTACAGTACACGTACTTTAATGCTTTCGTGAGGCACAAACACCTAGGATCCCTTCCTAGGGTCTTTTGAACAAGCCCCTTTGAACTTTAACAACTAACATTCAAAGACCCGTGACCATTTTCTATCTAGTCTCCAATCAACACCATGAAATTACTATTCTTTGTGTGCAACTCCCCGGATCTTCCGACTCAGTCTTATGGACAAACGCTTGGTGTGACAGTGTAACAGTGAGACAGCGTCGAGATTCGCGCAGACTTCATTTCTGACATCAGACCATACACCTTGTATCCTGTATCCAGAATCTTACCAACCGATGTTAACTGGATCGTTATTCGCCGGGCGGTGAGGTGAAAATGGCGTTCTGCACGTATTGCGGCAAGAATTTCCAACGCAACGAGCATTTGGAACGTCATTTGGTAACTCGTGAGTGAGCTTCTGTACTAGGTAGGACAATGACACATCGAACTCGACATCTAACATTTTCGCAGACACCAATATCAAACGCTTTAAGTGTTCAATATGCCATATCTCATTTTCTCGGGGGTTCGTTAGCCTTATATCTATTTCTTAATAACAGCATAATGATTGCTAAATTGCTAATTATTTCTACCTACCTAGTGATGTGCTTCAAAAGCACCTAGCAATCCATGGGGATGTTGATAACGACTCTCCTCAAGGCGTTGCTAGGGTGAGGGCCCGGACTCAGACAGCATGCCGCAATTGCGCTAAGATGAAGGCTAAATGTGATTCAAATTCGCCATGCAACAGATGCCGGTCAAAGAAATTGACCTGTGATCGCCAATCAAAGAGGACACGAGTAACCACTGTCTCGGACCAGTCTCAGCACGCACGCATTGACGGCGATAGCAACTCTCCGGAACTTACAAGCAGCCGCGAAAACGATGATATCAATGAGCCGGCGACGCACAATCAACACACTCATAGCGTGGACCATGTCGAAGTACGATTTGAAGCCGATTCACAACCACAGAAGGAATTGGGCATGTTCATTAACAATCGTTCTTTTATGGATTGCGCGACCGGCCCGGCATCTGGTCAAGAGAGCTTAATAGCGTCTGGGGCTGGTCTGGTTCCAAATATTCCGACTCTAGTAGAGTGGCCAGCCACAGATGCTTGCCAGCAAATTGACACTCCAAATGTTACTAGTCACTATGCCCCTGATAATTCTACAAGTGATGTAACGGCTAGTATACCAGATTTCGTGAGAGAACAAAACGACTCGTCTAATGCCAATTTGCAAGTCTCGCCTCAAAACAGTCATGACAGTCCATGGGACCCGAATATTCGGCCGTTAGCCGAGGCCTTGGAGCACCCAGCTGTTCTAGAAGGTCGAGACTACTGGTCTTCCTTTCGGTGCAATCCCAAGAAAGACCCAATTGCTTGTCCTAGGACTGCTGGTATCTTCCTCGAAAGCCTCAGCCAAATGCCAAAGTACGATAGGCTTTGGAGTTGGTTCGACCTCGATTTCTCGGGTCCGACCTTCACGGACAAGATAATCAGCATGCCACTACTAGAAAACACGCGAGACACGTTATCGGCTATCTCACAATCATTCCTCCAAAAAGCACTCGAGGTTCACAAGTTAGATCCTGCAGCGGCCTCTGTTGACGCAGCATCTCCAAGTAGTGACTTCTCACGTGGCTTTCTCGTTTTACCGCCTGCTGCGACCCTGGAATATTTTCTCGGGGAATACATGCGCCTCTTCGAACCCTTCTATAAGCTTATCCCCGGTGGGATTTTGGATGCAAACTTTCTATTGGGAGGGAGTAATAACCGTGCAGGCACGTTGTTAATATTACTTATGATTGCTCAAGCGGCTAGTTCAGACCCTACGACCGAGGGCCGTCGTCTTTCGGCGGGGTTGACAGAAGTTTGTAGGATATCACTGTTTGATCTGATAGAGAAAGACGTCTCTACATGTCACCACTCGTTCCCTGTGCATTCAGCTTTGTTATTCATTAATCAAGCTGTTTGGAGCGGCGATAAATGGTTGATGGATATTGGCTCTGGTCAACGAGGCATCTACGTCGCGGTATGATTTCGTGCGAAGATACTTTCAAATTGTGAAATGGCTCAATCTAATTGCTAATGGTTATAGATGGTTCGAAACGGTGGCCTTTTCGATATTAGGGACAACTATCCGGATCCTGATGGCGATTGGGGACTAACTAGAACTCGATGGTTAGAGCGTGAAAGGATTATTAGGTGTGTCTTGATCCCAGCCCCCTGACTCTATTTTACTCACATGTAATGTAACAGGCTAGCATACGCATGGGTTCTACTGGATTTGGAAATGAGCTTGTACCAAGACACGAATCTCCACATCCCAGTATTATCTTTGAATTCGTCGCTCCCTAGTAGTGAAGACCTATGGCTAGCTCCTGATGTCGCCGCATGGCAGCAGCTCCTTACGCGCGACGACGACTCGGGTGTTGGATCTTATTCTACCCAACCTCTACCACAACCGTCCTTGCGTGCGCTATTCCAATGGTTCCTAAATGATGACCTCACGCCACAGAAGCAGCAATATCTTAACCCTCTGACTCTGCGGTTGCTTTTGCACCCCTTGCATGGACTAGTATATAGCTGTCGACAACTACTAGATTGTCTCGGGGAAGTAACATGCTCTCGATCCTTCTCTCCTATCACCAAAGCTTCTACGCACGTCCGAATGCACGAGATAAGATCATTACTGAATCGTTGGCTTGACTTATACAAATTAAGCCTATCAGGGTCGTGGGTATCGACGATATCAGATAGTAATGAGACGAATGATGCATCGATCACAGCAACTCTAATCACATATCACATCATAAATCTGAATACAGTTGCTAGTATCCCCGATATTGAGGAATTGGCACGGCGCGAGTTATCCGATAGAGAACTTCGCCAGTTCTCCCAAGAGGCAGGTTGCTTCGTGCATAATCCTAAAGAAGCTGTGTTTCACGCCGGTCGGATCTTATATCTTCTCCGCGGCCTCGATCGGAAAACGCGACCGCCTTGGTGGCCGGCGGCTTTGTATCGTTCGACGCTCTGCTTGTGGGCATCCAGCATATTCTACGGGCCGTTATGGGCGTCTGCATCATCGTCATATCTTTTGATCGATGAACAGGAAGGCGATAGCCTCGACCCGTATAGTTGGAATCTAGTGAGAGGAGCGAATAAAGATGATGTTGTTGGCTTACCCTGGGACTCCCGCTCACCGTCCCTTGTTCCAGCCTTGAAGAGTCCGACTGGAACAGGAGGGCCAGTCACACTAGAGCATCCTAACCTTGTCTTAGAAACATGTTTATTGGTTTTTGATACGGGAGTACCAACAAGAGTTTGTGAGGGGATTCGGGGTAAGCTAAATCAACTGTTACAGCGTAGGAGTGTTCTTAACAGTAAATAAATGAGTTGCTTCTTGCTTGCAGGTCGGCCACGCTTCCATCCCGGCACACCTCGCGCTGCGAACAGACCTTGTTTCTCAATAGGTATATGATGGTATTTATAGAAATTACATTCTTTTTATTTTAGATGCCCTTGAGAGACGTACCAATCAGGCTCCACATATCTGACCTCCAATTGTTGTAAAGCGGCGCGTTAATGCTCGCTAACTCTTTCGGATCCCCTTTTCGTAGGGCCTGGAAATACCAATCTTCCCTGGCTGTATCTTCGGGGTCAGCGCCGTGCAGCCGCGTTTTGTTCGCGCTACTATAAGGGTGAATAATGTTTTGGAAGACACGACGGCGCTCGGACGAATATCGTGAGAAAAGAGTCTGAGGGTCAATGGTTCGACGGCTACCATGACCTGAGCCACTTATTCCGTTCATGCCATTGGTAGTTGGGGAATGGCGCTTCTCGTGGTCTAAAGAGAACACAATCTCGAGCGCCTGATGTAGAGCATCTGCGTCAAGAAGACCTGTACATAGGCCAAGCCCTCCAATAGGGTTGTTGATGTGGGCGGCGTCACCCGCGAGGAAGCATCGGCCACGATGCATGGTACTCGCAAGCAATTGATGCATCTTATACAAGCTTTTACGCACGACAACATGATCGCTAGGCCGGGGACCATCGATCTGACGTAGGAGGAGCGAGTTGACATATTTAGGTTCGACAACCTCTTCGTCCGTGAGAAAGATACGACTGCCATCTTCTGCTTCCTCGTAAGCTGGTACAGCCATGCTATAACGCCATAGTCCCTTTACGCCTGGCTCAACATGTTCAAGCGGCGTCACGACACCCCAGTACCTAGGGTCTACGGTGAAGTGTACTGGCGGATCTTCAACCACAGGCGCGGTACGGAGAACGTCGGTGGCGATGAAGCGCTCAGGCCAGCTGTGTCCGGCGAGGCGGATTCCGAGTAACTTCCTGATATTAGACTTGCCGCCGTCGCAACCTGCAAGATAGAGCCCTTGGAAGCTCTTTGGCTCCCTTTCTCCTGACACGGCGGTGACAGTAACACCGCTCTCGTCCTGCGAGAGATCTGTCACACGGTGACCCCAAAGAACGTCAGATAGCCCCGTCTTCGTCAATTCCTCCAGCATAATCTCTGCAAGACGACATTGAGCTAGCTGTATAGAATACGTGCAGATCTTGTATTGGCCATCTGAATCTGGACGACTCATTATGTTCCGACACAATACCGACCCGAGTGCTTTTGTCCCTGTCTGGTCTTCGGTAGGAAGTGTCCTCCAGACGTATCCTCCAGAAGGCATTCCTTCCCTAGCCACTTGGTCATATATTCCAGCTTCCTTGAAGACATTATGGACCGGGCCGTAGTAACCGATCGCACGTGGCGCTGCGCCGAGTGTGGTATCCTGTTCGAGCACGATGGAGCGAATGTTACTCTGCGCGAGTCGGAGGGCGAGTAGGAGGCCGACTGGCCCCGCGCCGACAATTATGACGGGGGTGATGCTACCATGCGGTGGCGCGTACGCCTTAGGTTTGACACCACTTTCTCCATTGGTTTTAGGTGCAGGTGTTTCGCTCAGAATATTGTGTTGGGGATTCATTGTACAAGTCTTGACCTTTGTGCTGCTAGATGGTAGATTAAAACGGCGTATACCTAGCAGCATTAAATGTTTCATTCAATGCTAGGTAATTGTGCTATTACCACTCACTTTAAATCTATAACATCGATTGGAGTCATACGAGAATGAAACCATTCACTTCTTCTAGCGTCAAAGGGCTCTCCTATCCCGTCTCTAAACCCGACTGGCGTGCCGGTGGAGTTCCGGATACAAATACGGTCATGGAAAGGCATCCCTCCCGAGACTTACCTACCTACCTACCTAGTACCTATTAAGCAACCTTATTTTCAATACGAATAAGGTTGATTGATAATAGTATATACATACCTACCTACCCGAGTCTACCTATCTTTGATGAAGGGGGGTTTCCGAGAATCCGGTACGTGAATAGTTCTATTGATCCAAGCAACCTCAACCATGGATTCCATCAACACACCAACAGGTTTGCACCATCGAATGCCAATTGTCTTTGGTCCGTTCCCAGGCCCCAGACAGTCATTTGATGGGTCTCACTGGGATGGATCTTCTACAACGAACAAGGAGGCGTTCATAACTTTCAAAACACCAAAGAGCGCAATTGCCAGCTTGCTTCCACCGTGCTTCTCCTTTCAAGATTCCCCTCAGTCGGATGAATGCGCCTATGTGACCATTTCATCTAAACGTCTAGATAATCTCGAATGGTTGGCATATCGTGGATATAATCTTCTCAGTTTCTACATCCACGGAGTTCAGTACACTACTCCGAACGGCCTAGTACGCAAAGGCACATTTCTCCCCGTTCTTTGGGAAGATCTAGCCGACCCTATTATCAGCGGGCGGGAGGAACTAGGATTCCCCAAGCTATTTGCTGATATCTCGATCAGCGAGACTCAGGGCGCCTATCACATGTCAGCTTCGTGGATGGGGTCCCGCTTCATCAATTTCAGTGTGGATGACCTCCGTGAAGCGCAAGGCAATGCAATGCCGCTTGCACCCCCGGAAGCAGGCACGGACGACGGGATTCTTTTGTACCGTCATATTCCAACTCCCGGAAAGCCGGGTGTCTACGAGGTAGACTATCCAGTGTTCGTTTCATATGACGAGGAACGAAAAACACAGGCCGCGTCAACGGTCCGACGTTTCGTGGGGTCAACTGGGGAGGCCCAATGGCATCCGCTAGATTGGCAGAGACTTCCTACTCTACATCACATAGTGAAACGATTGGCAGAAGTTCCCGTAGTGTCTGTTGTGAAGTGTGGTCTGACGGAAAAACTTGGTAACGCAGATTTGTCATCGGCGAGGAATGCCAACGCCTGAACTAGGTACCCATAGGAAGTTTAAGGCATAACGATAATCTTCATAAGTACCTACCTACTAGGTAGTCATACAAATTGATGATATCTTACTTATCGTCGTTGTATTGTCCCCTTGCGCGCATCTGAGATCCGTAGATACCTCTACACCTCCGCTGTATCACATGGCAACGTAATGTATCTCATATACCCTCAACAAACACTCAAAGTACATGTAAGTTACCTAATTGGGAAACGCAGGGGATAAGTCGACGCATAGTCCGACACGACGTAGGTAATTAGCACATGACACGCTTTTCTAGGTAACCTACCTACCTACCTACTGGTCAATGGGTAAATCGAAGTGATAGAGATTCGTAAAAGCCGGAAATTGACATCACAGTACTAGGTATGGAGCCGATGGATAGACAAAAACGATGCCGGTGGGGAGTCCGTAGAATTTCTACCTGGGTAGGTACGTGTCTCACCCGAGTTGCATACCTAGTGACGTACGAGGCACCTACGCCGACAATATCAATTGCCAGAGTATATATACCTACGACGGTAATCTAATATGTATAAATCGAAGACGTCATTGAAAAGTTCATCTAAATGCACCTCGCATACCTACCTGTACCTACCCAAGTAATTAAGAAAACTTTATAAATCATATTTCAACCCAGCTAGCATTTTTCAAGGAGAAACGTACAACACTCCACAACTTCATAATGTCCACAATGGCTGTCAATGGCTCCGCTTCTGTCAATAAGACACCCAACTCTATATCCCCTGTCGCATTATGTCATGTGGTTCTTCGAACAACTCCTGAGGGATATGAGAAATTAGTAAACTTTTATATAACGCTTCTCGGCGCCAAAATCTCCCACAAGTCTCACCGCTTGGCGTTCCTAAGCTATGATTACGAGCACCATCGACTGGCCGTTATCGCCGATTCCAACTCACACAAGCGTGGGTCCGAAGGACCCCAAGTTGGTCTTCACCATGTAGCTTTCGGGTTCGACAAATTGAGCGATCTGGCTGCGGTCTATGAACAGAGAAAGGCTGCAGGGATTTCACCGGTGTGGTGTGTGAACCACGGCATGAGCACTAGCATGTACTACGAGGATCCCGACGGCAACGAGATAGAGTTCCAGGTGGATAACTTTGACACGGTCCAAGAAGCGGTGGACTTCATGGGCTCCAAAGACTTTGAGGACAATCCCGTTGGTGTAGACTTCAATGCTGATGACTTCGTGAAGAGGGTACAGAGTGGTGAAGACGAGAAGAGTATCAAAGCTAGGCCAAATATTGGGAAAAGAGACAGGAAGTGAGCGTCGAACCAAGCTGGAAGGATCAGAGGTGGCAATCGAGACCGAGAAGAGGATCTATATATTCATTTGACCTTCGGCTTATCTACTAGATATAATAAACTGTAGCTGGATAAAATGAACATCCATTTTGCGTGATCGCGAAGGTTGCATACCTACCTTGCTACCTACCTTGCTACCTACCTAGGTACCTATCTAGAACAGTTTTTAGTCCATTCGCTTTTCTCAATACTCATGCCAAGTTCTATTCATGGAATAAAGAGGACCGAAAAATAACCCAATTAGCGTGTCGACTTAATAATGTCCTAAAACAGTGATTTGAGGAACTTTGAAAATATTCCAATCTTCCGAAACAGTCGGGTCCCCGAACGGCCTCAGCGTCGCGAAGCGCCAACTGTGGAGTGATGATTAGCATCGTAACATTGACACGATTCGAAATACTCACGTGTAATTGCCATTCGCAATCTGACTCCCGTTACCCAGCCTTCCAAACCATTTATGGTCGATTCCTCCACGATATTGGTCGATGAGAGGGTATGTAAAAGTATCATTTGGGTTCCACAAATTCGGATCGAAGTAGTTACTAGTGCCATTCCAAGAAGCGGCGGGGCCGATATAGCCGTTCTCTCCTTCGACGGGAGGGTATCTCCATTGGCTCTCATTCCAATTCGCTTCGTAAATCTAGAGAAAAGTATTAGATTAGGTACCTAGGGCTAACTTGAACGCAAGTATGGAATACTTACGTCCCAACGGATCTGCCTAGTGCCCCAACTAATCTGTGTGTAAACTTTCGGAAAATCTTGGGAAGACAAGCTCAAGTTAAATGTGTAACTGTTGTATACCTAGGTATTAACTCCATAAAGATAAACCGAGCGATTATGAAAACTTACTATGACTTTACGTTGATAGATTGGTAGTTAACACCTGACGTCGAAAAGGGGTAGCCTGGATAGTAGATGGGATTTAACTCGGCTTTCAAATCGGCGCCGAGTCCTAAACCAAAAGAGTTAGTTAAAGAATCTGAGGGTGTCAGGGTATACTAAGTATCTACCTAGATATGGGAAGGAGAGTTGTTCTCCAAGGCTTGATTGAAGAATAACTTTTCCGCTATACAGGGGGAAGGCAGATGCATTGAAACCTGGCAGCCCCTGGGGATTTACGAAGTTGACTCTGGATGTATATCTGGTTAGACTTCGAGGTGTTGGGGTATAATGCCCAGATATACTCACGAAACAGTCTTGCTCTGGCCGGCTTTCAAGGTGAAGCCTTCGGGTAATTTTACTTCGATGGGAAGGGCAATTGGCACCAAGTTAGCAAACGTCTTCACTACCTTCGCACCATTCTCGTTTCCCATTATCTCAGCGCCACCAGCGCTTTCGATGGAAAACTTATAATCGACATCACGGGCGCCATTATTCGTAATTGTGATAGGGTGTGACTCCTGGAAGTGGGCAGTGTCGTTAAGGTTAAACTTCTCGAAATCGGTGTGGGTGGTATAGTTTACGACTTTGAAAGCGTTGACGAGTCCATTACCAACCTGTGCCACGCTGGCAGTGAATTCGGGGCTATTCTCCGTACCGTCAAACCATGGGAGTGACGCGCCGCTGGCGATAATGCGATTGCGTAGACTATGAGCGAACCCCTTCCCGTGAACACTCTTACCACCGAATGCGCCGACATACAGAGCCGCGACACCCGCGACGTACGGAGCAGCCATGGACGTACCACTCAAAATGGCGTAGTTGTTATTGAGGTATGTGCTGAAAATGTTGCCACCGGGTGCAGCTATCTCTGGCTTGAGTTCTAGATCGTAAGAAGGGCCCCATTGTGTGAATGTATCGGGTGCGTTCGCGAATGTGTTTGCGAAACCGACTGGGTTCTCCGGGTTGACGGAAAAGTCAGCTGTCACTGTACCGTTCTTCTTGTACCAGTCAATGATGGCCTTGCCGATATCCGCAACAACGAGGGCGAGGAGGGCGCTATCGTCAGTTGTAGAGGGTTGTATAGGCGGGCTCTCGTTATTGTAGACCAGCACGTATTTTGCGCCTAGTGCCACTAGATTACTCTGTTTCGTAGTGAAGGAGCAAGTGCCGCGTCGGACGATTGGGATCTTGCCCGTGAGGTTTTGTGTGCCTTCTGGGTAAGGCTGACATGCTTCCGCAGGGTCGGACGTGTTATAAGATAGGGGCACGATTGGCCACCCTACAACATCTGAGGGGAAGTAGTTCGTCGATGGGAGATAACCAAGGGTAGAGGTGTTAGTATTATCTCCGAGAGTGAAGTTTACGCCGAATGGGAATTCGGGAAATACGTTAGACTCAACTGAAGCAACTGCAAGAACGTTGCTACCAGAGGAACCAGAGCTACCAAAAGCGGGACCAAAAGTCCCAGAATTTCCGGCTGCGATAATAACGACGACCCCTTCGTCTACTAGACGAGATGCTACTTCGGCCCAAGCCTGAGTAGACCATCCACCGGGAAAGCCAATGCTAGCCGTGATGACATCGACCTAGAAAGAATTATCAGAAACGGGGTCCAAGGTAACTAATCCTTCGAATTACGTACATCATCGTGGTAAGCACGTAAGAATGCATCAATAAGAGTCGCAGTATCTGTATAGTCCTAGTAAATATTGTTAGTTGAATTTAACATTCCTTATTAGTTCTCACATTTTAGCTTACTATTTGAGAGAATACTTTATACGAGTATAGCGTAGCTTCAGGGGCGACACCAGTCCATCTAGAGATAACGTTAATATAATGCTCGGCAATTAAAGAAGACTTAAGTTTAACGAGAAACACGTACGTATCCGCCTGAGCCGCAATGATTCCGGCCACATGCGTTCCATGGCCTTGGTGGTCAAGGGGGTCACTATCGGGTGTCTTAGAGCGGTTACTGGGCCAATCTTCATGGTCTTGTGTTAGTTTTATGGTTTAAGTTAGGTAGGTATGAATGTTTAACACTTACAGTCATCACCAATAAAGTCGTATCCACCCGCCACCTTGAAGCCAGGTCCAAAGCCTCCGCCAAGCTACTGCAAATTAGTATACCGAAAAGTTTAATACTATCCACGTCAAATATGAGGACATACAGCTGTATGGTTATACCTAGGTATTGATAGAATAGTTAATTTTCGGACCTGTGGAGTCTAGAGGTGACACATATCTTGAGGTCTCATGAAGGGGGCATCTTAGCAAAAAAGTATAAGTACTGACCAAGTGCCAGTATCAACGACCCCGACTTTAGCACCCTTCCCATAGATGCCGGAAGCATGAAGCTTGCTCACTCCCGTCACGTTGTGAGTAGTATAGTTGAGTACGGCTGGGAGTCCATCAACTACTTGAGGTTCAACAGGACCAAGGTAAACTCTTTCGTTGGGCCAGACACGAAGAACGCCAGGCATCGCTTGCAGCTTGTCAATACCGTAAGAACTAGTTTCAATGCTGGCGCCCGAAAATACTGGGCTGTCAAAGGACTTGACAACATTGATACCCTCAGCGGCAGCGATGCCATCTCGTCTGTTCCCTTGACCCTTCAAGTGGACAGTCCGTCAGCCTACTAAACACAGAATATAGAGGACTTTTACAAGTATAAGACGACAACTCACAGGGGCAAATTCGACGATATAACTTCCTGAAACGGGGACCAGGACTGTGTTGTTATCGCCCCTACGGTTCAGGGCCGTAACGCCACCGGTAAAGGGAAGGGCCAAAGCGAACTTTGAGAAACGCATCTTAGTACCTCAATTGTAGTGCAGGAGGGTGCCGCCCAGATGGTTCTTGATATCCATGCGACCATCATGCCGTTTATATGAAATTGAAGCTCCATCCAAGACCTATAAGACACTATACAAAGCATAGATCCCTCATCTACAACGTAGGAACCATTTACAACACGAGGTTCGCCCCACAAGGTTGTTGTGATAGGCTGCGGGATATTCATTATGTTTATCGCGGCGATACGAGGTTACTATGAAGTTCACGGCTTAAGCTAGAATTGGGCTGGAAGGAAATTCACCTACCGATTTAAGTAAGGTTGAATATAATTAACCGCGCCAAGAGGTCGCGTATGTCGCGTTGATACTGGGGTCGATCCAGTCAAGGCTCGTGTAATGAGAAAACCCACCACTTACCTACTTATACGCCATAATTAGAGAAACAGATATCATCACCTCCGGAGTACCTAGGTATGCAGGTAGATAGGTATTAATATCGATACAACCAAAGATTATAATGCTGTTAAACCGCTAACCCGAAAGCTGAAGGTGTGTCTGAACAATGAAATCAACGGCTAGTTTACTGGGCGGTATCTCAACTACATCCCAGTCACGACATCGCTTAATTAGGTATCTACCTAGGTACCAGGTAGGTAATTACACAGGCATCGTTACCGGACCTTTTGGACCTAGACTCGCACGATTCAAGCAATGTATACAGGGGCCGAGAAACGTAAGACCTCTCGCGTAACCGATTGGGAGATCATCTTCATTATAAGCGATCAATCTCAGGTATCAAGCATGAGTTTAGTATAATATTCCCATTTCCGCGCTCTAATTCTGTCCTCATTTAATATATACCTACCTACCTACCTACCCAATTATCATGATAACCCTAAGGTTAGGGTTAGGGTTAGGGTTAGGGTTTTAGACAGGGATATTACCCAAATCCAACCCTAACCATTGTAACCCCTATTCTGACTAATCAGCCGCCTCACAACCCAGCCAGTTTCAACTCATTCCATATGCCTTCACAATTGCTAATAAATAATTCGTAGAATTTATTTATTGAGAAGAGCCACCAGAACATAAGATCGTCTGTCCCGTTATCCAACCCGCATCATCGCTTCCTAACCAAGCCACAATCTTGCCTATATCCTCAGGCAGGCACACGCGGCCAAGTGGGCATGAAGAAGCCAAAGCAGCTTCGATCCTGTCAGCAGTCCATGTCTTCCTATCGGCACCAGGGATATAATTGATGGCGGCTTCGGCGAACATGTCTGTCTTGACACCACCCGGGGCAATCGCATTGACAGTGATCCCCTGAGGCCCGAAATCAGTAGCGAGGGAGCGCGTGATGCCTTCAACGGCGCTCTTTGAACCGGCATACAGAGCGTGGTCCTTGACACCCATGATTCGAGCTGCGATACTAGAAGTGAGTATAATGCGCCCGCCAGTCTGTGACGCTGATCGCGTCATGTACTTATATGCAGTAACGGCGACGAAGAACTGGGCCCGAGCATTGACGTGGAAAACGTGGTCGAATCTCTCTGGCGTCACGTCTACTGCGCGCTCGAAGGACTCTATGCCGCTGTTGCTCGCGACGATGTCGATGCGCCTAAACGTTTCGATCGTCTTGTCGAAGAGGGCGTCAAGGTCCACTTGCTTGCACACGTCGGCTTTGACGGCGATGGCTTTTGTGCCGAGTGCTTCTAACTCTTTAACAGTGCTTTCGGCAGCAGCTGCTGATGAGACGTAGTTGACGGTGACGTTCGCACCGCGGCGGGCTAATTCCAGAGCGATACCCTTGCCGATACCCCTGCTGGAGCCTGTCACGATGGCGACTTTGCCTTGGAGGGTTTTCGGGGTGGAAGACATGATGAAAATTAATTGTGATCTATGAGAAGTATAGATTGACTAGTATTGGGATGGGGATTTGTGATTGAGCTGAAGTTGCACAACGATCGTGAACACAAGCGCTTTTCTATGAAATGTTCACAGGTCTAACAGAACACACCAATCCCTGTGACTAGCAAATATGGTATCTTTAAAGGCGCGAAGGCGCGAGGTAACCCTGGTTGATCATACCCTAGGATCCCGCCGCTCTGGAAAGCGCGAAACCGCGGGGTTATTCGTATTACCAACAATCCATGATGACGACGTCCCGGGATGGAGGCTGGGTAACTTTTACCGGAGCTCCAATTACGTTACCCAGGATTCCGAGAATACTACCCCCGGATATTGGCGATAAGAGCGAGAATTGTGGGTTTCATTCGGCACCCGCTGGGGTTCCGGTCTAAAGGAGTTTACTAGTTCGCTTGCTAAGGTCATCAAAAGTTCATACTGACTCGATGCAACCTACCTAGGTAGCCACCTACCTATGATATCTCTGTTCAATCAACTCCGGGTCTAGAATTGAATCTTTCTATTGTGCTGAAGTGTAGCATGGTATGAACAATTAAATAATCCCTTACATTCGTGATTGTACCTCCCTAGATACACTTAAGATGAAAAATTGGCCTAAAATAGGGGTAATAAAGCAAGGGCCATATCAATCAAGGATCCGCGAACCGGACGGACAAATCCGCTTGAACACAAGATTGGGATTCTTATTGATGAAAAATTACGAGAGGAATCAATTCGTAATATTTATGATTAACCATCGCGATTATTTCCATGCTTCTCATAAAAACACTATCACTAGTATGTAGAGTTACCCCAATTATGCATTTCTATGAAGTTGATTCCATCCATCTCAGCCCATCATTGAATGCTTCTACAAACATGTCCTTCTCCAATTGATTTCCAAGGTCCGATCTACTTGCGAAACCATGTTTAGTCCCTCCATACACTAGCAATTTGTACCTTGTTCCGGAACTTGGCAATTGAGACAGCATAGTGCTGCTGAGTTCCGGCGTGAAGACATCTGTCTCAGCGAGGCCCATAAAAATAGGCCTCTTGAGATTTTCGGTGTCCAGTGGGTCGAGAAATGACTATACAGTAGATGAGTTCTCTAGTATGGAAAATATTAAGTCATTAAGGGTTATGTTTACTTACAGGATGGAATACTATGACTGATGTCACTTCTGACTCATTGTGGGCAAGATTGAGAGCATGCTTGCCCCCAAAGCAATGGCCGACGATAAAAAGAGTCTTAGTGTTGGGGCCACGTTTGGCTTTGCTAGATTGTGTTGAGACCGTTTTGAAGAAATCCGGTAAGAAGTGATTTAAGAGCGACGAGATATGATTTGGGGTATGACGTTCTAGCCAACTTGGCATGTCAATTTTACGAATGATATCCTTTTCCTGTTATAAAAAGCATTAACTCGCGATATTGCGAGTAAGTTGAGATAACTTCACCTCTGGAGTAAGATTATCATAAGAGTCCAGGTCTGTCCCAGGCAGATACTTCATGAAAATATCAGGCAAAGCATCACCCTCGAAATAATCAACAATCGTAGTTTCATATCCTAGCGAAGGTTAGCCATCTTGTCATAATTAAGCTTTAAACGTAGACGCATCCTTACCTTGCTCAGCATACATGTCAGCAAGGCGCTGGTTGTGCCTTGCAAGACCGAAGCCATCAGGAAGGAAGAGGATACTTCCTTTGAATTTTGACCCTATGCTGTGAGGTGTTGACTTGTACACCTTCAACCCAGCAATAGTTAAAAGGGCGCCTAATGGCTCGAAGCCGTCTAATCCGTTTTTCTTATGTTAGCCCCAAAAATATTTGAAAAAATGAAATACCGTTCTTGTTACTCACCATCAGCTGGTACCCCACTGAAACAGTGACAGGTTGACATGATATTCAAAAGGTTTCAACAATGAAATGTGCCGAAATTTTTAGGAATAGCGAATATCGAACTAATATTATCAGAAATAAACGGAATATATTCTCTCGATATTATTCCTAGTTGGCCATTTGCCAATCCGGAACTCCACCGGATCTTAGTCAGCGGTACAATTATTGATGCTAAACGCCATGTTTTCACAAAGGATTCACGAGATACATCATATCTCGTTAGGTATTGGGAATTAGTTACTAGGTAATCAATCTATTGTTCACCCTCAAAGACAAGCTTGTTCTTGAGGCACCCAATTTGACTAATTTCAATCTCCACTACATCTCCATGTTTAAGCCACGGCTGGCCCGGCATCTTGCCCGCAATGCCTGCAGGAGTCCCGGTCATGATAACAGTGCCTTTCCGCAAAGTTGTACCGTTACTCACATGCGCGATGATTTGCTTAACCGTAAAAATCATCTCTTTAGTGCTTGCACTCTGCCTCACTTGCCCATTGACTCGAGTTTGAACCTGCAGATCCTCAGTTGCGAAGCTCGGGTGAAGGATTGTCGGGCCTAGTGGTGCAAAACCATCAAATGACTTTGCGAAAGAATATTGGCCGCCTGATCGAGGAGCCCGCTGCCAATATCTCGATGACAAGTCGTTCCCAGCTGTGAACCCGAGAACATAAGAAAGCGCATCATCCTCGGGAATATTTTTCCCTGTCTTTGAGATAATGATGCATAATTCGGCCTTAAAGACTTGTTAATCATACGAGAGAACACAGAAGAGTATCTAAAATTCATTCCTAACCTCATAGTCCATCATTTTGGCCGCAGAAGGCACAACTATTTCGGAAGTCGGGCCTGCTAAGGCGTCTAAATGCGTGTTAGTATCACGTTTCTCAGATCATGGACTTTGTATGTATGAATCACAGCCCCTTACCGGGAGGTTTGGTGAAAACAACTGGATTGGGCGGAATTTCAAGCTAACAAATCCGTTTTAGAGTAGATTCTAGGTTATATCAATAAACCATTAGAATTACTAACACCAGCCTCTTTCGCATGATCTCTATAATTCAGTCCAATGCAAACAAAAATCGGCGCAGAAGCAATGGGTGATAGCAACTATCAAAATCATTAGCGTACTCTACTCGAGTGGTCTAAATCTCATATGTATCTAAGATATAACGAACCTCGTGTACAACAGCTTTCTTTCCCGTTCGGGTCAGATCATTCGCATCATGCAGAAGCTCTACTTGTGAGCCTATGATATCGTCCAAGGAACCTTCTCCGACGTCGCCGTAGTGTTCTACAAGCGATTCGTCTAGAAACCGAATTAGATTGTGAAATTGTGGATTCGACGGCATAGTGGCTCAATCCAGAGTTGGAGATGTGGCCAGCTTCTTTTTCTCAGGTGCTCACTCGCTCCCTCTTATTCCTCACCCGGGAGATGATAGGCCCCCCTTTCTTCGGCTCCCCACCGGAAGTGGAGGTTTTCATTGACAGCTGGAATTTTAAGCGGCTCGAATCGAGTAAAACTTGAGAACAAGTAACAAGTAACTCCACCGATATTTCCCGGTTCTCGGCTATCCGATATTCGCAGCTTTAGATATCTACTAGGTACTTGATTGATTGAGGCTGCGCTCGCTTATATGTACAGGCTACGAACCCGCTCCAATGGACAACAGTATGATAGTACCCACAGCGATATGCGTATGCGTTGATCAACGCGCACCTTCGGCATACCTTAATTCATCTTCTCGACATCATTATTGTCTCCGATTCTAATCCTTGTCAATTCTATCGCACGCCTTGAAATATCCCGAGAATGTCGACTCCAGCCATAAGACTCCATGCCCCTGAACACCAGCTATCTTCAACTACAGACAGCTTTCCAACATCACATGATAAGGTCAGCAAGATAATTGATACGCTACAATTTATTGATAATAAATTCGTAGCGTCTGAAACTTCAGAGTTCATTGAACTCCATGATCCGGCCACCAATAATCTTGTAACGCGAGTTCCCTGTAGTACAGATGAAGAGTTACAAGCCAGCGTGCAGTCTGCACAGCGAGCTTTCCCGAAATGGCGGGCAACCAGCGTAATGGCCAAGCAACAAATCATGTTCAGGTTTGTTGCTTTGATCCGACAGAACATGGATAGACTTGCAGCGGTCATCACGTTAGAAGGCGGCAAGACCCTCGCAGACGCCAAGGGTGACGTGCTGCGTGGTCTTCAGGTTGCTGAGGCGACATGTGCTGCCCCAGAGCTCCTCAAAGGTGAGGTGCTCGAGGTTGCCAAGGATATGGAGACAAGAACATATCGGGAACCTTTGGGAGTAGTTGCTGCCATTTGTCCTTTCAGTAAGTATAGCCCTAGGTATGCTGGCTTCAGATTGCTGACGATATCATCCATAAATCAGACTTCCCGTCCATGATTCCTCTTTGGACTCTTCCAGTAGCTACCATCACTGGAAATACTCTAATCGTCAAACCTTCCGAGAGGGTCCCTGGTGCGGCGATGGTCCTCGCAGAGCTCTCACGCGCCGCTGGCTTCCCGGATGGTGTTATCAACATAATACACGGCTCGCGAAGAGCTGTCAACTTCATCCTGCATGAGCCGGCAATTAAAGCAATCAGCTTCGTCGGCAGCAACCAAGCTGGTGAGTATGTCTACAAGACGGGTTCTGCAAACGGTAAGCGCGTTATGGCAAATTTAGGAGCGAAGAACCACGCAATAGTGCTTCCAGATTGCGGTAAAGACCACTTCATGAAGAGCGTTATTGGAGCCGCCTTCGGTGCTTCTGGGCAGCGCTGCATGGCACTTAGCGCACTAATATTGGTTGAGAAAACGAAAGAGTGGTTACCTGAACTTGTTGAACGTACGAAAGAGCTCCAAACCAACGGCGGCTTCGAGCCGGGCGCAGATCTAGGACCTGTCATATCTCCGCAAAGCAAGGACCGAATTGAATCTCTTATCGAGTCAGCAAAGCAAGAAGGTGCCAATATTCTCCTCGACGGTCGCGGTTATGCTCCCGACAAATTTCCAAACGGCAATTGGGTGGCCCCGACAATTATTGACAAGGTGACCCCGAGCATGCGCTGCTATCGCGAAGAGATATTTGGTCCTGTGCTCGTATGTTTGAGTGCCGATACCCTCGATGAGGCCATCGATGTCATCAATGAGAACGACTACGGAAACGGTGCCGTTATATTCACGCAATCCGGTTCATCTGCAGAAAGCTTCCGACGGCGGATCGAAGCTGGTCAGGTTGGGATCAACGTCCCGCTTCCTGTGCCGCTTCCTATGTTCTCCTTTACTGGAAACAAGAAGAGTATCGCTGGTGGTGGTGCGAATACTTTCTACGGGCGCCCAGGAATCAATTTCTTCTCCCAGTTACAAACAGTCACGGCGAGATGGTCACGAGACGATGTTCCAACACAACAGGAAATGGCAATGCCGATTCTGAATTGAGACTCTTACAGCATGCATGTAGGTATCTATCAATAGGTGCCTACCTACCTAGTCTTAATAGCTAGTCATGGGTATCATCACTGTCAGATTTTAGCTTCATCTTACCCCTGAAATATTATGTGAAAAACTAGACCACTTGTTCGAGGGATTTGATCCTTCATTCCGAAGCTGCACTACGTATCTAGCATGAAAATCCTAGTATTATTCTAAGTTAGATATCACCCCTACCTAGGTAGGTATTTGCCAAGTATCTACCTCCTAGTAGGTAGGATGGAATAACGTAATGAATGTGTGAGTTATATTCTACCTGGTTCTGATATTGAATATCCCCTGTGTTACATAACCAGCATCTACTACCCATCCAAGCACGAGGAAGTTACTTAAATGGGCTTGGGAGGGGATATTTGGGGCACAGTCCGACGCCACTTTTCTAGCTACCTAGCTATATCTGGTGACTAAGCACCACTACCGTCACCAGGAAGTTGTTCAAGCCCTGTTCGATGATTAGAATCCAGTCTCGCGAAGTCAGATATTTTAAACTTACATCCTTCAGTGACCTCGTCGACGGTATTCGGTACCGAGCATTTGTTCGCCTCTGCAAATTCCTGTGTTTTGACCCCGGTGCAGGTATTACCGAAGCAACCGTTATCCATCAACCTCTGCAGAGCATCATCTTTCCAACCAAAGACATAATCCGCATGCTGTCCATAACCGGTACTATCCCAAAGTTAGCATCCTTTGATTTCATGGTGTTTGTTTTGTTTTGGACGTTGTCTTACTTGTCTCCTGTGCTCAAAACAAACGGTTGAGAGCCGTCCTGTGGCCAGTCATCTGGGTTGTTAAATCCAGTTGTATCCCAAACAATCTGTTCTTATATTAGCACATAGTCTGTCTTCGAGGTGTAGCATTGCCTAAATCTTGGTTCACTTTTTAATCTAGCCCTTATTTCACATCCTAAGACATCGCCGTTACGGCCTTTTTTGTAATATCAAAAAAAGGGGTAGACTATATACCTCAAGCATAACCTGTGGGATCTTGATAGGATGAGTCGATGGGCAATTTCCAGTAGTCGCGAATGACGAAGGACCCCCAACTGGGTAAGCCACGTGGTCTTGGTGGTTCGGAGTATCCAAGCGCTCTCCATCCCAACAACTAAGTGCATGATCAATATTTGTTTTTAGTGCTCAGGACATCATACAGGTGGTCTTACGTGGGGAAATGAATGTTTGATCGAATGCCACCTAAACAAGGTACAGATGGAAAAGCTTCGGTATCCAGCTTAGGATCGGCGCAAGGGGAATAATCGTCCCCTTTGAAATTCGGACCGGTGAAGCAACGGAAGCAGCTCTGGGACTTTAAACCGGACCCCAGTTTCTCGCGACGCATAGAGTCGCCAAATAGCATACGGAATCCCTAGATAGCAACATTAATAACCTCCAGTGACAGCCAGAGATGCTTATTGATCCTACAGGTTTGAAAGCGGTGACTGTATTCTTCCCTGGAGAGACATAGTATACAGTGACACCGCCCTGTTCCCCTTCAAAGAATCTGTTTGGGATCTGGGGCACCCTTTTGTAAGTTCCATTTCGGGCCTTGAAATAAAGGTTCGCCGTCCAGTAGTTGGAAAAGTCATCGCTGAAAGTGCATGTTGTGCATGTAGCAAGACTAGAGACGTCGGTGGACGGTATAGAAGCGTTGAAGGCGTTCTAGAGGTAGGATATAAGTAGTGCGAATCATATATCAACGTTAGAATTGACATACTCCTCCGACAATTTGATGCAAATGGGGAGATGGGTTCACTCCCGGATTCACGAGGCTAAAGTAATAGGTATGAATTAGATACCTAGGTATGCTCTGTCAATATAACTCCTGCCATTCCCTAACTTACGGATCAAGTCGCTCGATAACGACTTGGCTACAACCAAATCGAATGAGGCTGTTACTTCCAGGGCCCTTGATCGGTGTGGTCTGTGGCGCTGCGTCGACAGACGCCGCCAGTGACAGAAGGGTAGACCAAAGCATCTTAAGCATCGTCAAGAGAAAATGGAAAAAACGCGTGATGTGAAAAATAGTAACGCTTGTAGATCCGATCCGAGTTCACATGATAGAATATCCCGATCCATACCTATAAGTGAAATTTTCTCTAATACTAGATGCCTATTCTCACACGAAGTGCCGGCTATTTCCTGTAGTCCTATTTATATGATAGCAATTAACTTTAATTGTTAATTACACTCTAGCCACACGAAGCTTGAGGAGCGAGGTGGGATTCTATCATATAAATGACGATAATTGGCCGACAAGCTATTTTTCCATAACTGCCGGATACCTACCACGCAGATGCACTATCACAACTGAAGCATGAGGATCTCATCGAGGAATTGAACGCGAGCAACTACCCAACCATTCACTTGGAGCTGATAAGATCATAGATGTCTAGATACTGTATCGTCTTAATTCCAAATTTTAGTTGTTGACTCGGTCATATGGTTTAATGAAATCAAATCGAGGTGCGATATCCTTTACCTAGGTGCCTATCTAAAATGTCTGTTTATTGGCCTGGTAGATGAGGAGACTACCTTCTAGGTAGATAGTAGACACATAGAGGAAAATATAACTTAGTGGAGTAACGTACCTAGGTATCTATACCAAATTGAACGAGTGAAGAATCCTTTCCCATGTATACGCCCCGTTCCAATGCCAGTCAGTCCAATCGCCATGCAATAGTCAACACAAAGAAAGTACTTTCCCATCCTTTAACAAATTCCTAAGCTCGACCGATTCGAGTATCCAGAGAACCGTCACACAATATAACGAGAGGAAATGAACGCTGAGAGACCATAAAACAAATAAACCTCGCCTCATGACCACGACGACCCAGCCGCAAGCAATTGATCCATAATCAGACTCGCCGCAGCCCTATGAGTATGACTGTCCCCATCCAGCATGAAATCAAATTTATTGCGCATATGCAGCTGCAACAAATCCGCATCAAGCCCCACACCCGGAGCGCGTCCGGTAACGAGGAACCCAGTCTCGGCGCTAGACCTAGCAGCGCGTTCGGCACGTGGCCGACAGACCTGGTCGTATGCCTGGAGTGCGGCCGGGATGGCAGCTTTAGAGGGCAGGCGTGCGAGAAGCGTGGTTAGTATTAGGGCTTCTTCAATGGCGATGCCGGTGTTAGCACCTTGGAAGGGGGGCATGCTATGTGCGGTGTCGCCAATCAGGCAGATGTTCTTCGTTACGAAAGTTGGGGCGGGTCTGTGTTCTAATTGGCATATTGCAGCTACTTGGACGGTGTAGACGCTTTGGATGAGCTATGTGATGTGAATTAATGTCTTTGTTCCTCGCGAGAATGATGTCGCGAAAGGGGTGGAAAAGGGTACTTACATCCACCATGCCTTGGCACACCGGCATCTGGTTGTTAGCAAACAGCTCCTGGAATTCGTCGGGGGTGAATAGTTTAGCCCACTGCGCTCCACTCTGACCATCCTCTTCTCCAGTTCCGTCGGTCTTCCCGCATATGACGATCTCGACTTCGTTGCCGTTATCGAGAAGGTTATATATCATACTAAATCCATCTCCGATCCAGCCTCCCTGGTATGGGTTCATCGGATCCAAGTACTGCGCACCCATGGCCTGTTGTGCCCTCATCAGGGGAACCTTGACTGGTAAACTCCAGAATCCAGTAGGACGCGGCTCCACTAAGGATTGGTCGTCGCCGAAGATCAATCGCCGCGTAAAACCATGAAGACCATCGGCGCCAATGACGATGTCATACATCATTTGCGTCCCGTCTGCGAAGGTCAACAGTAGCCCTTGTCCAGAAGACGACTCCGTGACGGACGTTATTCGCGTACTAGGATGCATCATCCGAGGCGGCACACCGTTGAGCATCTCGGTCAAGAAGGCTTGACGGCTGACGTTCTTCTTGCACCTCGGCCCATGGCCGTTGACCTTGATCTCCCTTCCTGCGTGCGGACCTGCAGCGACTCGTATCTCAGGTGTCGTTAGGATGGCACCGGCGCGATCAAGGCATCGCTCTAGTTCTGGATCGATAGCAGCCAACATGGCTTGCATCGTGGTAGTAAGGGAGAGCCCCGGGCCTTCATCCCGGAATGCAGGGCGCGGTTCGTACATGTCGACTGAAATGTGAGGATGCCGCAGAAGACCGCGCAGAACGGCAACACTGGCCAAGCTGCCGCCTATGATGGCGATCCTTATTGTTGAAGGCGAACTAGACATTTTCCCCGAGGCAAGTATGTCGTGCTGAGGAGTTACTGGGGCGTAATAATTGCGTCGGTGACTCTGTTCTAGTATATACCTAGTCTCATGTCCTATTATTCATTAGGTTTCATCGAGGAGTTGGGTTCTTTATGTAAGTTTGGCATCGTCTAGATGGAATGGTCAAGATACTAGCATAATCCACGGCAGTCGTGGGTTATTCCGTTCATCACATCACCTTCTAGTCTATATCGGACCGTGCTCCATAGTCTCGGTTTCGTTCTCATCATATTACCAAATCCGAGTCAAGTTTCATCCTTGCTTTGATATTCCTTATGATAAATCCGAAATTGCTCTCTTGACATAGGGCATAAGGTGGATGTCATTCTGCGCCGCATGTAGGGCTGAAGGGTCATATATCCAGGATGTAGGATCGGTGAAGGGCTGATCCGAATCATGTTGCGTAGGTATTCATAGGTATCGCTGAATAGCTTTTAGCCCCCAAACAAGGATCTCGGGTGACGAAGTAAGGGACGATTCTCCTGATTTATGTGTACCTAGGTACATCACGAATATCAAGAATTGGAATCCCCGATGTGGACCGGTAGCTGCCCGGTAAGGCTGATCATCCTTAGCCTCAAGTTTATCTTTCGATCTGACAGTATTTGCCAAACAAGGAGGCGGTCGTATCCCATTCCTCTTTTGGCAATCACTGCGAATTCCATGGTGTGAGCGCCGTCGACACAGTGGTGTAGCTGTAGCCAATCATGGAGCTTCATAGTTCAGCTCCCACCCCTGGCCGGACGGTGGCTAGGGTATCTTAGCTTCCATTGGCGGGCACACCTCGCTAAAGGCCGCTAAATAGTGGGCGGTGATGATCCCTTCCAGGCATCGAAATAAACGGGCTTTGTGACTCGTCATGGCTTTACATATGAAAGGTGAAGTCGGAAGAGCGAGAGAGTTGCCGAAAAATTCGGCGTTCCCGTGGGAATCAGTATTATCGCACCCTCTTTAAATCCTTCCTGTCCGAGCGTATACCACATATTCAGATATTATCCCACATATAAGCAAGCCCGACTCGGGTACGGTCCGGTCTTTTGTGAGCATTTACTCAATGGAGAAGATGGGGAAACGGGAGACATACATTTAATTCATCCGACTTCATCCTCAGCGGGGATCGAACTCCCCAGCCCCCTTGTTCTCCCCTTGTTCTCCCACTTCACCCCATCTCGCGGCTTTCCGGAACTTTAATTCTATTCCTGGTCATTTTTAGCTTCAAATTCCATCTAACCGGGTTAGCTTCTCGATCCTACCAGCCTCCCAGATACCCAAATGATCTATGAATAAAGAATTAGAGTCAGTGGGATTTCAGAACCACCAGGCATCAGAATTATGTGACTGAGAATAGCTTCAAATTGAAAAAAAGTCCCTGATCCATTATCTTTAGAGTTGTTGATTCCAAATCGGACCCGATTCAACCAATGTGGCTGTACTCTATATATCTGGATTTAGTTCGTCATTCCAGTTGCCAGATCTGTTGCCAGGTCTACCACTGGTCACTTTTATTGGACAATGCCATAATATGTCAAGTTCATCACCTACCGCATAACGACTTAGTTCAGGCAACGGCGTTTCTGCTAAAGTTGACGCTGGCGATAAGAATCGAAGTATTATGGTAGCAACCTCCGATATCTTTCTTGGAAATTGCTGCGGATTTTGTAGTGGATTTTGGTGTTTTGGGCGCAAGGAACGAAGACATCTTTTGTGAAATGAGGAGTCGACGGATGAGTCTGAGCACGGGTTGCCGCGATCATAAAGGTGTTATTGCTAGCAGAGGAGGGGCTCAAATTAACAGCCAAGCTCAAGAAAAACGCGTTAAAATGCTGGGGTATCATCTACTTGCGTCTTAACAAACCTCACTCATCATGAATCTCATCAACCTTACCACACGGCCTCCCCAAGTTATCCGACCCCTCATAAAATTTTCATAATTCCATCCGGCTCTTATACGCATCGTTCTTCGTCCTACTCTGCCTGCATTTTGGTAATATGCCGAGGGATTAGGATTAACAAAGGAGCTACTTATGATCACTATGATGGAAAAGGATTCCGTTTTTCATCATCGCAATAGCCGTTCTCGGTATATCCGCCAGGTCCCAATTTCCAAACCTCTGGAAATCGGACTTGTGCTCATCCCAAACCCGTCGGTATTGATAAACCTACAAGGGACGAAATCCGGCTTCTTCGAGCTGCTTACCCTCCGGCAACATGGGCCGACCCTGCATAGGAAATGGCCAGAATAGTGGGTTCTCCAGGCTTTGAGCAGTATGCGCGATTGGTCCTGTGCTGGTCCTAGGTTTAAAGATGGGTGACGGGTCTTGGTCTGCCATTTCCTTGGCTCGACCTCCTTCGATGACACCCTCCATATTCTCCCCACGGTTAGTATGAGTCTGTGGAGTAGATGAAGAATATCTTCTCTGTGCACCTCCAGCACCGCCAATGTCTCGTGTACCCCATGCACAAAGGAAGTCTTCCTCGTTGACATTTGGCGCAAAGAAATTGAGGCTGCTGGTCGTTGGTCGAACCGAATTGTCTATTTCCTCCGATACGCCGCTGCCAGGTGGAATGTCTACCTCGATATTCCATTTCTTAGCGAGATACTGTAGGATATTGAGTGCTTGGTGTGCAAAATGATGACAGGGTGCCATCTCTGTCAGGTGCGCTATCCCCTGATTCAAAGCTTCCGCTACTCTTGGACTCAGTTTTGCAGTGATTGTGCTCGACGGAGATGTCGGCTCAGGCTCATCCCTTGTACTAGATGATAATTGTCCGTGGCTATGATCAGTGTCGGCGTCTTCAGGTTTGGCTGTCGATGGATTTGATATATCTGTTGGTGACGTATACTGCCCTTTAGAAGCCTCCGCACCTATTGCAAGATGCATAATGGAGGATGTAAGTACAAAGTATGGCACAAACGATGGTGTACGTCGAAGGGTATATAGCTGGGAATATGATCGTAGGAGGCCTTGGATGGCATCTGCGGCTTGAGAACAGACATCGCGAGGAAGTATGCCCGAACCAATAATTCTTAGTTTGATAAGTGGACGAAAGAGGAGTAGGATGGCGAAATGATAGTACATGCTATTGAAAGAATAAGCTGCGATGGCCATCTTGAGGGTGACAAGTGGCAAGACTTACTGGGCAAAAAGGACAGCAGGTGTGAAATTATGTCCTAATCGTAGAACTTCGGGAATTCTATCATACCAATTTAGATACTGCGTATAGATAGCAAGTAAATCTCGGCTTGTGACTGGCTTCCCGGGCGAATGGAGTACATATAGTGACTGGTGAACAAGTTCACTAAGCTCACAGAAGCATTTGTAAACGGATCTAACGTTAGACGGCTGCTCGCATGATCGTTGAAGAGGAGCCCCTTTTGATGGATTAGACAAGACCGATATTTCTATATGAAGGCTTCGATTCTGCTAGGGCGCGTATACGCCCAGTAGACTCACCGTCATCAGTATAAGGCACCCAGAGAGATGCTTCTATATCGTCGATAATTGCGGGCTTAGGTGGCAAGTGTGGAAAACAAGAACATTGGGGCAAAGAGCCGGTGGCAAGGGACCATGCGCTTTGATACGTCAGCCAAAGTGCCTAGAGATAACCGGTAGAACGCTTACTGATCTAAGGCAAAAGCACCCCAGAATGTCGCGGCCTGGACGGCAATTTCATCCTCGTCGCCATCATTCTGTAAGCGATGTAGGCCCATCTCAATAGCCAACCGTATACTCTGCCCTGCATAATACCAAGATTCCGAATCTCTCCCACAACTCGCTTCCCGAATGGACATTATCCCCAAGGCTTGAATAGTGGTTAAATTATGGTGGTTATTTTCCCGGTAAAAGAGCCTCAGCGATTCCTTGAAGAAGTGGTCTCCTGCTGTACGAGAGTCGTTCGGATTTGCTCGTGTGTTTGGTTGGGTTGAGAACCGGCACCCCAGAGCTAGCAACGCGTTCACTAGAATCGGCGAGCAGTACCGGTTCCGCCCGTTTAGGAAGTCTTTCATGAAGTGCTCTTTACTAAGAGAGGCAAAGGTCGGATATTCCCAACAGAAATATAATGCTAGGAGATGTGAGACCAAACCGCCATCTCCAGTAACCGTTGTCCATGTTCCAGGTGGGACCTTCATCTCCGGCGAATCAAACGGCGCAAGGACCTGATCTACACCGCGATATCGAGGACCTTCTCTTACCGACGACTGATCTTGGAGCCATAGCCCGACGCGCGACCGCGGTGGAGCCTCGGCGGTCCACTGCATAATATCGGGATGCGAATCGCTGCGTGTCGATACGGTCTGACTATGTGATGAGAAGTTCCACGGGCTATTCGGATCAAAATCTTGATTCATTCCATGAGCCTGAGCTGTCGTCGGGCTCATCCCCATAGCATTATATCCTCCAGCACCGGCTAACGTCCCCCCATAGGTTGAAAGAGGAGGTAGCGTGACTCCAACTCTGGCTTCACTCGGTCGTGGAAACCCTGGCAACGCGCTTCCCGGGGCGGGTAGAGTAGGACCGCTGCCGCTGCTGCTACCGAGCCATTCCGAAATGCCTTCGACGGTTTGTCCTTGTCGCAGCCTCTGTAAGACCTCCTCTATTAGATCGGGGCGGACGAGGGCAGAGAAGACGGAATCGCTCTGTCGTTGTTGACGTCGTAGAACTTCGATTTCGTGGCGTAGATTTTCTTTCGATTGTCGTACCGGGATTTCATATATACACTCAACCTCTTTCTGCGACTTGCAACGACCGCATGGCTTTTGACCATCACATTTAGCACGCTTCTTCCGACATTCAGTGCACGCATTAGGCGTAACGACGCCGAGGCCTCGCCTCCGTTTAGAGAGCTGCGGGTTTGGAGTGCCGCCAGCTCCAGATGCGCCAGAAGCAGCGGACGCTTCATGTTTCGGGGTGGGTTTCGACGATGAGGACGCCTGACTGGTGGAGGGCCCGCTACCTGGATCCCCCTCCATCATAGCTGATTAGGGCACCCAGATCATACTCAAAGAGGAAGGATAAGCACGTCCACATAGGTAGACACGCTTTCTACCAACACCAACTGACGATGACGAATTGCGATATAGACGCGCCAGCTGCGCGACTTGTTTCAGAAGAAGGCGTTTCTAGATTAATTCACTAATGTGAGTGATTGATGGGTGACTAATAACCAGAACTCTCGCCTAGAACTCAAAGAGGAAAATACGCGGGGCGGTATGCCTATTTTTTTTTCTTTTCTTTTCGGAAGGTTAGGAACACTAGACCTCCGTTTGCTGCGGATATTTCGACATTGGTTTTAAAGGAATGGCGTATTTGATAGCCTCTGGAAGAGGAGAGTGCGGAATTGTATATGTAGGAAGTTGAAGAGATGGGCAATTCCCAAAATTCGAGCTTTCAAGGTCGGATTTCAAGGATGAAAGCTCTGCGCTAGTTGGTTCGCCATAGCACTTACCCAAGCTGTCCAGGCTGCCAGGCTGCCCCGGGCTCGTTCTACGTAGCCTGTACATACATACAGTAGGCCTAGATATGTACAAGGAAAGTACATCCCATATCCCGGCCTTTATTGTGTAACAAACGTAGAGGGCCGAGGTTCTTTCTGGTAGTGCGATTTTGCAGTTCTAGATATAGTTGAAACGGCACCTCACTTTGATATCGCACCTTTAAATGTTTACAAGCGTATGTCGACGATCACGGCTTTTCTAGATAGCGAACAAGCAAACTTTTAAGTGGAAGCCGATAGGACAATAAGAAATTTGCCAGGAATTCTCGGATGCCAATTCATCAGTCAGCGCAGCTCTATTCCGATATTAGACATTTGATGCACAATACACTAGTTCCTTACCAGTACATAGTATATTCCCCCTGGGAGGAGGCAAAAAAAGAAAGTGGAGGGGTTGGTGGGGTTTTCTATCCTACAAACAACTAAGAGATTCGATTCGTCGGGTATTGCTAAGTACTTCGACGGCTCTCGAATACGCGAGTATGTACGAAGTACAGTAACTTTAACGACACGACACTTTTTCCGTAACGACACGACACCTTCCTAATTCGGCTTAGTGCAGCCACACAACATTACTTCGCCACAACTTCAATTGCACCAAAAAAGCAAAAACATCGAATTACTAATTTCAGTTTAAACCACTTTATTTAATTGGCTCAATAGTTGGGGCCCACTTTTCCCTTATGGATTATTGGTCTTTACATGACTTTTAAAGTATGATTACATAAGCTGATAGCCGCCGCGGGGCTCATTACGTAATAGCCAAACGCCCCGTTTGATTACATAATACTTTACTTGAATCTGAATATCAATTAAGAATCAGGATTAATTGTAATAAAGTTGATACTATTTTATAGCTTTCTTTTCAGCGAATCTAATGATATAGCGTTCGATTGGGTGCATCAGCTTTTGATACTCGTATTAGTGTTTAAAGTAGACAGGTAATCGTTTCAATTGAGTCACGTGATACCCATCTGGGTCAACACAGTTGCTTATTCATCCATTTACACTTTGCCAATTAGCTAATCAATCATATCATCCATAAGAATAAAACCTGTATTAATTAATCCGTCTCATCGCGCGCTATATATTACTATATTTTCTCAATTTCGAATATTTTTTAAAACATTAATTATTAAAGTTTAAACATTTGTATCGCAGTGCGTACGCTTATTGGTTGAATTCTAACACTTTTCTGATGTTGTGCCAACTTAGGTAATGAACTGTTGTGTGGCTGAACTAAGCCGAATTAGGAAGGTGTCGTGTCGTTACGGAAAAAGTGTCGTGTCGTTAAAGTTACTGTACGAAGTAGTACCCAGCTATTAAAGCACGGACGATATATCTTAGACAAAGCGCTAAGTGGGGTCTTAAGGCCAACCTACCGAGCATTTTAAGCCATGTTGGGCTTAGAGGGATTAATATATGGGTCTTTTGGTACAGCATAAGGAAGAAATGCATTTCAAGAGCAATGAGTATTTGATAGCTTCGGCTACGTAATTCTAACTTTGTAATCTTTCAGCTTAAGATATAGACATCTTTCCAATCTACGAAATATCTGTTTAAATAAAAAAAAAACAATTAGGAGATAACAGGTTAACTTCGCTATTAAGGCAGGTAAGAAGAGAATATTCTTTCCGAGCAACTAATAGGAACTTGCGAAGTCAAATCATGAATGCGTCATAATTCTATAGCAAATCGGTTATCACCTACATCTGAGAAGAGTCCTTAGCGGTCAATCCCAAAGGCATGGGTTTTGAACCAATCCCATCTGATTCTAAGAGTACGACTTACAGGGGGGGCTCTAGATGAACCAATAAGGAGCTATTAATCTCTCATAATTTTATAATATCGCCCCTGCACAGCAATGGAACACTCAATTAGCAAATGAAGAAAATATACCTACAGGTACCTATCCATCGATATACTTGAAATTATACTCGGCAATATAGACCTCCATTAACCAATCATCCCATACAAAGCGACTCTTCGGGATATCCTCCGAACTCAAATACTTCACCGGTGTTCTAGACTCGATACTTGTACGACTGGCATGTATGACTATGATAGCTAGAAAGTGGCGAAGGGAGAGCTTACCTAGTAGGACTATCGTTTGGTCTCTTTGCCAGCAGCTACACGTAAGCAGCGTGTGCCTGGTGGCGGCAAATTGCTTAGGTATAGAGGCCAGATATTTCTAATCATGGGTGGCGAGGTTTAATATCAGGTAGGTATTCAAAGATACGGAAATGATATCGAGAAATCTAATGTAAGTTAAAAGAAACATATCTACTAGGTAGATATGTACAATAGGAATGTAGGTAGGTAATTTAGAATTTCAAAACTACTTGCTGGGTTTTACTCCAATAGCCGTTCGTTATACACTATTCTATTTACGCCATAGGGCTCTTCATTCAAGGTGGAGGATTTGGTAATCTGCTAAATGTTCCACTTCTAATATTATAAGGCAAGGTAGATAGTGCCTTACGCGACAGGGTAATCGTCCTACAACAGTACGTACTAGGTAGTTCAAGTAAAACTTCCATTGTTAGGGACATGCGAATTGCAATGATTTCTAGAATACCGTAGATGCTAGAAATAGATATCAGGCAGGACCAGAGTTGGTCCTCGGAATGCTTGGTAATTAGCGGAATCTGATTATTCGCTATACCCAATGCCTATGAACTCATTAATCTGCAAGTCACCCTCGCCTGCCGTATGCTAGCTCCTGTCGACACGTTCAACCCAAGCCTGCCTGCCAATGCAAGATCGTTAATGAGAGCAGGGAAAGTATTCGCTCTTTACATGAATATTGTACATCCCATCTTGCGTTTGGACTTAATACCTCTTGGTAGGGCTCCTACTCTTGGTGGGACTTCGACCTCTCTCACCCTTAGACGGACTTCGTCGCGACATCGGCGTTTCCAAAGGTGGGAGAGCCTGGAACCTAGGCATTTCATCCGTATCAGGGGTATCGTCGTTGGCTAGCAGGTGCCGACTGTTCGAGCGACGCGGGGTTTGAGGTATTGCTTGCCAATATACTTGTCGCGAGGAAGGCCTTATGCTGTGCTGGTCTCCTGGATGATGAGAAGGGAAAGGTGCTGCTGGATGTGGCTGAAGATCCGTGAAAGCATTTGTACTCTTGTACAACGATCTTCCGCTGAATATGAAGATGGTGAATAAAAGGATAAGCAAGCTCTGATCCAAGGTTAGCTGACTACCTTCCAAGATAGACGGACATGCTAGATTCAACCAGGGTTACTTACAATAGTCTTGTAAGACATAGTGTCAACGATACCGTTTAGGATGCTGGCCATCTCTTTCGCGCCGTTCGAGACTTGCTTTACGTAATCCGGATTCTGGTTCATGCAAACTAGCCAGTCCTCGCAAAATTGGTAAACTGCTGGCAATCGCTTCTCTATTGGATGGCACTTGTTTTCTAAGTATTGGGATCTACATCCATCGATTTCGGCCAGTATATCGGCTCTTGCTGATTGTCTCACGGTAGAAAAATCTTGGCGCAAACCGCCGATGATAGTCCAACCGATCCAACAGGCGCCCGTTACGCAGACGAGGTTGAATGCGAAAGTCACCCAATAACCTAGAATACTAGGGGCGTATGGATGTCGCTGGACTGTGGCTAGGAACGATCCGAGCCAGCCTTCCTGGTTGCGCTTCGTCCCATCTTTACGGGGCTTCCCCGGCTGGAAGGTGCTCTCGTCAGACTCGTAATCCGATTCGTCAAATTCAAACTCCCGGCGATATGGTAGACGATAACCGCTAACGTCTTTGTCGGCATTGTATCGCTTCCTCTTACGCACCTTGTCTCGCGACGAGAACATGGTCTTGGCCAGCTCTCCTTTCCCGGGCGTCTTCTTGGATCTATGCCTGCCTACTGTGGACGGTGTTACAGTCATTCGTGAAATGTCGTATGAATTGTCGTTGTCAGGGGTGTCTGGGAAGTCCGAGACGTCGGTACCGGCCGGACTAGATTCAAACTCTGATAGCGCATCTACATCGAAAGGTTTGCTCGGTGTTGTAAAGGCGGGATTGCGGAATGGCGTGGCCGTAGTTGCTCTCTGAAATGACGAGCCAGTGAAGATAGACGATTGGTTTGGCGGCGTGGGAGGTAGAGGTTTAGACGGGGAAGGTGTGCTGCTCTGCGTGCGCTGGAATGGATTATGGCTGAAGGAGTTGTTGTTGTTATTACTGCCGTTGATATTCGAACCAAAGATGTCTACATCGCTCGCGACATTAGCATTCGTTGCCAGACGGATATGTTTATGATGCTTTTGAGGTCATATAGCTGCATGTATAGAACAAAAAAGAAAAGGGTATTTACTCTTCGCTTGCATCTGTTTCGTAGACTGCGCAAATGGGCTTGATGGATCCATGGGGCCATGATTCTGATATTCCCAGTCCATGGGCGATTCATACGTTCGTCTATCCATTCGGCCTCAATTGGACATCTGTCCGGTTGAAAATATACACTGTTGCAGTGTTTATGTAGTTGAGAGTAATTAGTTAACGAGCGAAAGAATGAAAAGGGTAAGTGATGAGGAATATGTGTGGAGCTTTTGAAGCTACTGTGTATGTATGTACTTGTTGATTTCCAATAATTTTTAGTTGAGGCTGATAAGAATTATAGTGCAAGGGCAATGTTTCTGTTGGCAACCGTCAGCTACAAAGTAAACAAAAAACTGCGAACTAAAACCACGTCCGGGGATGTGCTAATTACTACTGGTACCTAGGTACCTAGTACATTCAGCAATTACGAGCAGACGCTGCAGGAACTTTACGCCACACTAGATAGTGGGTACATATACGTAGGTACCTAAGTTGTGCTCTGTTCATGCATGAGCCACATTCGCTGTACCATTCCCTGCCTCCTTCCTGTAACTGCTGCTTCCAATGAACAAGAATTATTTTGATATTTTCATCTTTCAACTTTCGTCCACATCGATCACTTTTCTACCCAATAGCCTAAGTCAAGGCTCAATACGGACCTTCCATTACTATAACAATCTTATCTAAATTTCTGTAAGACCCGACCGGAAATCTCTTCCAACCTGCACCAGTTTTTCCCGTTCCTTCTGCAGACAATCAGACTGCAGGAGGCTAGGAAAGATCATCCAGTTTTCTCGTCGCTTCGATCCGTCTAGCATCTTCTTTCCCAATTCAAAATGTCGGATATAGAATCGGCTCCTCGGAGTCATCAAGAGGAGGAAGATAATGACCAGAATGATGCCCGTGCTGGTGATTCAGACAAGGATTCCGACGCGCTATCCGACATCGACGAGGACCAGTTCGATGACTACGATCCCAACACCGCCCGTATTGATGAAAAGCGCCCTGAACCTCAGATTATCGATGATGTTGCGGCACGTACATTGAAGGCTGGAAAGCGAAAGGGAACGGCCGCGAAGAAACCCAAGGAAGCACGACGCGCTAAGAAGCGATCGCGCGACAATGATAATGATGGAGCAGATGGTGAAATTTTAAATACCAAGAGAGCACGCAAGGTTCCCGGAGCGGATGCCCCCGAGCAAGAATCGGAGCACGAGGAAGAGAATCTGACGCCCGAGGAGCGACGGCGACGGGCTATCGAGCGCGCGGCCAGAAACCAACCCAAGCCTAAGGGTATTCGACGAAAGAAGAAGGATGAAGTGGTACGCAATAAATGAAGATCTCGCCACGTGGATGAGAAAATCACTAATACCTTAGTTTAGGATCTTGAAGATGAGTTGGATGAACGAATCGCAGATCTTAAGGTCCGCATGGAAAACGCCTGTCAAGCAGACAACCAAGCGCGTGAGGCGGGCCAACCGGCTCTACACAAATTGAAACTTCTCCCTGAAGTTATGGCAATACTTAATCTCAACAACAACCAAGCAGCGGTTCTCGACCCGGATACCAACTTCCTACAGCATCTGAAGTTCTTCCTCGAGCCCCTCAACGACAGCTCCCTGCCAGCTTACAACATCCAGCGTGACATCTTCCAAGCCTTGACTAATCTCCCGATAGAGAAGGAGACGCTACGATCGAGCGGCATCGGCAAAGTCGTTTTGTTCTACACCAAGAGCAAGAAACCTGAGGTAGGTATCAAACGCATGGCCGAACGCCTGCTAGGCGAGTGGAGTAGACCTATCCTGAATCGTAGTGATAACTACAAGAAACGTCACATCGAGATACGAGACTTAGATTACCAGTACGTTTGACTTGCTATGATATTCCTTATTCCAAACACAGTCTTGCTGACCAAGCCAAAACAGAGCAATGAAGATGAATCAAATGAATGCTAGCAGCAGCCAGCTGACACTCAACCAACGCCACACCGCCCAAAGCATCGCCGACGAGGAGCGAGCGCGTATACTTGCTCCCACAAGGGACGTCAGCCGTGCGCGCGTCACCGGTCTACCCTCCACCTACACAATCGCACCGCGCAGCACATTCGACCCCAACCGCGCCCAGGATTTCAAGCCCATCGGTGCCAGCGGAATGGAAGCGTTCCGCAAGATGACCCAGAAGGGCAAGAAGAGGAACTAGATCCTTCTTCCCTTTCGTCACACCGGCGTACGTCGGTCTGTAATCATGCTGGAACGCATATTTGGAGTTTGGGGGTTGGATGGTCTATTCAAACATCCATAAGAACAACGCAGTATTTAGGTACCTACCTAGGTACCTGCTCATTCATATAGCTTGTTCGGTAGGCTAACGGGGAGGATGGGCGTCTTAGGGCGAAGGCCGTCAGATAGGAGGCACCTAAAAACATGGCCTCGCCACGACGGAATTTTTAGGGATTATGAATACACTGTTGTTTTACCTGCTTGTCTAGTCTTGGTATTATTGTTGCTGTGATATACATGCATACTGTAGCCATTAACCCATGTAGCCATTGCTTGCCCTCTTTTGTTTCAAAGTTCCTGCTTTTCTTAGTCTATCCTCCTGTGATATCCGGTCTCTCCTTTCCATATGCGTTAGTAATCTAAATAACTAAAATGTCGTTCGGCATCCATGTTTTTACACATCACCCATGAATCATTACATTCCAATTCCTTATCCGATACTACTCGAATAGTCTATAAGCGCTTCTAAGAGAAATGGTAGAAGAAAGCATACGTAGACTAGAGTCTACCTATATTTCCATGGAACATGACAAGTCAGCATTATTGACGCAGGCCTTCCATACAAGGACAATGAGAGGCTTCATATGAATCACTGCATTGTCTCTACCCCTTTAAAATATTTCAAATGGTAGTGTTCCAGCCAGTAAATAGGCCAAACATACCTACCTACCTAAGTACTAGGTAGGTAGGTATCCATATGGATCTAGCACAGGTAGAGAGAAGATGCAAACCCTTGGTTTGAAATGGTCTGTAGCTTCTCTGAGAATCAAACCAAACCATATCTTTCATATTCGCTAGTAAAAGAACAAATAGAATCGGGTAGTTTAACATATATCCGAGAAGGATATATCAGCAGTCATGTATCGTCGTTTTATCCACTGCCTAAATTCCATTACCTATTCTTCATACTTACGCGCCACGATAACTCACTCATCAACTCAACAAACATTAGGGGGAAGATGAAAGTTTTTAAAAAATATAGGGAAAGGAGAAGAGAAAAGGGGCCAAATCCTCGGACCTGGTTCTACAGTAAACACTATTCATCACTCCTAGGGGAAAAAAAGCCTTCAATGTTCTTGTTATCATCGATCTTCATCTCTTGGATCTCTTGCTCTGTTCGACCTCCACGATCGGGATCGTAAATCGTTGATCGAAGTCCGTTCTATGTTAGATTCTTCTCTTTCTTTCTTTCTCTTTCCTCGGCAAAAAGGAAGGACCGGTCTTGTTCATGTCTTCTCCAATAGCTCAGATAAACTATCTCCATAGCTTTAACCTCGCGGGTTCTTATTACCACAGTCATCGATAGCTAGTAATAGGCTCGAATGTCCCTATCGCTTCTTCACCTCATTAGCCCAACCTTCAATTCCATCGCCCCGGCTTCCGGGCACCAGCCCCTCAAGTTTAATATCTTCCATGCCCGGAGTATCGTCTAGCCATGGGTGATTCGACATGCCGCCGGCATTCGCTCGTTTTTCCGGTAAGAGTTCGAGCATCGGCAGCAGAAACTCGGAGACTTCGGAGGGTTGATATTCTAGAGTCGCTTCGTCGTCGGGAAAGAGATCCTCCACAGCGTCCTCATCCTCTCCATTCTTCCTCGCTTCCATTTTAGCCTTGGCCTTGGCCTCAGCTCGTTCCCTCCGAGTCTTCTCTTTGTCTTCTCGCTGATTCGGAGGTAGGTCCTTCATATCTTTAAAGTGATACTTCTCGCGAAGGACGTCAGGTAATGCCCAATGTCGGAGGCGGTGAATGTTGCGAAGTTCCCCTCTCTTGTTAAAGATTTCCTGGGACCAACGGCCAGTCTTCCAAAGATCTTTGGGGAAGGGTCCCAGAAGCTCGATGATCTGTGCGATATGATCGTCGTCCTTCCCATACTTAGTCCCAGATTGGGGGTCAAAAAGATAGTCGCCGGTAATTAACTCGAAAACCTGTTTGACAATCTCGTTAGTTCCGCTTCAAGTTATCACCCGACGAGTATTTTATATCCGTTGGTTCGAACGAGGGAAAATAACATACCATCGCAGCCATGCTCCACACGTCGGTGCTCGCACCCCATTTCGCACCGAGAATAACCTCAGGTGATCGATATTGCCGCGTCTGAATATCGTTTGTGAAGTGATGGGAGACCCAGCAGGCATTTCCTAAATCCGCAATCTTGACGTTGATGATGGGGCCTCTGCGTTTTCGTTTCCTCTTCTCGCCCGCTGATGCCGCGCCACCTGTAGTGGACTTGTCCAGCGAGATCCCAGACACCTCCCTAGTGAGGAGGTCCCTGTTAGGAATCATATGTCAGAAACTAAGCTACAACCAATGAAGTACGAATTAGACCTACGCTGTCTTCTCTCGCTGACCTTGCTTATCACTTGTGGAAGAGCCCGGTGTGGCTGCTGCTATGTGATGACTAGTTAGCATCAAGTACCGACAAAGAATCGAGTAGAAAAATGGATTGGAGGATGAGCATGGGCATGTGAATGTGGGGGCGGGACTTGAATGTGGTGGGGTGTGTGAATATTGGCTCTGCCGAGATGAGGCGCCAGATGGTAAGATAGTAGTGCGGCACTAGTAGATGTAGATGATGCGGAGGATCGAGTCTTATGTAGGTACATACCATCGTGTAACATGGCATTAAGGCTGCTGTGCGATTTGGTCGACGGGAATAGATTATCGCGATTGAAGTTGGCGTTTAGGGGAGATGGTAGCGGTTGACTTCCGGTAATGAGAGTCCGTCTTCGTCGCCGCCCATTCCTGTTATTCTCCTTGTCCGAATTCTCGTTCTTGACTACCTTCTTGACCACTTGCTCGACATCGCCGATCTCTATCAATACGTTTTCTGGTTTGAGATCTGTGTGGATGATACCGCATTCCCGATGCAGATAATCCAAGCCCATTAATACCTGCTTCGTAATCTGCATAACGAGATCCCGAGGGATACCCCGATGTTGCCACTTCTTTATTAATCCTAGAAGATTTTCTCCGAGAACCTCGAACACCATGCATACGTGCACGCCGTTGGGTCCCTTATGTTCGAATGAGTCGAGAAGACTGACGACATATTTTCGGCCGGGGTGGTTGGGGTTGGCTTGAACGATTTTCTGGAGTAGCTTGATCTCGTCGATGGCGGTCTCGGTGTAGTGACTAGCGGATCGCACAACCTTCAACGCGACGTGTTTACCGTTTGTGTTGTCTCGCGATAACCAGACGGTTGAGAAGTGGCCCCATCCCAGTTTTCGCACAACCGTATATTTTCCATCCTTGAACTTCTCGCCAATTTGAACGGGGTGATATCCTCCTTTACAATAATCCTCGGAATCTTCCTCTTCAGCAGTATTTTCGGCGGCGTCTTCAGGTCCGGATGACGACGTGGGGGAATGTTGATTCATTGTGCTTGCTAGATGCGGTGGCCTATATCAAAGAAATGAATGTTAGTAATGATATCCAACAAAAATGGGTACGAAATATATAGAAGTAGTGACGGCGCGACTTTAGATTCTAAATATGAGGAGTGCATCAGATATTAACAATTAATTGTATCCAGCGCAAGCAAGCAAGCAAAGCTGAAGATTGAGAGTGAGTAAGTTATTGTGGCTGGCTGCAGGTTGGTGGCCCTGACTGGCTGTGTGATACCCTGACGGTCCGGAATCAGGATCACCAATGAGAGGCAGACTTGGGGAAAATTCCATCAAGATGCCTTGCCCACACTGCCCAAGCAACTAGTTGCCGTGCTTCTGTTTTTTTTCCTCTTCTTTTTTTTGGGGACGGTGGCGGTGGGGTGAAAATAGAAGAAAACTGGTGGGGTATATGTCCCATGCTCCATGCTTCAAGTTCCAAGTTCCATGTCAGAATTATTAGTAGAGGATAAGTAGTAACCTTTTCTTCATGGTAGCCATCGTGTCCAACGTTGTCGCGAACTCCTATCGGTATCGGTATCGGCCAAAGAAGGAAGATTGATACCTAGGTAACCAGATGCGAGGAAGAACAACTGTAAAAGAGGAAAGTCGGAGCGCGGAAGTAACCGTACTCTGCCAGTGTACCCAAGGAAGCGTCTGAGAAAGTGCCAAGCAATGGGATGGATGGATGAGTGGATGGAGAGACGGAAGAGTGAGTGCGGGATAAGCGAATGGTGGAAATGAGGGACAAGCGACAGGAAACAAGGTGACCACCAGAACCGCGAACAAATCGAATAGGTATAAAGGTGAGGAGAGTGAGAAGAGCAAGTAGGAGAGTGAGCGAGGGAGCGAGAGATAGAGTGGACAAGGCAAAAAATGAAGCTAGTGAGCGATAAATCGTAGCCCACACAACAACATGCAACACAACACGATACAACCCGACCTGACTCAACTCAACTAAAGCTCAACCCTAAGGTGAAGGGATAAAAAAACATAAATAAAAATAAGGATAGGATGGAATAGGTAATGGCAGAAAAAAAGGGGGGTAGGACGATTCCTATCAAGACTGGTGCGCTTGCTTGCTTGCTTCCTGTTGTGAGAGGCGGCAATAGTATTTCAACCCCCTCTCCCCTTTCGTGGTTCCAGTCGATCCCCCCAGTCAAGTTTAGCTCAACTCGCTGTGCGTAGGATGTAGATGTATGTAGGTATGTAGGTAGGTTATGTATGTGATTGTAGACGGGATGCCGTGTACAGTGTAATAATATATGTGTATGTGTGTATGTGTGTATGTAATGTCAGATGGATGGTAGATGGGATACTAGGCGCTGGGTACACGGTGAGAGATTGAGAAGCTGTGGGCGCTAAAGGTCCATAGCACCAGAGTACCAGAGCACCAGGCGTTGAGATGGGAGGGGGGGAGCAGTCCCGAGCTTTTCTTTTCGGTCGAGTACCCGATCCTGACAGGGCAGAAAAGGTCTAAACAGGGGCCATACAAGCGCCAATACAGTGATCGTACAGGGAAGCCCAGCCCAAAATAGTCCAGGGGAGGGGGGGTTGTGTTTTGTGTACCTGGGTACGTCCTTGTGTCCTTGTGTCCCCTCCTCCAACCCCTCAGCGCCCAGTGCTCTATCAACAATCAACAAATGCTCCGCAGTTGGTTGCAACGCTTGACCGTTTTCAGGGGGGAGGAGTGGATGGTAGAACGGTCGGCTCGGCTCAGCCCCGCCACCCCAGGAGCAGATGATATCGGAACTTAGACCTCTTGATTTTCTCATATAAGCCCACTAATACAACATCAACCAGTCGCGGGATATATGGTCCATATCGCTATGTCGTTGCAGATTGGCTAATAGGATGCCAGCCTGTACCAAATACGGAATAGTAGATGGCATATGACCACAGAGGAAGGGAGAAGGATAGAAGGATAGAAAGCGCGACGTCAAATTTGTATGTGCGATGTATGTATCACTGACTTAATGAAAGCCCGAAGATGAAGAGAAAGAGTCCCGTGATTGAAGTTCCTATCCGAAGATCTGATCTGGTCCGGTCCCGGTTGGGGTTGTGTTGGCATGATTTCTCCTAGTCTCGTCGCGAAAAATCCACGGTCCCTAGGTATGGTCCCCATGGTCCCTATGGTTCCATTTTGCGAACACATGTTTCCTCTGCTCCGTTTCCCGCTGGATAGCTCCGAAAGTATCTGGCCTGCTTCTTGCTTACCTGGGAATTATTGCTCTGCCCTGCTTTGCTTTTCTTTGCTTGCTTGCTCGCGCTGGCTGCATCATGTCATGAATCTACATTCCCTCGCACCCAACAATGGATTTCGTACTGCAAGGTGGTGTGCATATGCAGTAGGCACGGGCAATGGGTAGATAGAGGACATCCATAGATAGAACAAAAGGGAATAATGACAAAAATCGAGATGATCTTACCCTGGTATCGGACCCTCTGTCGTGATGATAGGTTTTAACCCATCCTTCTTTCTCTTCTTATTGAGTAGTGTCGGACCTGCAAGGTTTCCTGCCGTCGAATTCGTGCCGTTGCCGTTCGCACCCGTCATTAGAGGAACTGTAGTAGAGGGAGTTATAGGATCGTCTGCTGTATTAGAAACTACAGACGGTTCTGCCGCATCCTTCGCGCCGTTCATCGTGTCGTTATTCGGATGTGGGGGAATATGAGTAGCGCACTATCGCAACTCGAAATACGATTCGCAGTCCTGGTTCTTGGCTCTTGGTAGGCTCGGTGCTCGGTATACAAAGTTTTCGGGGTTCGAATTTGGTTGCGGCTAGTCGCTCTTTCGGATGGGAATCGAGGATTAGGTTGATTAAAAAGGGGGAATAATGAATCTTGATGCGTTGCGGTGCGAGAAATAAATATCGGCTTCGTTGATGGTCAATGTTGAGGTTGTTGAGGTTGTTGGGGTTAAGGTGGTGTCGATCGCATTCGAAGAGAATAATTAAAGAATGCGAAACAATGCGATGATGCGACGATGCGACGATGCGATGCGGTTTGATGCGAATGCGATAGATACGATACACACAATATACACGTAATATATGAATGTGGTCCTTGCTCTTAATTATTGATGTCAACTCTAATTCTTCTTTTTTTCTCTTTCCGCCCTGCTGCGTAGAAATTATCAATATTCGGAATCAATGGAATTTTATTGTTGGTGGTGTGATTCTCGAGAGGTCGATTGGCCGAGGAGAGAAATAAAACAAAGCTCCAGGGCTATGAGGGCATAACAAATTCCTAAGGTGCGATCGGCAAGAGGAAAGAGAGAGGGAAATAGGTTCTTTTTTACTCACACTGGGTTAGAATTTATTATTGGGTTGTATTTGTTGATGCTAGATTAAACTAGTCTCTTAATGATTTAGTTTCAAAATTTGGAATAGTATAAAAAAAAGGTAGAGTTGTTTTTATCTTCTTTTTGTTTCGTCGCAAAATCTTGGATTCGCAACGTCATATGGAAATGGGTTCAAGGGTTGGTACCGGAAGTCGCGCCTCTCAGTCGTCAACGTGCATCTACACCCATAGGAATAAAGGGATAAGGGGGCGACTAACTTAAAAATAATTGGGGACTGTCTGTACCTAGGTATTTATAACGTTGAAGTTGTTCTCTCGATACTTGAATACGAGATGAATAGGAAAAACAAATCGCAACTCATCAATTACGGTATTGGTTGATGAGAGAATAATGGGACGACAACAATACAAAAAGACATTCGACTTCTAGGGTATCTACGAGGAAGTGCTCCAGATCAAATAGATGAAAGGGAGGGAAAAGGAATAATTCGATGGGTCGATATCAATATCTCTAATATCATAAGTATGCAGATGCAGATGCAGATGCAAACAGGAAGGCAGTTTGATTGGAAAGCTTTAATTACGTGGAAGCGCGGGAAGATACATGATCTAAAGGCTAAAAAAAGATAAGGTACCAATTCTGAAGTATATTGAAATATTGAACGTCATGTACTGTTTCATCTTTTCGAGTGAAACGATGTACCTCTTATCCATCTTTCAGTCTGATATGCAGCAATCCATGCTTGTTCCATGCATGTATCCAATTCTGACAAGGTCTAGTACATACATACCTACCTAGGTCGCTAGGTAATAAGTGCAATCGAAACCCGAACTTTGATCTCGGCTAGTATCGAACTTCATTCTATCTTGAAATTCTTCTTACTCCTCCCCCAATTGGCATCCATCGCATCCATACCCGAGATCGATGTATGATGATTGCGTAACAATAGGAAATCATGCGTTTAGGGTCAATTGGAGATGCTGTTCCGTCAGACAAAAATTAGGTCCTTCTCGCAAATCAGTAACCAAAACTGTGTTACTTCAGTCGGCAACACAGCCTAAGGTTGCTGCACCACCGCTGGCTTGGTATTATTAACGGCCCTAAAGAGATCTAGTCATCTCAAATTACTACTTTTACGTCCCAGAGACCGATATCATCACAGCTACACACCTTATTGATATTATTACATATCTACAATAAAACATATAAAATACCCTACCTACTCACTTATTTATTCGTCTACTCGAATTTACGGCTATTTTCATCAAATACAGATAGCGAACGACACATCGTTCGCATATACGGCAATCCTATTTGTCGATCCTGCCCCGCGTTGGGTATCTACAAGCGCTCGGCACCATCTAATTGGGCAACCCGATAGGATAACGAGAAGCAAGACCTGACCTGGACTTTGTCTGTCAGGGGCTCAAGCGGACCTCCCGAGTCATCCTCCTGTCCGACGCCTCCCTCTTCTCCAGAACCTACTTAGGTAGGTACGGATCCCTATGGATCGCACTTATAGACGAGTTATTTATTCGCCGTCTCTTATTGTCTACTGTTATTTGCCTTGATCATGGGAGAGCGGCGATTTCGTCATCGCGGATCATACTCCCCCTCAAGATCACACGATACGGGATGTCCCGCTATCATAGTGATAATAAGGCATATAGAATTCCAAGTTTCTCATATAACTACATGCTATCGGTTTTCTATTGGTTGATGGCTATAGGGCATCGTAGAACTAGCAACGCGTTATCGTGTTACGCTAATGGGGAGCTTCGTCAATAGCTTTACGCCAGTCTTAGATGCTACGTATTGTATTGGTAGTTTCAGGTTGGGTCGAGTCTCGGAAGCTCGTGTTTTCTCTCTTTCTTCTATCTGACCTGCAGCAAAGCGGGAATCGTGTACTTCCACTTTGGTCCAGTTAAAGCGCGATTGCATCATCAGCCGCCATCCGCATCATTTATTCGGCTACTCTAGAAGCCGTCTATATCCTAATTGGACGAGAACCTGGCGTTGAGAAGAGCCAAGCTTCCGCCATCCCTTATTCACGTAAGAGGCTTTTCACCTAAGCCCGTTCACCGGCGCGGCTACCTATGAAACAAAAAAAAAGGGAAAAGAAAAGCGGACATAATAATTGCCGGAGCCTCTATCCAGCGGATTTCCGTACTGGCTCGGGGAGCTCGGTGTCCATTATAAGCATGCTCAGCGGACGCGATGTAAGTACTCCATATCTCATAGTACACAACATCTTTCTATAGAATCAACAGCTCTTCAGAATGCGTCATTTAGAACCGCTAACCCGTTTTTCAAGTTATCAATGAAGCAATGAACATCAAAGTAAACAAAAATCTTAGCCCCGAGCCGCCTCAAAGCTCAGTCAGCGTATCTTCGGCAGGGGTCTTAATAAGCAAAAGTTGCTCTTGTCTTCCGTAGACCCATTCCCAACTATTCGTCGCGTCGTCCCAGTATACATCCTCTTCTTGAGGGAAGACTATAGTTCTATTCCTCTCGAGAACGAAATGTTCCGCGAAAAGTTCAATGCTATAAAATGTATTTTTGAGCAGTGGGAGATCTCCAAGAACCGGAACTTCGTCTTGAAGATTAGTCATACCTGGGAAAATTAGCGAAATAATAGCGAAAGGAGGTACAGAATACATGATGAAGACATACCAATCACTGTCCCTGCTGAGTGCCCCCATTCTCCAGTAGCATGACAATAAATCTTACCTTCGATACCTTCATTATGAGCCTGCTCTAAAGCCACCTTCAAAATCTCGTTACCAGTCATGCCGATCTTCATGTTATTCTTCACGATATCTTGCAGCCTGTTGACTTTCTTGAGGCCTTCAATAAAGCCCTTCGGCACATCAGTCTCCGTCTCTCCAGGATAGAGCACGTATCCTATATGCTGCGTATCCGTATTCAAGCCAAGCGCCGTCACGCCGAAATCCGTATGAATCAAGTCACCATACGTGATCGGCCTATCCGGCGCGCGAGGGTCGTCCATGGCAGAAGGATCATCGGCGGCCGAGAATCCCGACCCAGTCAGAATGAATACACTGGGCTGGAACCAGGTGGTGTAATTCAGAGACTGAATCCTCTCTCGCATCCACCATTCGATATCCTTCGAAATTAAAATCGTTAGCCTAGGATCTCGCCACGTTCACTCGATACACGAGATGACTTACCCAACTCGTGGATTTCTCAGGTACGATGATCTTCTCGCTGAATCCCTCCTCGATTATAGCCCAAGCTGTCTCCATCATCTTGCGATACCACGGCAATCGACCCTTCACCATCGTCGCGATAACCTCAACGCCCAGCATAGGCTCTAGTACAAACTTATCCTTCCACTCCTCTCCAATTCCCTTCACCACAGCGTCTAACTCGCCCGCATGCATACCCCCGGCAAACGCGAGCTCAGGATGTGTATTCAGCGCAATCGAGCGCGGCTGCTGCGCCGCAAGTATCTTCCGTAGATCCGTCCACACAAAATCCGTGTTCTCGATCCATGAGTAGCTCGTCGGCGCACCACCAACCGGGTCCGCGAGGAACAGGTGCGTAGTGCGTCGCCGCGCAGAAAATTCCGTCGCTTCTTTGAGCGCCCAAAAGACAGTGTCTTCGGCGTATTCCCGCTGGCTCATCTACATGGGGTGTTAACGCTTCGTTTGTGGTGTGAATAAAGATAATGGGGTTCTGACTAGCCACGCATCGATGCCGTATTTGCGCAACAGGCCTGGGATAAGCGCTTTGCGTTCTTCTGTCCATCCGTCTACTAGCCTCGCTTGCTCTCGCAGGGAAGGGAGGGTTTGGAATTGTGGTGTTTTGCCCGGTGCGGTTCCGACATATGCGCTTACTGTAGAAAGGACGGTGGCGATGCTGATGAGGTATGTGAATAGTAACGTAAGACCCCGCATCGTCGCACGAGTTCGATTCTTCCGCGAGACACCTAGGAGCTTTCAAATCTACAAGTGAGTGACTACACGATAGTTTCAAAACACCAAAATTATGCAAATAGGTTAGATATGCTTAATTGAGTCTTGGTTAGGTGTATGTTCAACTTTAGAAGATATCTCAATCGACGCCGATGTCTCGTATCTCTTTACCCCGGTGTTATCGTCTCTTCCCTGGTCGGTTGGAGATTCCGATCTAGATTGAGCCGTTGCTTGGCGAACCCACTAACTCGATACACCTGCCACTTTAGGCAAGTAAGTAAACACCGCCACCATGTCGAGTTCAATAGAAAAGAGATTCCTATATGAAGGGGAAAACCAATGTCACGAATATAGAAATGTTGACAAATAAGTAGTAAAAGAGCAATTGTTAGCTAGGTAGGTACCAACAAAAGTTTCGCATATCAGCCACGTTCCTTGCCCAGTGCGTACCTAATCAATCGCTGAATACTGTATTAGGTTAACCTAAGATTCAGACCTAATAGTGGTCTGTCCACCTATAAGCCCACTAAGATATAGCGGACACCCACTAGGTTTTAGGGGTCAAGCCAAACTTCAATTAGGTAATGAACCGCATTTCTTACGTAATCATGAAGAGAAAAGGGGCTACACATCTAGGTCGATAGCTTCGACGACAACAGCTAGATATAATGAAGCACAATAACAGTACCGCCGACATTGGTTTCTATGCAGGTAAGCTTTCTTCTTCGCAACACTAGCTAAGCCAGTGATTGAGATGAAAAAAAAAAAGAATCAGCAGAGCTGAGAGGGTTCAAAAATTTGTAAAGCAAAAGCTGAAAAGTGCTTATGATGCTTATGTGACAAAGTCACGAGTGTGGCATCCCCACCATGCCGACCAACATTGTCAGTATCGTTCAAAAGGGGGGGCAACATACCTCCTCGTCTCGCGGAGATACCCAGGGACTGCTCGACCCAGACACCAGGGATCCTATGGCAGGGATCGCACCGGTTGGACAGCCCCCCGTTACCTGACCTTTATTGCTGGAAGCTCAACATCTTTCACGGCCTGGCAGTCTCCCAAATGAGATGACTGCACTCAGGGGCTTATCTCCCCTACCACAGTGCTTGTCGATTTTCCAGTAAGCGACCTCCCTTCATGAGATCGTTAGTCCCTTACTGTCACACCGTGGCTACCGCTGCACGGGGGTGGGTGCGTAGCGTTGGTCAGTATCCCCTCCATCCTCCTCGGGGATACCGCCGGGACCCCCTTGCCCTCCGAGGGACGTCACCATCCAGGGCTGTAACCCCCTTGGCAGGTGAACACGGGAGGCGCCCAAGTCGACTCCCGATAAGGCCAGCGATAACGCTTCCGCGAGGAACAAGTTCCAAGCGGAGGGAATGGCCTCGTCCCACTGCAGACTAGCTAGACGACACGGAGTAGGGCCTACAAGGAATAATGCACCTCTCTTCCTTGATCAGCTTCCCTGCTTTTATCACTCCGTCTTCTCCACGGAGGTCCAGTGACCTTCGGTAGGTGTGAGTGAAGCGAGGGGGGTATTATTATCCGGAGACGAGGCACCCTTTCCACTTCAGACTGGCGACTAAGTCCGAGAGAAGGCCCAGGCGTATCGCCAGGCCCCGCACAGGAGATGCTCAAAAGACCAAGGGCGATACGCCCAGAGGAAGGGGTTCTAGTGCAGGAGTCCAGGCGATGGCGACAGCGTAGGTTATTCAAGATAGAACTATGAAGCCAAGGTCGCCATAACCTGGGACAATTATTTGGCTAAGTGAATGTTAGTTGGAGTACGGAAGAAGGGTATGTTGCGATGTATGAAGATGTAGAAAGCTTGTAATGGATATAAGGGATTTACTTACTTTGTGCATGAATTATTCTGGCCCATGCACTTTTTTTATTTGCATGACTTGCTAGCGTATACGATATCGATCTGTGAGTTGTTAGAATATGATGATGTATAGATTGAAAATGGAAGTGATTAAGAACGATAGAATATGATGTTGAAGTTGAAGAAGTGGGACGAAGATTAGGAAGTGATTAATGATGAAAGTGCGTTGATGGTAAGAGTGGGGCGGGTGGTAGATAATAAATGAGGAAATACTTTTGTGGGGTGGGTTACGAGATAAAGATTATTGTAAAGTACGAGAAGAGATATCAAGGAAGAAATGAGAATTAAGTGAGAAGGGGAGGAAGATAAAGATGGTAGTGGGTAGGTGCCGAGTAGAAATTCTATCTATGGATACAGTTGATAGAGAAGATCATGTAAGGAAGTAGGGCAAAAGTTGTGATATGGTGTGGGGCTAAGGTGGTTAAGTTTCATGGCAGGTGACGGGGGTGATGTACGAGGCAGATGAAGGGAAAGTCGAAAAGAATAGGTACTTAGGTACCCTTAGTGGTGTGATGCGATGGATTTGGACTGAGGATGAGAAAGAGAGATGGGCCAGTGACGAGATGATACGTGAGGGAGAAAGTTTCCAAGGGAAGGTTGAAATACCTACTAGGTAGATGGGTAGAAAGATCGAAGAAGAAAAGGCGATGTAGAAAAAAGGAAATGTTGTAGGTAGAAGTGATGGAAGGTGAAGGCTGGAATTAAGAGAAGTAGGAAAGGGAAGTAGGAGAGAGAAGTAGTAGAGAGAAGTAGCAGAGAGAAGTAGGAGAGATAATAGATTGTTGCTTACCTTAGTGGACCTAGATTATTAGTAGTGGTTTGTAAGTGAGGAAGAAAGGAAGTTGAGTTAGGAAGGAAAAATAAAAGGGAAGAAGGAGAGGGAGAAAGGCGAGTATATATAGGTTTTCCAAAGGCAGGTTGGGAAGGCTGATTAGGATTACTGATTAACAAGATCAGTGGAGTTCGAAAAATAAAAAAATCTTATAAGTTTAATGGTTTTTATACCGTGACTCAATTATATCTATAGCTACAATCAGTAGTACATTGCTAGGTATTGTCGAGTCTCCGAGGCAACGACGGCAGTTCCTCCAATCTCATTGGTGGAGTGTGAGTACCTACTACCTCCGTACTACGTATAATATATTTAAGCTTCGTGCCTAGTCTTAATATACATCATTTTTCAGCCAATAGAAAAACTCCTCGACGTCGTATTGAGGCTCAAATTGATTATATAAGCAGTGATCCCCTATTTATATAGTGTGAACAGAGCACGTCGTATATTATCTTAAGAACAAGTACCTTGTACCTGTCTAAAATCAGTACGCGCTAGTATTTAATCAATTTTTAATTGGTCAATTCCTGCAATCAGTATGCCGTATCTATAAACCACACTCATTTTCTGTGTAGTTCAATGTCAGTAACCTAGCAACTTGGTTATTTTAGGTGAACGACCCACCATAATTCTCCCCAGAAAATTAAATAGGTGCCTAGTACTTAAATCTGATTTTTAATTGGTCTGATCTAATTAATAATATTATATAGGTACCTATGTACGTAGGTACGTAGGTACCTTTGTATATGTTCTATCAGTTACCCCTTTTCGCACTCGCCCCACTTCTACCAAACACCTACCTCATTTTTCTTCCATGCTTGGAATAATAATAAGACAGAAGAGCCACGGTTTATTACTGAGGTCGCCTAATCATTAAATTCGTACGAAGTAGACTTAGCCATCTAGGATGTAGGACCGTCGAAGACCGTTTTGAACCACTACCTACCTAGGTACCTAGTAGGATTCATGACGATAACTACGGATACTCTGGTGATCTATTACCTTCCTAGAATGAAGCATACGCACGCCAACGTATGGAAAGCTTATGTTCAAGTACCCCTGGAAATAAAACTTGCTCGAGTTTAGTTAGATACGATTGAATAGTAATTAATAGAGGGGGTTGAGATAACTACTCGAACCCGAAACTAAGATTCACCAGCTAAGGTATAAGTCTAAATCTCCTCCTATCTACCAGCGCAGTGTGATTAGTAGCCCTAATCTGCTCCGACCAAAATCTAACCACTATCCCAAATTCTGTAGTGTTGGGCACTATAAACGCATGCGTCTTGTTTGTCCAATCTTCCAGGATTATATTTTCTTCACCGCCGTACCATATGATCTCATAGGCTTCCTCATACGAGTTTTCCCCTTGTCTGTATTTTGCAAGAGGAAGGAGATCAATTTTGACCAGTGTTGAGCCTTCCTTATCCACAATTTCCGTATAGTTCTCGATAAGTCGGACTGAGCCTAAAAGAGACAGCCATAGGCCTTCAATACAAGCTTCGCAAAAGTCCACGGAATAGACGCTACGCATCAAACATAGGTCGTTTGTAGGTCGGAATGAGGTTGCATTCGTGTCGGAGAATCTATCAAGGTAAGCATAGGTACGTAACCAAATTTGAAGAACTAGATAATAACAAGATACGTAAAGCTTGAACACTTACGTTGGATATAACCCATAATACCCAGCATCAAAATCGAACCTGTACATTAGCATGAGAATTGATAGCCTTCAAGTTGAGTAGGAGGTGGCTTACTCTTCGCCATACTCAATAACTTCGAGGTTACATAGTTGTGCACTTCCTTCTATCTCCTGGTTTAGAAGAGTGACTTTTATCTCATGATCTCCTGGAGTTAGGGCCTCGTTAACTTTCATATTGTAGATATACCGATCGACCCCGACCACGGGGTTTATTTCCCAGCCGACGTCCCTGTCGTCGATCTCTACACGCAAGTCGTTGGTACTTGTTACACCGCTCAGGCTGACCTGAACTAGATGTGTATTGTATGAGCCAGCCGAGACGAAACTCTGACTCCAGCTTTGTGTCGTGTTTAGCAACGTCCATGGATATGCCTGTATCGGCATGTTGGACCGCTGAACCTTTGGCTCCGCGGAAGAGTTGGTATACCACGATGTCCAGGGCACCGAGCTTGCGTTGTGAGCCGCATTGACACCGGTATATACCTGTCCCCCGTCATATTCTTCACCGACGCCGATGATCGAGTGTCCTAACTCGTGGCGGAGGATAGCAGGTCCATTGATCGGAGAAGATGTTATCACCCTGGGGATTTCAGTAGGGCAATATGAGTTGGAATATGATATATCTTACGTGAATGTACCACCAAGCCCCCCATACAGTGGATCATTTCCGAGGAGGATGGGATAGTCGCAAGCGTCTGTTGATTGACAGGCAGCGCGTGCTATCTCTGGCTTATCGTAATACACACCACGTAGCTCGGTGCCGTCACGGTAAAGACCATAAACAGTACTGTAACCACGCAACGTAAATAATCGGGTCATAATAAAAATATTTTTGAAGGGGAAAAGGGAAGACGCACTTCTTTGGCACGCCACCGGTGCCAATACCGCTCTGTCATGAAGTTAGACTTGAGGGATATCATACTTGGCATCGTATATCGTAGTGTATGTTACGTACATCAGTACTGGGTGTATACCCAGCCCAAAAATTCAACAAAGGAAGCACATCGAAAAACGTATGCCCATTTGTGATATTCTCTGCGAGAAACTGAGCGTCGGTAAAGAATTTTTCTTTCTCTTCCAAAGTATCTGCCCACCAGCATCAGATCAGTTGACCTCATAGTTGTTAATCCATGGCGAGATGTTGGATAGGTACGCACATCCATCGCTGAAGAATATAAGATCCACACGGTTTCTCGAGGGTCCGTTTACGATGAGAGGCCTGATCTCTAGATCAGGAGGATCAATGTAGTCCCTCGCTTGGAGATATGGAACACCATCCACCTCGTGGTCCGCCCACTTCCCCTCCCATTGATGCTCGCAGAACTGTCCGAATGTCACAGGTATAGCCACGAGGGCGACTAGCAAAGTCTTGAGTAAATCCATGATTTGGATACAAGAAAACAATCAAGACAGGATTTTGCTATAGTTCAATCGGAACACAGCTTGATAGTCGGATGTTCTACATTTTAATAACCACGACATACGGTCGGCACTTCTGAATAGGCGAACTGACCTTCCAAAAACGCTTAATCTTTATACTTTTCTCCAATAATGGTCGTAGTCTAGGTATCTATATAAGCGTACCAACCCTCTGCGTACTGCCAAGTCTCGTATCTATCCGCCAAGAAGATAAGATGCACCTATCAGCCGGCTGTTCCATTTTGTTTGCAGGTAAGATATATCGCGAGAAGAAAGAGAATCAGGTGCAGGTGGCTTATTCCTGAACTAATATATAAAGTTTTCTTAATAATGTTTGAAAAGGTTTAAACTGGATATAGTAGGTATCTAGCCAAGTGATAGGTAGGGAGAAGGATCGCGTAAAGCTTAATTCAACGTGAATATTACGAGAGGTCGTAAGATCTTTAATATACAGTAATGCACAAACTTTCGTCGGTGCTGTTGGTTAATAGGTACCTAGGTAGGTAGATATGAGATAGAATGCTGACGGATCAAGTAATGCTGGTCATCATGATAACCTTGAAACTAACACTAACAGAATGTTTGAACAGATGTAAGATTCATGAACATGTAATTCAGAAACAAGTACCATTTTATTACTCCACAAAGCGAGCAGAGTAAGAATAAGGCAAGAAAAGTACCCGACACCATGTTCATGCCACCATCGCACTATAATACCCTGCAGACATCCACTGGTGTCAGAGTATAAGGCCTAGGCGGTAGCGCTAAAGAGGTAACACGATGGATGTTATCTGAATGGGGATTCCTAATAAACATCGATTCAATGCGAATGATGAAAACATACTTTGACGGGTTAACCGCTTAATCAAATCGACGAATCCAACCTTGCGTTTTTTTCTCTGTTTTTTTTATTACTAGGTATTCAAACAAACATCGCAGCCATGGCATAAGCTTATTTAAACCTACTAGGCACCTACCTAGGTACCCAAATGCCTTTTGGGTCTCGTATCTGACAGTTAGCGCTTTGGGCGTGGTCGATCATCCAGTCCTTCGGGTGGATGATCAGCTAGCCAATTTCCCAAATACCTACCCAATCCAGTTATTTACCTAATCAAACTTCTATCGCAAGGCATTGATGAACCGTACTAAAGATTGGATGGTACAGGATTACCCTTGTCGATAGTATAATACGCACAACCGTTGTCAAAGGATCGAAGGATCATGGGCTTAATAACTGGGTAAAGATCTAGCTACCTAGGTATTAATAATGTACAGGTTTATAGGGACGTTGTTACCGCGAGTCAGCGGGAAAAATGAGACACTACCTATTATAAAAAGAATAGTTACCTGACTTACATGAAATTAGGACAATACCTAGGTACCTAATGTTTTATTTATTCCAGCTTATTGGCGTATTAGAAGCCGTGTCTCTCATCAGGTACAATGGCTTATCCAAATGCGGAAGGATGGCTTAGACTCTTGTCATTGGCTATCTCCATGCGGATCATCGGCGGAAAAGGGAAGGTCGCTACGATAATCGAGCACGCGATGATATGCGCGTGTCCGGGGGTAAGCTGCAGGAGGTAGGTAGTGTTATCTATCTAGCTGGGGGAGTTCGGGAGCGCGTATTATAAAATCTACCGTACCTCTACAAAAGAAAAGAAAACAGACCTCGTCTGTTAGCTTACGGGCATGTAGGCGCTTGGAACCATTGCCGAGATGAAGTCAATCACAGCAGTCGTCCAGCTACTGTTGGCATCCGGTGCCTCTGCCAGTTTCATGAGGCATACAGCTGGCATGCAAATTGGTCCGATTGATGAAGATACTTTCCTCGTCGCTAGTAACGGCACCGCCGGTTGGGGTACTTTCGAGCAGTTACTTGATCACTCTAATCCTGATCTCGGCACATTTTCGCAGCGATATTGGTATGGGGCGCAGTATTGGAAAGGTCCTGGTTCGCCGGTCATTCTTGTGAATCCGGGCGAGCAAGCTGCGGATGGTTTCAACATAACTTACACTACGAACCAGCGCTTGACAGGGCTTTTTGCAGAGAAGCTTGGCGCTGCAGTCGTTGTCTTAGAGCACCGATACTGGGGCGAATCCTCTCCTTTCGACAGCTTAACCGTCGCGAACCTCAAGTACCTCACTCTCGAGAACTCTATCAAGGACAACACCTATTTTGCCAACAATTTCGATACGCCCTTTGACACGACCGGAAAAAGCAGTGCCAAAGATGCCCCATGGATCTTCACGGGTGGATCTTACCCGGGCGCCTTGGCTGGCTGGATTGCCGCCAAAGATCCCGGTACATTCTGGGCGTATTACGGCACTAGTGGTGTGGTAGAAGCCATCGGAGATTTCTGGCAATACTTCGTCCCGGTCCAGGAGGCAACGCCTCAGAACTGCAGCACGGACTTGAACGCAGTCATCGACTACGTTGATTCTGTCCTTCTACACGGAAGTCCTAAGGAGAAGACTCAGCTGAAGGCCAAGTTCCAGCTTACTAATCTAGAGGATGCCGACTTTGCTGCAGCTTTGGAGAATGGACCCTGGACTTGGCAGTCTGGCCAATTCTACTCCAGCACTTCTCTAGGATACAATCCATACTACAGATTCTGTGATTACATCGAGAACCAGTTCCCGAATACTACCAACGCCGTACCCGGCCCCGAGGGAGTTGGCTTGGCAAAGGCACTAGACGGCTATGCTAAGTGGTTCCTAACAATCGAGCTTCCCGGGTTGTGCGAAGGCTACGGTTATTTTGATGGCAAGTACAATACAGATTGCCTCCAATCGCTGAACGCCTCGAATCCGATCTACCACGACCTTTCGCCGAGCAATGCGGGTAACCGACAATGGAACTGGATGTTGTGCAACGAGCCCTTTGAGTATTGGCAAGATGGTGCGCCGAAGGACCAACCGACACTCGTCTCGCGCCTCGTCAACAAGGCATACTGGCGCTCTCAATGCCCGCTCTGGTTCCCCGAACCGGAGTACGGTATCGCCCAAGGCAAGTCCGCTGAGGACGTGAACACGTATACCGGCGGCTGGCTAGAGACCAACACAACCCGTTTGATGATGGCCAACGGACAATGGGATCCGTGGAGGGATGCGACGCTTAGCTCTAAGTTCCGACCTGACGGGCCGAAGGAGAGCACGACTGAATTCCCCATCCGAGTCGTAGAACATGGCACGCATTGTTCTGATCTGTACGGTCAGAACTGGGCTGTCAATCCTGGAGTCAAGGCCGTTGCCGACGCTCAGGTCGCCAACATGGCCACTTGGGTGCAGGAATTTTATGACCAAAAGAAATAAAGTCATATAAAGATGACAACCGTAATTACCTAGGTATCTAGCCACATAACTTCGTATGTACATGATGTCATTTGGAATATAATAATTACTCTTGTATATTTGAAAAGTTTGGTCCCCATCGTCGTAATAGGAGTGCATAGCGACACAGTCTTTTATTGTCTCAATACCTATATCCTAGACGTTTCATTCATTATTTGACTCTACGGCTGTCGTTCGTAGGTAGACAACTTTAGGTACCTAACTCATGGTTTTTAGATGCTCTCGCGCGATATTGCCCAGGCTCATTGTGCCATTTCCATTTCCTTTTCGATTCTTTCGATTCTTACCCCATTCAAGATTTACCGTCGCCCCATCATTGCCTACTGACTCTCACTGGGTAATTACAGGAAGTTTACAAAAGACTTGGACCTGGAAGAGTGGGCCTGCTTCTCAAAAATAGGGGACGGGGTAAGATGGAAAGGGGCTTTCAATTCAATGGAAAATTACTTTTCTATTCGTTTTATCTCATGATATGCGGAAATGGTTTCTTGAATCATATTGCCATCTACCTCAATAGGAAGTCGGCAAAGTTCGTGGACGAAATCAGAAGAAATATTGCAAGAGGACTAGGGAGTGGCGTATGGCTAAAATGGATGGATGATATGGAACTGGTGGCCCCCCAGAAAATACCTAGGTAGCTAGTCAATTGCAATTGCCTCACGCACCGAAACTTGAAATGATCGTTTGATGCCAGAAAAAGAACGGGAGTCGGCAACTTACCTATTGAACTTCCTACAAGTTTCGGGAATTTCTTGGGCACATTTGTTAGACCAGTTCAGGTAGGAGTGTATGCGTACTGCAGATTATTGGTATTCCGTCTACTAATAAGCAGACCTCGAATCTAATAGGTCCAGCTCATATACTATATCTATGGGAACGACTTTGTCTCGCCATCCTTCAACTTACCAGCCGCAATAAGACGCTTGACCTCACCGCTCCACACGCCCTTGATCTCGTCCGCGACCTTGAGGCCGTTCAGCTTGCCTGCTAGAGCCGCAACCTCGTCAGGGTCGATCTTGCTCTGGATCAACTCAACGTCGCCTAGCACGGCGTCGATCTGTGCGGGGCTAGCATCACCGGCTCCAGAGAAGTAGTTAGCGTCCTTGACGGAGCCACGGAGCACACGCTTATTCTTCTTCACCGCGTTCTTGGCGGCCTCCTTAGCCTTCTTGTTGGCTTCACGCTCTGTCTTTGCCTTCTCTTCCGCTTCCTTAGCAGCCTTCTCCTCGGCCTCCTTCTTCAAGCGGGCATCCTCCTTCGCCTTCTTCTCAGCGGCCTCCTTGTCGAGACGCTTCTTGTTCTTGGCGGCGTTAGCCTCCTGACGGAACTTCTTGATGCGCTCGTCGCTGGCGGAGCAGTCGTCTAGTAGCTTGCGCAGGCGGGCGTTGTCCTCGGCCTTCTTCTTTTTGCGGGCATTGGCGTTCTTGCGCTCCATGTGACGCTTCTGGTCGCGGTTCTCGTTGTCGTCCGGTACATCCTCATCCAAGTATTCGAAGGATCTCCACGAGTCGAAGTTATACCAGAAGTTATAGAAATTTTCGACGTCTTCTTTGGCGGAGTTCTCATCGCCGAAACTTGGCACGGGCTGTTGTTTGGAGAAGCGGGCTTCGGACTTGAAGACGCGGCTCCAAAGCTTGTAGGGGTTGCCTTTGGAAAGCTCCTTCTTAGTTGGCTGATCCACGTCGGCTTTCTCATCTACCGAGTCGAATTGCCTGCGTTTTACGGGGTCGAGTAGGACCTCGGTGGCCTTCTGGATACACTTGAAAAAGTTGTCATCCTCGGTACTGCCTGAGGCTGCCTTCTTGTCGGGGTGGTGCTTCAAGACCTTCTTGCGGTGGGCACGCTTGATCTGGTCTTCTGTAGCTTTATGGCGGTACTTAGACAGACCTAAGACTTGGTAGTGGTCTTGCGACTGTACACCTAGCATTAGTAATGGGTAAAATACGATTAAGGTTGGATAATTGTTTACCTTCCAGTCCTTGGCCTCTCGCTGGAGCATCATAGGATCCTCAGGTTCGCTGACATCACTCTCGTCATCTTTCTCAATCTTCTTCGCACTCTCCTGAGCTTGAATTCGGTCATCTTCGGAAAATGTACGCTTATGGCGTGCACGGCGGGCATGGGCTAAGAAGTGAGGTCCGACAGGCTCGATAGTGCGTTGAGTAGACGCTGTGATAGAACCAATGGGTTTAAAGTCCTTCTCAGCTGACCAACCTTCCGGCAGGGCAAGAAGTGGCCGTGCCACAGTTGTCGCGGAGGCCATTTTCACTATCAGTGTACGGTTTCGATTTTGGTTGAAAAGAGGAAAAATAAAATGTGGGGGTTCAAGTGGGAAACTTTTTTTTCACTTCACAAGTCAAGCAACGAATTACAGGGCGCAGGGGGTACAAATGCACTAGCGGAGCTTATTTGGTGGGTTCCAGGTTAGAGTTGACTCAGCCTCATAAAGGACATCAGCCACTATTGATACAACCTAGACCACTATCAAGCCACTAATTTTTTTACGATTTACAAGCAACAGCAGCTCCAAATAATTATTTTTATGACCGCATAATATCTTACTTGGAGTTATTTGAGTTTGAAAAGAACATGACGATGGCTCTACCTGCTTATAGAGGCTTACTCCGAGCGGCGAGTATAGCCTTCCGAGGTACGATACGCTCAACTCGACGCAACTCTTATTAAATGACTGCTGACTGTATGAATTAGGGGACGAACGAGTGTTAAGTGCTGCGCGATCCTCGATACGTGAAGGTTTCCGAGCCAATGCCTCACTTGAACCGACGAACCCCGAAGTACCAGGCGCCATAAAGCATGCGGAAGAAGTTGCTGCTATATTACGTCAAAACATAGTGCAGGGCAAGAAGGACGGCGAAAGATACAGTATGTCGCGAAACTAAAAAAAAAATTTTTAAGTAAAAACATTGTAGTTCATCCTGCATCTAACAATCTGTGTAGAGCTACGGATACACGAAGAAACCGAACGTGGAGACAATGATACGGTGAAATTCCCGGGCGGCCAGACAGTCAAGATTGACGGCAAGAAGTGCAGCGATAGATGACAAGGGCTAAAATCATTGAGCCCATGAAGCATTGTATTATATCATGATACCCGCCGTGTACTAACAAACATCATCGCCACTCGTCAGGTGGCTATGCGTAACGACCATTGATATCTACCCGAAACCTTTTTATGATCATTATGCCTGAACGCCGCCCATGCAATGCATCGCCTTTTCTGATTTAATCTCCAGCCAAGCTAGCGTAGTTGACGTCTTCAGCACCCGGCGGCGCTGCGAGTAAAGACATACTATCGAGATCCTGTTGCGCAACTCCAGTCTCTCCCGATGCACCTCGACCAGGCCCAGCTTCGATAGCCTTGGGGCCGTTCTGTGCACGTCGCTGATCTGGAAACGCCGATCGTCCATCCCTAGCCATCGTTGCTCTCTCCTCCTTGTTCATGGTACCGATAGCCTTAGGCATGCTCCACCGTACTCGTAGCGGACATCCCGCAATCACCGCGCGGCCTTGACAAGCCGCAGAAGCTTTCTCGGCCGCCTCTCTTGTCTCGTAGTTGATGAATGCGCAGTGCGACATATGACTACAGATCAACGACTTGATCTTTCCGTGCTCCTTGAAAAAGTCACGGAGTTTGTATTCGGGAAGATCGTCCTCGACACCCGTTACGAACAGGCTCATAATAGACTTGTCGGGAGGTGGCATCCAGTCCTTGGGACCGGGAGGTAGCTGCGATGCGCTCGGGAACGGTCTACCTCCTCTTCCCTGTCTCGCGCCAGGCCTTGCACCTGCAGCTGCAGCAGCTCTGGAATCGCGAGTTCGTATCGGTCCGGGTCCGCCAATGCCTGCTCCAACCACGGGGTCACCTCCCGTTGAACTACCGCTAGGTTTTGACTCGGTCGCACTTCCATCTTCAATAGCCCTTCCTTTTCGGAAGTAAGGTTTGCTATTCGCTAGTTTTCGTAGAAGTTCTCGCGCTTTCTCGTCCGTCTTTTCGTATTCTTCGGTACCTCGTCCCTCTTCTAAGGCCTTCTCGTTGTTTTGAGCAAAGTATTCGCGATTGACTTCGCTTTGTGGACCGGGTGCGACCATCTTGAGGGCGGCATCACGTAGCTGGATAGGTAGGCCGAATTGCAAGTCGAGCATGCAACACTGGCAGCAGTTCTTCATACGAGCGCATGTAAGGCAGACATTCGTGCGCTTCTTGCGGCCATGGGCTCGGTCGGCCGACCAGGAAAACACGGTGTAGGGTCGCGTACAGATCTTGCATTCGGCGCCGTAGTCTTCTTTAAGCATCTTGACGTATGGATTGGGAGGTAAGCAGTTTTCGCATACCGACGGGAAGTCAGTCGACTCCCAGCCGGAACGGTTGAGATCTTGTTTTATTTGGGGCGGCATGGCGCTACTCCAAAAACGTTGTTGTTTTGTTGATAGATAAAAAGATGATTTGGTTCAAAGTTATCGTAGATTAGAAAGTTAGTCGCGGTGATGCTTGGTACGAAATACATACCTACCTCTTAGTAGAGTAGAGTGGGTCCAGATTTCATTAATGTGGCTGTGTGGCTGGTATTGTGGCAAAAGCAGTGGCATTATCTCCGACTTACTCGGCTCTGGGGCTCCTTAAGCAACTCACGTTTTCCCCACGGGGTCCTTCATTCCTCACTTTTTACAATGTCGATTTCCATATTCATATCTGTATGTGCCCGATTAAATTTGGGTTTAGGCCTAAAGTTTCAACATGTACGCTAATGGTTACGATAGTTTAAAATAGGACACCCCTCAACAACTTCGAGCTAAGCACTGTAGGTTCTCCTATTCCACATTCACCCTACTATTCAAATCCCAGATTACCCCATCACTTTATATATAACCAACTGAGTAGAAATTAATTCTAATGATCTTACAGACATCATGATAGATAAACATGGATCTCACGTCATCAGATCAATACCCGTAATTGGTTATCAGCACTACTTGACTACCTAGGTACTTGACTACCACAATTTCTCACGAGGCCTTCATTCTACATCACTTGGATCATGATCCCACATTTACCTTTTACTACGGCCCGGTCGGCTCGTCAACTTCTCTTGAATTAAGAACTCACTTAGTCAAGCCCTCGAGTGCTTCCCCGCAACAGAGGTCCGAGTTGGGAAGAATTGTGGAATTAAAGCCTTGTACCATGTTATCCTCGTATCATGTCACAAGCACTACCAACTTTCCACATGGTGCATGATGGATAACTGCACAAGGCTCTACCTTTCGGTAAGCTGCTCTTCAGGGACGAGATGGCGTGCGTGTAAGTTTAAAGTAGCTCACGAGACCAGATTTGACCAACAATGCCCGCGGACCGGAGCCTCAAGTAGCGCGTTTTTTCTTATATGCTGATGAAATGGCATATCGAATCTTAAATGGGGTGAATCTATTCCCCGTGCCCTTGAAACCGGAGAGGCCAGAGGGTGAATATATATTCCCGTTCCCCATCTTTTCTCTTTCATGGAAGCACCCGGATTCCTTCTGCACCTCCTATCTTTTTAACCCTAGTTATTCGTTTATGGATATATTCCCCGGATAACAATGTCTCTCACACAACTTCGACCAGACGGGCCTCCTGAGAAGGCCAGCCAACCCTCATTCACCGCTAATGACTTGACAACCGAGATTACCGTGTCGTCGCTTTCTTCTGTTTCGCAAAAAAGCGTACCCAAACACACCGTATCTCATGACGAAGCGACACTAGTACAGGGAAATGCAGGTACGGATGGGCCTCGCATCATCCTTACAGAACAGAGCTCTCCAGAGCTCCTTGCATCCGCGTGGCCTTGGTGGCTGAAATGGACGACCTTGATCTGCACCTTTCTGGTCCAAATTTCTAGTATGTTACATTTCAAGTTTGTTCATATCTACGCTTTTTATCTATTCGTTTACTCGTTCCTGTAACTCCGCAAGCCCGGGCTCAGTTTTCCGCGAGCTGTTGATTCTAACTATTTTCCAATAGTGAACTTAAATGCCTCCCTGTACGCAAACGCGCAAAGCGGCATTCGCAAGGAATTCGGTGTCAGTCAGATAGCCGCTGTCAGTGGCTCTGCTGTATTCTTGGTCACGTACGCGTTTGGATGTGAACTGTAGGATTCTCTCCGATTCACGATATTGTCCATAAGTTAACATTCCTCTTAGTTGGGCACCCTGGTCAGAAGAATTTGGGAGAAAGCCGGTTCTTCAATTCTCGCTTCTTCTCGTCAACCTCATGTGTCTCCCTGTCGCCCTCGCTAGGCGCTCTGGAAAATTCCATGATATCCTTATTGGGCGTGCTTTTGGTGGCCTCTTTTCCGCCGGCGGAAGTGTGACCCTTGGAGTTGTTGCCGATATGTACACTATACGTCGCCAAGAATACCCTCTTGCTTTCATTGTCCTTTCTTCCGTTGGTGGTTCTATCATCGGACCTATCATTGGTGGATTCCTCGAAACGTATCTCGACTGGACATGGTGTATTTGGGTTCAACTCATTGTCGGAGGTTCTGTTCAGCTGTTACACCTGTGTCTTGTGCCAGAAACCCGATCTCCTATTCTCCTTAACTTCCATGCAGCGAAGCTACGCAAAAATAAGCAGAAGGAAACCGGCGAAACGATTAATGTCTATGGCCCCCAGGAAGGTAGGACTTGTAGGGAGATTCTAGTTCCGAAGGATCTTTTGAAATTGTGGATGCGGCCTTTCCGTATGTTCGCTACTGAAAGGATCGTGATGGTACTATCGACTCTCTCTGGATTCAGCGACGCCTTGATATTTATGCAAATTCAATCTCTTGGTCTCGTCTTCCAAATCTGGGATTTTACTATCATCCAAATTGGACTTGTAAGTCATAGGCTCGGTATTCTGAAGTATCAGGGTGGGTAAAAGCTAACAAACTTTACAGGCGTTCATTTCCATTGGCATCGGTTACTTGATCGGCTATTTGCTTTTTATCCCTATCATCAGTCGTAACCGAGCACTAAGGGCAAAGAATCCTCACAGCGAGTACGCCCAATACGAATCAAGATTATGGTGGCTATTGTTCACTGCACCACTACTTCCTATCGGGTTGTTGATATTTGCTTGGACAAGTACCCCTGGATCACACTGGAGTGGCCCGATGTTTGGCTGCATACTCATCGGTATCGCTAACTACACAATTTACATGACCACCATCGACTATATGGTGGCCGCCTACGGCCCTTATTCGGCATCTGCAACTGGAGGCAACGGCTTCGCTCGTGACTTTCTGGCTGGTGCCTTGACGTGGGGCGCCGAGCCTTATTACAACGCGTTTTCGGGTCCTTATCGCCTTCAAATAGCGAACACTGTCCTAGCTTGTATCAGCTTAATCCTTGTGGCGGCGACTTATTTCGTCTACTTCAATGGCGCGACCATGCGCAAGAATTCGCCTTTCGCCCAATCTCTTGCCCACGACATAGGCGACGCCGATGCGGGGCCTTCCACAACTATCTAGATGGTCGTCTATGACAGGGAGGTCTAAGGTCCACCCACATACTCGTCTTGATTGGGAGTATCTTCAGTAGAGCTACGGGAAGGTATCCTACATGTACCACATCAATCATCGATCTTATTGCTTTATTGGTGTCAGCTCGATATACTGGTTATGATGGTGTAGGCGCAATCCTTGGAAACTAGACGTCAACGTAGCCGCAATTCAGATACTAAGTAGGTACTTAAGTTATGAAAAAAATATTCTTTACTAATGTTGTACCTTTTACTCATGATCTCGGATGTTTAAGGTGGGAAATTTCGCATTTTAAGTACGCTCCCAGTTTAACCTAGTGCGTGATTGAATAATGTTTTAGTACAATACTATCCATATGAGCGTTAAGCTGGAGCTGAAGCATAGTAGCGATATATCCACTACAGTTTAGTGAATACTAGGTAGCGACAGCTCAGCGGCCTAAGTCACAAAAAAAATCGCGCTACGTAGCCCTAGAGTCGCCTTCTACCTCCGAGGATGCGAAGTTCTTGGCCCCGTAACTAGGTACGTATTAGGTCTAGCAATCTACCCGCTAAGTTTCGATGAATAACCACTATAACTTAGGGATCTTAGCCACCCAAAAAGCCGCGAAACACTGCGATAATACTCCTAGTTTCATCTATGGATGATCCTCATTTATTGCCAAATGTGCGAAGCTTCTGACCTCGATCTTGCTAAGTTTAGACGTCCCCGTTAGCTACCTAGCGCATCATATTACATTACATCAATAGGAGATATCGTACTTGACAAATTTCGGCCTACGTAGGAGGATTTAAATTACACAACATTATAGGCCCAGTCTAATACCTTGCTACCCAGGCAGGGAGGTAGCAAACTGTTACACCACCCGAACAGATTCATTTAAGTTGACAGTTACCCGAAGGCGGCTGTCAGTGAGCAATTATCCTTGGTGATCTTCGCCCATTCCATACTTTTCGCCCATATCTGGTTCTGAATTTCCTCGTCTAAGGCGGCAGAGTCGGGCTCATCCTTGTCTAGAAGTGTGAAGTAGCCTCGCTCTCCGGCATGCGCCTTGCCGAGTCCCAGATCGATGATGTCGATAGCTGCTGCTGATGATGGCCGAAACTGATTATCAAGAAAGCGGCGAATAAATGGTAGTAGTGGTTGCATGAGATATCTTGCCATGACTCTCAGGGACGTGGGTGTGTTAGTTCGGTAAGCTCGAGAGTCCATGAGGTTCCCCGGGTTGATGGCCACGGCCGTGATGTTACTCAACTTTGGATCCTTCGAGTAATGGTATCAGTCAACGATGAATACCTATGGTATTGATAGTTATAGGGTATGAGTCTTACATTTTGCAAGTAGCGATTCAACGCATACGTCCATATAGTGATAATTAACTTGGACGTGCCATATAGATGGCTGCCCCAACCTTGCTTATCTTCATTAGGAGGCGGGACTACGAGCTGATTCAGGTCGGAAGGAATCTCAGGAGGAAACTGCGTCATCGAGTTCTTGCGTCGATAGTGTGCGATACTGGAGAGGGTCTCGACACGACCTCCGTCTGGGCCGAAACGGTCGAGAAGACGAAGAACAAGCGCCGAGTGGGATATATGCCCAACTTGCATAGTTATCTCATATCCATCGATGCTGAGTTGCGGGTCGGCGATGAGATTCCAGTAGAAAGCATTGCATATGATGGCCTCAAGAGGGGGATACTCTCCAGCGGCGATAGACGCTGAAAGGTTGTCGGCGAATTTATGCACAGCCGACAAATCGGATAAGTCAACCTCAACGATGGAAACACGGGCATTTGAATACTGCGAAACGATAGACCGTAGACTGTTAGTGTTGACATCGCTGTCAGTTGCATTCCTGACAGTCAGGATTGCAGTGGACTGGGGATAGTCTTCTAGGAGATGGTTCACGGCATGGAGACCGACTGAGCTGTTTGCTCCAGTGAGGATGACAGTACCAGACATAGCTCACTACAATATTGATAAAAAACAACGTGATGACTGGAAGAAGAAATGGAGTAGATGAGATGGATGTTAGACAATAGGTATGTTTTGATGTGTTTTGATAGCCCTGCGACGAACACTTGTGAAGCCCCTAGTACTCACTAGTTCAACGAATGCCGAATACTAACTACGTAAGGGCTGCATTTCTTAGTACTTGCTGGCTTTAACATAGTGTAACCTATATTAATTGTCACCCTCCACATGTCTTGTTACACCAGAGTTAGAAAACAGCCTGGAGGGAATGTACCTGTACTTAGTACCTAGTAGGTCAATACCTAAGTATTTACCTATACACGGTATAACGAACGTGCTGCATGGCCTGCAGGAGACGGGAGTGGTGGCGTTTGATCTGTCACAAATTATCTATAGGTACCTATACTAGGTAGGTATTACCGGTAGGTAGGTAAATTAATATAACGGTAGCCCTGCTGACTGTTACACAATCATCTTGCACCATATAGGATAGCTGCATTAGAATAGATATGCATGTCTGAGACATAAAGAAGACCTTTGCAGAAAGGAATGTGACATCTTTAATTTACCTAACTACCTGTTTGCTAGGTACCTAGTACCTACCTTCTTTCTCCCACGCCCGGCTTCCTACACGCTAGATACCTAGCCAAAAACAAAGACATCTCATATGTTGGGGAATACTGCATTACCAATAATATTTCCCATAGATATCTTGGTGACATCATCGTTGCCTTCATGCTTGGTTTAACCCCCCTTCCCAGACTATCTCTATGATAGAATGTGCAGAGTTGGCTGGTGACACAATGGATGCAATCCTGAAGCCTTCGTCCGCCGCTAATAGCAGCTCTTCCCATTCCCGCTTCGTTCTCTCCTTCGCATTGAGTGCCATCTTTACCATTATGTCATGTGCACTAAAGCTTCTTAGTATCAGAGCTATAATTGAATGTGTAGGTAACTACTAGGTAGGTATCCTCTCACCTCTGGGTTTGATTTTTGATGCACGGTTTCCATTGAGATGGCTCGATACAGATATCATTAATGAGAATAATGGCACCTTGTTTCAACGCTGGTATCTGATTGCGAAGTATCTTGATTGCGTAGCTGTCTGGCCAATCATGGATTACCGTCCGGAATATGTACACATCGGCATTCTTGATGACTTGTTCGGTGAAGAAGTCATAGGCTTGATATTTGATGCGACCCGAGACCTCTTCAGGGATCTGGCGCTCAAGATTCTTCTCGGTAACTTCTGGGAGATCTTCAACTATTGCCTGTTCAATACTTGGAAACCTGGTAAGAAGGGTCTCACAAAGACCCCCACGAGAGCCGCCGACGTCAACCACAATTTTCGGACACTGGTAATGCCGTCCTCCACCTACGCGCAACCATGGCACGTTGTTCAGAAAATGGTCTGCCGATGTCTCGGGTACATCTAACACCCAAGTCATCTGTACCTAATATTTAGCGTTTCTTATTTTAGAAAGTTTCAACATGAATTCCACATGCTAATAAAATGAATGGTATTTGAAATAAACCTTGAAAATGACTCACAGCATTAGCGACACGGTCAACACGAGAAGGATCGTGAGCGATCAGGGAGAATATATCCCGATCCCCAATGCTTCCGTTGACAATTGCACATGGCGATTCGCCGGCCTTGTTAGAATTGGGGAATCGTTGAAGTGATTCAGCGTACATTAAAGCTGCGGGGCTATATTCTTCTGTGGCGAAGCCTATTGCATCATGGGCTGGACTAGTTGCCAGAATTGCTGAAGCTGCATTGTGCTTTACGAACCCAATCGGATCTTCTTCAAATATTCTCAGGGATGTTGCTGCTCGTATAATGCGTACAGTGTCAGGCTCTGCTAAGCCGCAATGCATTGAAAGCTCAGAATATGATATTGAGCCATCCTTCGGAACGTGGTATGCGACCTTGTATCTGTACAGTACATTTAAAGTAGCTGTCCATGAAGGCTAGAGTATATTGTTGTCAAAATCTATTCAACTAGTCGGGGATTGGTTTGCATACGCTAAGCATCGCCGTATGGAAGATATAGGCCTCCGGTCCGAGAATGAGAGCTCTTAGGTCATCTAGAGCTTCAAGAAGACATGAACGACGGTCTTCTATGATTTTAACGGTCATAGATGATTCAGGCGAAGTGGGGTAAGAAAATGAAGGTTGAGGGACGTTCATCTCGTTTAGTAAATCGTATATCGCGCTTGATTGACATTTTATGATGTCAGCAAGCTCGAGGAGTGAGTTTGAGGTGTTCATCTTGACGCTAAATCAAAGAGATAGTGATAAACGTGGATAGGACTTGGTAAAATTGTGAGACAGATTGTAGATAGCTCGTAGGTAGGCGACCTAGTAGGTAAAGCGCTGGTCAAGTATATATAGGGAGAGGTAAGTTAGAAGATGAGATAGTAGCAGACATTTGCCTAGGTAGGTAGCAAGCCTGTATGTGACACCCCACCCTTTATCCTACATGCATAACTAGGTACCTACCGCTACCTACCTATGTGTATACCAGTAGGAACCTTGAATGCAGGTGCTTACGCGAGTACAAGCTATTTGGTCGAGAATATTCCTGCTCGATATACCTAATCTGCGTCTTTTAATATTTCCTTCACGGCAGACATTCTCATCGTCGTAAGATTATGATAGAAAACCGTTATATTCTCACCTCACGTATGAAATAAGCCATTCTCCTTTTTATTATCAACATTAATCTTGTCTCTAACATGGAGCTGAACTATACTGTCGATATGACGGTCATTGTTTTGATCATTTTCGTATCTACAGTTGCCTTTACCTTGGCTCTACGGATAACTAATGACCGAGAGCCACCTTATCTTAAGGAACATATTCCCTTCATCTCGAATTCCTATGAGTACCTGACTGATATGAGTGGATTTATGGAAAGAGCTATGTAAAGTCCCCTGTTTTCACTAGAATTGTTCAATTCTAACATGAAGAGCTTTTGTAGAGAAGCCTTGAGTGAGAGTAGCATAATCAGGTTCATGCTAGGAATGAATAAAGTCTACTGGGTAATTGGCCCGAAGAATACTCAAGTTTTATTTGGACCACCTCATATTGTCGACCCAAACATGTTACATCTGCGTCTTATGAGCGCCCACTGGGGCATGTCAACAGAAGAAATAAAGATGTTTGCAGATGATAGATCAGGAAAGAAGAAATTCCCTCTGCCAGGGACGGAGCATACTCCTTTACGACGGCGTCATTGGTATAATCACCACACCCTGTACACCCGATATCTTAGCAATCCCAGATACACAGAGGTTCTAGCTAACACTTTCTACCATTTCTTTCTACGACGTCTCGATAACCAGTCCAACATTGAGTGGACGTCCATCCAGCTTTTTCAATTCCTCAAAAATGACATGTTTGAGAGCGCCATTGAATCCTTGTTCGGTTCTCAGATACTCCATCTAAACCCAGACCTTATCAAGTGCTATTGGGAATTCGATGAAGTCGCAGGTGTGCTAGTATGGGGCCTGCCGAGATTTATGAGTCGCAGACCTTATAAGGTCCGGGAACGGCTACATCGTATGGCATTAAGGCACTTAGAATCCTCCTGGGAGAATTTTGACTGGAACGGTCCGGAGCGCGAGTCGGACTGGGAACCCCATTTTGGATCACGCTTCTCCCGTGAAACTGCCAAATGGTTTAAAGAGGCAGGCTTTTCTAACCGAACAGCAAGCGGGCACACTACGGCTACAATGTTTGGGTAAGTCTAACATGAACTATCCACATCATGTTAAGTTTATACTGATAGAAGTCAAGACTAAACGGAAATACACTACCTCTTACGGCATGGGCATTGATGGAAATAATCCAGGACCCAAAATTATTTCGAGAAACACGGAATGAAGTATCACAATCGTTCGTTATAGACGAGGAAACTAACAAACTCCATATAGACATTAGGAAACTGCTGTCATTGCCTCTGTTATCGTCCATATACATTGAAGTGCTCCGGATGCATGTTTCATTCAACGCCACGCGCATGGCTCAGCAAGACATTCACATGGGCGGATATCACATTAGTAAAGGGTCTATCATACAGTCACCAAGTCAGATTGCACACTATGATGAAGACTCATGGGGTGTAGATGGACATCCTGCCTCCCAATTTTGGGCCTCACGACATTTGAATTATACAGAGAAAGTAGATAAGGCAGGGACGATCAAACAGGAGCCTTATTTCTCAATAAAGGCTCGTCCGACATCCTTCTTTCCCTATGGTTAGTGAAAATTTCACCCAGGACCGTTTTTTATGTTGGGAATTGAAAGTTGATTCATCAATAGGGGGAGGGCACGCTATGTGCCCAGGGCGCCACTTTGCGAAGCGCGAGATCATGATGGCCATAGCTATGATCCTTACCAAGTTTGATATTGAATTTGTTGAATGGTCCGAATTTAATGGATCAACGTCACATAGATCTGCTCGAAACGATACGAGATACGCTGGAACGGCGGCTATGCCTCCTGATCGAGATATGAAGATCCGCTGGAAACGGCTATGGTAAACGGTTCACCATAATCTTCTAATAGGTATGAATATGCGCATATAGAGGTAGGCACCAACCTGGATGCAGACATCAGCTTGAATTAAGACGGATTCCAAACAAAAATAGCATATTCACATCGTACAGAATTGCAAGGAACTGAAGAAGATGCAGTAGTATGAATCAATGGTGTAATAATGGGTACCTGAGTAGTAGGTACGAAGATTTAATGACTACCTTGGTTATTCTTTCATTTTGTTAGAATATTAATGGCTGGGAGTCTACGCCCTGTACTCAAATGGTATATATGTACTATCTACGAACCACTACCTGGAACTAGCAACTTAACCAACTAGGTACCTAGGTAATCAACCAATATGAGACTCATAACATGCATCTATTTCAACACATTTTATTGAGGGTGTCACAGGAAATCTCTACCCCATTAGATATCGAACAGACATCAGAGCTGACCGGGTGGTGACCTCCACTCCTGATGCCTCATCTCTATTGCACCATATTAAGCCACGGACATTAGTTTCGAGCAGGGAATACTGGATGCAAGCAGCCATCAAGAAAAAGGATGATCTTTGAATTTGGTATTAATACCTACCGTTGATAAAGTGACTTCGTCATAATTCACACCTGCATTCCCACACACAGAAAGGCTTGATCCTATGCATATTACTCCAATGTCGATCAAGCCATTATGCTTTTTCGAAGACTAGGATTTCCTACTTAGGCAGGTATAAGGTAGATAGTATTTCAATGGAAAGTATTGAGAGATGGGAATTGATGATAGGGAGTGGGTAAGTAGGTAGGTACCTAGGTAGGTAAACATCATAGGATGTAGTTTCTATATTATCAAAGCCAGTAAATGAAGAGTACTTTATGCTGTACAATGCTATGGAGGAAGACTTTAAATACGGCTGTTTTATCCTTCGGTATCATACCTCCATGGCGTTAAATCCCCATTATCTACCTAGGTAGGCATTACTTTACATTATATTGTATGAACATACCTAGCACTCTACCTACCTAAAAATGGATAGGAGTGATTTACGAGAAGATCACCATTCTATAAATGGCAACAAGAAGGAATCGTTACCGCAACAGTATGGAGGAGTTCACTCAAGCGGGTGGGTCGATATTCTCCCAAGCTCATGGGTGCCCTACGTACAACTTGCGCGGCTCAGCCCGCCGGCCGCACTCTTCTTGATATACCTTCCTCATCTTTACGGAGTTTTACATGCGTCGAGGATAATGGACTGCGGCATGTTTGAGATCCTACGGGCATGTGTCTTACTTCTGGGAGGAAGTTTATTTTACTCAAATGCTGCACACGCTTGGAACGACCTGATCGATGCGCCAATTGATAGACACACTGCTCGAACCAAAAAACGACCTATAGTACGCGGGGATATATCCCCAAATGCAGCGTTCGTGTTCGCTCTGTCACAGGCACTCTGTGCTGCTTCCTTCCTCCTTCTTCTCCCTCGATATACGGCGATATCGACGATACCGAGTATCATAGGGGCGATTTACTATCCTTGGGCGAAGTTACACACATACTTTCCCCAACTGATTCTTGGATTTTGCTTATCTTGGGGTACTATTGTGGGAGCTTCGACATTAGGTGTAGAGAAGCCGTGGACCGAGAAGCCTATCTTATGTTTAGTCATTGCTTTGATCCTCTGGACAAGTATCTACGATACTATTTACGCATACCAAGATATCATCGATGACGAAAAGACGGGGGTTAAAAGTATTGCGGTTCTATTCAAAGAGGATACGAAGATCATGCTATGGATCTTCCTCGTTCTGAAAGGAATCTTCTTGGTTGGATACGGGATGCTAATTGAGGCAGGTCTTGGCTACTACATTATCGCCTTTGGGGGATCTACATTGTCGTTGGGGGCCATGATCGCTAATGTCAATCTCAAAGATCAAACTAGCTGTTGGTGGTGGTTTTCAGTCGGATTTTGGTTTACAGGGGCGTCACTTGCACTTGGTCTGCTATTCGAACATAGGCACCTACCTAGGTATATTTGGCCACTTCTACTATTGTTAGGTCAGCATTAGTTGCACTATGAACTAGGTAGGTAGGTAGATACATAATATACGTAATTTTACGAATTCCATCGGTGCAAAATTAACTGATTTATGTATTTATTTACGCTTATACTAAAAAGAACGCGCCGCCTACTACCTACCTAGTAGGTAGGTAGGTATTAGGTAGGTACCTAAGAATGTCCCGGCCTAGGTACCCAGGTCCTAGGTAGGTACCTATCCGGGATGTAACATGCATGGATAGTGGGGGTTATGGTTATCCACTCTTACCCGTACCCCGCATGTTACGTTATCACGTCTTCCGGGGCAAGGCCACCAATCGTTCGTTAACACCCCGGTCCCCGGCACCGCGACCTAAACGGGGTAATTGCCACTGGAATCACGGTTGTACCAAGTAAGACATGCTGATATGCAGGACGGCAGACGCGCAAGACTGGTCGTTCCGGCCGTCCGGTCAGCAAGGTTTCATAACGCCCGCGTCCGATAGGAATGGCCGATTATGTCTCCAAATTGCCGATCAGATTGCGACTTTGAGGCTCGGTGTGAATATGTACCTCTATATGTCTGTATAGGACACCGATCAGCGGGTGATCTCTGACCTTTTACGAAATGTCTAGCATATAATGTCTCAAAATAACTATGATTAAGAGTCTGAGCAGCCTTTTAGTTGATCTCGCATGGTGATAGTCAATCCTTAACATCGAAAAACTACCTATGTAAGCACTAACCCAGGTACTATGTAGGTAAGTATTTACTACATATGTACTTCGTAAAGTACTCCGTACCTTCTTACACTTCATTTCACGTTATAGTGAGATTTACGTCTTACGCATATATCACTTCGTGATTTGTGGTGGAATGTGGAACTAAATCTTTGTTCTAAATAGATGAAAATTTAGAAATGGTTACGTACCTCCTAGACATTATGGAGTACGCAGACTCGGACCAAGTGATCGAAGTGTGAGGAACCCCTCATTTGTTACCCCTTTTACATTTCTCTACGTCTTCTAGTTGTCTAATCTATTTTCTATTACATACAGGCTAGGTGGAGCTGTCAGCACGAGGGTGATACGCCACCCCAACAGGTCATTCGCGTTCGAAGTCACCCTTGATTTAGAGAAAGGATCGGAGCACTTCTCAACCAAGCCGCCCCTTCACTTTCACGCAAATCAAGATGAATTCATACAAGCAACTGAGGGTAAGATAGGACTCGAGCTTGAGGGAACGGAGTACATTCTCCTTCCAGGACAAGATGAATATTGCATCGAGTCATGGGCAAATCATCGCTCGTATCCTCTTGAATTAGAGAGGCAAGAGGGGAGAACCGTAGTCAAGTTTCTACTGTCGGGCGCGAAGAGCCCAGAGGTTTACGAGCTCAACACATTGTTTTTCGAGAATTGGTATAAATATCAGGAACATGTGGTTCGAAAAGGAGGAAAAATCGACCTCATCCAGGCCTTGAGTGTAAGTCATTTTCTACCTTCCATATCTAGACCTAGTTCATAGAAGCTCACAAGCATAGACATTTGATGCCGGTGGAACATATGTTTCATTCCCGCGCTGGGTCCCCTTCGGGAGACAAGTATCGCAATTAATCGGCATTGTCGTTGGAAGATGGCTGGGTGGCTTACTCGGGTACCAGCCATTCTATCGCGAGTGGTCCACCGACTGGCAGTTGGCCTGTGATAAAATGGAATCATCAATATTCCAACGGCGATGGGCAGTTCGTTCCAAGCCTGATTAAGTACTGTTGAATTACAGGGCCTAAGCCCTGTATTCAGTACACTACTGTACTACGTGAAAACGGATTATTAGCTGTTTTTAGTACCTATTACTGAAAGCATATCACTAATAGCGATCAGCCACAGCCATAAATAGCTGACCAAATCCCCTATTACACCAGTTTGGTTCATTAAGCGATCTAATATACACTCTTTTGCCCCCTAGTATACGCTATATCTCAGTGACTTTATACATCTTAGCTACTGTTACAGGAACCCCTCTTAGCACTCAGCTTCCCTGTATTGCAGCTCATTATAGCGCTGTAACTGGCGTATATGATACCTAGTTACAGTGGTTGGTTTCAGTAGGTACCTAGATAGGCGCCCAAGAGAAATATCGGACCATCCTAAGTAGGTAGGTATCTAATGCATCGACAGATAGGCGTTATTCCATAGTGTCAGACATCGGTCTTCCTCCAGGTTAGTAGCTAGAGGTCCATGGGATCGGGATTCGGCCCGTTAAGTCCCCGTGAGGGTCCTGTTGGCCGCTAGTCCTAGAAGCAGGACAAATAAAATGCTTCACCTGTAGGTATGTATACCGTGTTCTCCATAGCGAGAGTGTTAGGAGCTCTTCGCGCAACAACGTCGTTGTTTCCTAGTCCTTTGGTTCCGCCTCGTGACACATAGAAATTAACTAGGTACCTACTTACCTAATGAGTACCGAGATTGCTGGATATGCAAGGAAAGGTCATATACAGCAAGTGGCATTGCCATTCTATTTCCAAAAAAGGCCTGATAATGGAATATAGTACTTTATAATGCCTCCAAGATGAAATATAGCTTACCTACCTAGGTACCAAAGAAAGATTGACAAGTTGGTACTTATCTTGGATAAGATCGGAGCTTGAGGTATCAGTATCAAGCGTTTAGGTAAGTACATACTGGCACTTCAATCCTGTAAGGCTAGTATGACGTCCTTTTCCTTACAGGGCCGTTAGTTGAGGCTAAGAGATCCCCACTCTCCTTTGGAGGCTTATTTTGAATTTAATTAATTATAGGTACCTAGTTAGGTAGGTAGGTAACACTTACTAAGCTTACCTACTTTACAACAATAGGCCCGGAAGCTATGTTACTACCAGACCACAATTAACAGCCACCGTTTCGTCTTTCGGATACGTGATACCATAGCTGACACATCTTGGATCCGGTACACAACTAAACCCGGTTTATGTTAGGTATGCTCATGTAAGCTATGATAAATGTGTAAAAATAAGCTGTTATATTAAGTACTAAGTGCACATATCCTTAATTTGTCACTAAAGAGAGGCTTGTGGCTCAGTTACGCCCAAGGATTCAGGTGGATGTCGTAAAAAAGGAGCATGAGGATGTGTGGATTCAGATATTTGGTATCGATGGCGGTGGTAATAAAACTCGTGCTGTTACGACGTTGTTGAAGTCATGTTGTCAGTGAAAGTATTCAAGTACGATTTCTGATCGAAGAATAACTCGATTTATAACCCAGTCTACTACCACGGTATATGTGCTTCTTTGACCCACTAGGCGGATCAGTACAAAAGCGGATACGTGAGGCAAAATGAATCAGTTAATCAGAACTTTTACACCTGGTTTCATTTCCCTTGTTTATATTCTCTCGTTGGCGACTATATCCACTGCTATCAAGCTCTCGAGCTCCAGTCAACACCTATGCCAACAATTGGAAACTCTCGAAAATTACACTATCACGTCAAACGAAGTCATATATGAGACTCTCAGAACCAAGAACTGGTAGGAAACTTCTCGGAACTGAAGATCTATCAATGAGACCCTCTCTGATCCCTACAGGGTTGAAACAGCGTGGGGAGAACCTGCGTGCATATTCAAGCCACGTCTAGTTAGCGAATTGCAGATAGCACTCCCGCTGATTGTTGATTCAAATGTGAGCTTTGCCATTCGCTCCGGCGGTCACTCTCCCCACCACGGCTTCGCAAATTCCGATGGTGGCGTTCTCATCGATATGGGTAATTTTGACCGCCTTGATCTTAATCAAGAGGACCAAGTTGCTAGTATTGGACCAGGACTCACTTGGGGTGATGTTTACACTTACCTTGAATCGTATCAATACGTAGTGGTGGGTGGAAGAGTGTTGGATGTTGGCGTGGGTGGTTTAACACTCGGAAGTAGGCTATTGTACCTTCCGATACCTACTCTCGCATCAATCCCTAACATGCTTCAAGGCGGCCTCTCTTGGCTCACAGACCTTTATGGTCTGGCTTGTGATAATGTCATCAATTTTAAGGCATGAAGACCCCACATTGAACTCTTACTACTAAATCTAATGGATTCTAGATGGTGCTCGCAAATGGATCACTTGTCCATGCTAGTAATGAAGAGAACACTGACTTATTCTGGGCACTAAAGGGCGGAGGGAATAATTTTGGTTTGTATCAGTCTTATTTAATGTCTGTCTAGTTCTTTGTAGGACAAGAGCTAATTGATGATAAACAGGCATCATTACTGAGCTATCACTCAGTGCCTACCCCCTCGGTAAGATCTGGGGAGGGATAAAGAAGTATGATATCAAGGATCTTCCCGTGGTAATGGACGCCTACTACGAATACCAGAGTGCAGCTAATAAAGATCCTCATGCTAATTTGATCATCCTCACGTCCGCCACAAATGCGAGTGTGGGTATTTGGGTATCGATGATCTATCTGAAGCCTCAGGAAAACCCCGCCGCGTTTTCGGCTTTCTATGGTATCAACACGATATCAGATAGCACAGCAATCAAAAAATTCACAGAATACATGGCTGAATATGCTATACCTAAGTTTGAGCGGTAAGTAGGTACCTAATCATTCGTGTAACCGTTCTGCTTCAATTTTCATTAATTGGTGTTATAGTCTCGATTGGCATGCCATAAGCTTCGTCAGATCCCAGTCACTTTATAAAGATATTGTTGATATCATTGTAAACTCCTCAGCCGTAGAAACCATGCAATCCTTGGCTGGTGGGTTCATGACAGCTACCATACAACCCATATCCCCCAGGGTCGCTCAACAAGGAAAGGCTCGAGGCGGAAACACATTAGGCCTTGTCGAGGTTGATCAGACTTGGCTGGCATTTACCGCCGCATGGCTGCAGCCGGATGATGATCAAACGGCACATGCTGCTGGCGATAGCATCATAGAGGAGGTCCTTGGCGTATCTGAAATCGACGACAATTATATTCCTTTCATCTTTATGAATGATGCAAGTTGGAGCCAGGATGTTATTGGAAGCTACGGGGAAGAGAATATTCGGAGGCTAAAACAGGTACAAGAACAGTATGACCCGGATAAAGTATTCCAACGCATGGTGCCCGGTGGTTTTAAATTACCCTAATATATCATGTATTAGCTCACTCATAAGATTTGAAGTTAGGTATTAGGTACAAGGTACTAGGTATTTATCATGAATGGGTTTTCAAACGAGATTCCTAATCTTCAATTTAGTTATATAGGTACTTACCGTAACGGCAAAGCGGATATTTTTATAATTATTCTTATATGATAATTATTTTTTTTACGAGAATATTTCTACTAATCTTAAGTACCTCCCTATACAAATTTAGTGGCAAGGTACATTGGGAAAATCGAATATGTTTAAAAATCATTTTAAATGTTATATAAAAATTAATGTTAAATATTATTAATATTAAGATAAATATTATTAAATAATTATATATTATATTATTAAAAATATAATTAATTAAAAAAATATATTAATATATAAAAAAATTATATATTAAAATTAATACGAAATTATTAAGCATTTAAAACTTAATGTAATTTTAACGTTTATTAAATAAATTATTATTAAATAAAATTATAAATTCTTTTTCGAAAAAAAAAAAAAAAAATTATAAACTTTAAAATTTTAAAAAATTATTATATTAATTTTAAAATATTATTTTAAACTTTTATATTAACTTTTATTATAAATAATTTTTTTTTTTTTAAAAAAAATTTATATTCGAAACTTATACGTACTACCGGATAAATATTATTTCATTATTAATTAATATTTTAATTTAAAAATTATTATAAGTTTTACTTAATAATTAAAAAATTAATTTCTTATAAATTTATAATTAACTTTTAAATTTTTTTTACGACTTTTTTTAATAAATATTATTATTTTTTATTATATTATTACTTAAAAAAATACCTTATTTTAATACTTTTATATACGTTTAATTTACGTATTATTAATAAATATCCCAACTTTTTAAATTATTAAAAAATTTAAAATTATTAATAATAACTTACGCTTTTATAAACGTATAAAATCGTTTTTTAAATAATTATAAAATAATTTTTAACCTTATATTTTTTTATTTTTTAAAAAATAATTTCCCGTTAAATTAATAAACGTTAAAAAACCATTTATTAAAACTTCTTTTAATATAAATATTTTTAATTTTATTCGAAAAAGCGTTTTAATTATTTATTAATTATAAAATTTCGAAATTATAATATATAATATTTTTAATATAAAAATTATTAAACTTCAAATTTCGAATTTTTTTATATAATTACGTGAAATTTATTAATAAATAATTAATACGTACCATACTATTTAAACTTTAACCTTTTTTATCGATACTTTCCACCGTTTAAATTAAAATAAAATATATTAATAATATAATATTACGCATACCGTTTATAATACGATTATATATTTAATATATATAAATATAATAATATTAAAAAATTAAATTACGTAATTTAAATAATAAATTTATAACGTTAATAATAAATTTTTATAATATATTTAAATTATTATTATTAAATATATTTAAAATAATTAAGTTCGTTAAAAAATTATTAATTAATTTATTTATATAATAAAATATTATAAATAAACTTTTCGTTTTTTATATATTAATTTTAAAAAATAAAAAACATTTTAATAAAAAATAATTTTTTAAATTATTATTAAAAATTTATAAATTAACAAGTTTTTAATTAAAAACTTTATTAATTTTTTTTATTTTAATAAAATTACCCGTAAATAATTTAAAAATTTACGAGTTTATATTTAAACCGTTATTAATAAATTTCGCATATAATTTATTTATAATAAAAACGTTAATATAAAATTTATATTTAATAATATTTAAAAACGTATAATTTTAATTTTATTATTACTTTTCACTTTTAAACTTTTAATTATTTAAAGTTTAATTTTTTTTAAAATATTATTTAAATATTTTAATTTTAAAACTTAAATAAAAACTACGTTTATTTTAAAAACCTTTTAATAAAATTAAATACGTTATTAATTAATTAACGTTCGCGTATAATTTAACTTCGTTTAAATAAAACTTTTTATAATTAAAATTAATAAAAAAAAATACTTTTTTTATTTCGTTATATATCCAAAATTTTAAAAAATTTAAACTTTAACCCGAATAATTCGAATAATAATAACTTTTAAAAATTTTAAACTTTTAAATATTTATCCGGTTTTTTAAAAAAATCGTCCCGTCCGTTTTTATTTTTTTATAATAATAATAAATTAAAAAATAATAATAATTATAACCAAAAAAATAAAAATTACTTTTTTCGAATTATTAAACGTATTATTAAAATATTAATTATAATTATAATTAATTTTATTTACTTTAATAAATTTATTATTTACGATAATAAAAATTTAACTAAATTTAAGTTATAATTTATAAAAATAAAAATATATTTAAAAATTTATATAATTAATTTTTTTAATTATTTTCATTATATTAATTAAATTAAATCGTTATTTATCGATAAAATTTAATTATAACATTAATAACGAATTAATTAAATTAAGTAATTAAAAATCGTGAATATTTAAAAAAATTATCACGAAATTTTTAAAAAACGTTTTAAAAACTTTTTTAAAAAATACCGTAACTTTAAAAAAATATATAAACTTAAATATTAAAAAAATATAATTTAATATATTACGAAATTAATAAATTTTAATAAAATAATTTAATAATTAAAAATTACGTTTTAAAATTATATCGCGAAAATTTTTTTTAATAAAATTATTAAATTAATATATTTTTATTAAAATATAATTTTAAAAATCGATAATAATTTTATTACCGTTATTTAAAAAGCTAATTAAATATACGAAAATATATTAATTAATCCGGGTTTTTTATTAATAAAAAACGGGCTTATTTTAATTTTAAAACTTTCGAAATTAAATTAATTTAACCGCGGAAAAAAAAACCACTTTAATTCGGGTTAAAACCGATTTTTAAAAAACCTCGATTAAAGTAAAAACGATGAAAAATTTAAATTTAATTTTAAAAATAAAAAATAACTTAATAATAAAAAAGCTTTTAAAAAAATTAAATAATTAAATATTAATTAACGTAAAAAAAATAAAAAAACTTATTAAAAATATAATAAAAATAATTATTAAACTTTTATTTACTTCGTTAAAAAAAATATTAATAATAAAAAATTATTATTAAACCCGGAGAAAACCTTTTCCGTTAAACGATTTCGAAATAATATAAAAAAAATTATACCGCCGCTTTAAAAAAAAGTTAAAATTAATGCGGTAATGGTAAAAACTTTTTACTTTAAAATTTTTAAATTTAATAATTTTAATAATAAATTAAATTTTTAAATAATTTTTATACCGTACTTTATAAAAATTTACGACCGAAATTAAATAATACCTTTTATATTAATATTATTAAACGCTTTTTCGATAATTTAAACGATTAAACATTTAAATAATTTTATAAAAAATTTAAATTAAAATAAAAACCCATCGTAATAATAATTTTATTTTATAATAACGAAAAATATTTTATCCGTGTTTTATTTAATACCGGAAACTCGGTTTTTATATTTTTTATATTTAAAGTTAAAATATAAAAATTACTTTTAATTAAATAATTAATTTTACGCTTTATAACGGTTTTTAATAATATTTTAATATAAAAAAACGAACGTTATTATTTTAAAACTTTAATTTTACGTTATTAAGAAAATTATTTTACTTATTTAAACTTCGAAATTAATATTTTAAATTTTAATTATAATATTTTCCTTTCGTAATAATAATTAAAAAAATATTAATTTTTATATTTTTTTAATTATTTTAAAAAAATTTAATTTATTTTCGATTATTACCGTTATAATTATATTAATTAAATTATATATAATTTAAATTACGTTATTAAATTAATTATTATAATTTTATAAAAAAATATTTAAGAAATATTATTTTTAATTTCGAAAAAATTTCATAACTTTATTTCGATTATAACTCGAAAAACCGGGTAATAATTTTTTAACCATTAATTATAAAACCACGTTATTAACTTTAAAAAAAACGTAATATTTTTTTAAAAATTTTTATACGTTATAAATAAAAAAAAATTTAATACGTTAAAACTTTAATTAAAAAAAATATTAAACTTAAATAAAATTTAAAAATTTATTTTTATTTATAATATTCTTTTAATATTTATAAATAAATTTAACTTAAAAAACCTTTTTTAATTTATAATTAATTATTAAAAATTTAACATTATTATTATATTTATTCGTTATTTTTTACTTTTTATTTTTAAATTATAAATACGGTTTTATATAATTAAATAATTTATTAAAATTAACTTTAAAATAAGTTTTAACTTAATTTATATTTAAAAAAATAATAAATAAAAAATAGTTTTTCGATATAAATATAACTTTTTTAAATATTTAATAATATTTTTTAATTTTATAAACTTTTTTATCATTTTTTAAATATATATAAATAATATTTTTCGTAATTTAATTAATATTAATTTCTTAATATATTTAAATAACTTTTTAATTTACGTTAATATACGTAAAAAATATAATGTTTTAATTAAGAAAATTTTTAAATAATTTATTACTTATAATTTTATAATTAACTTTTATAAATATTATTAAATCGTTTATAAAATTAAATTTTTTAGTTATATTATAAAAGTTTATAATATTTTCATATTTTAAAATAAAATTAAATATATTTAAAAATAAAAAGCTTTTTAAAACTTAAAAAAGTTATAATAATTTATTAAATTTACGAATTTTTATTAACGATTTATTAAATCGTTTTCGCATATAATTAAATTTATTATAAATATAAATAAAAAAAATAAAAAAAATTAAAAATAAATAAATAAAATGTAAAAAGTTTTTAAAAAGTTTAAAAAACGTTTCATTACCATTTTAATAATAATTCATTTTAATCTTAATAAAGTAACGTTCGTTAAAATTAATACGTTCGATTTCACTATCGGTATAATTTTATTATAAAAAAATAAAAATAATAAACTTCGTTTCGTCGTTTTTTATTTTCGTAAATTATTTTTAACGAAAATAAATTATAAAATTTACGATAAGGAATTATTCGCCATTATTAACGCGTTTTAACGTTAATATTAATATTTCGAAAATGTTAAATATTATATCGAAATATATTTTAATTATTAAAATTTATTTTATTTTATTATTATTAAAATTTTAAATAAACGATAAATTAAATAAACGTAAAAGTTATTTACTTTCGTATTTATTATTAATTACCGCTTTAAAAAATAAAACAATAAAATCGATATTTTTTCTTAATTATTATAATATTATTTTAAAAAAAAAAAAACTAAAAACTAATTAATTATTTCGATTTTATAAAAAAAATACTTTTCGCATTTTATTAACCTTTTATTTTTAACTTTCGTAACGGTTTTATATATATTTAAAAAGTTTTATAATTTTATTACTTTAAATTAAACCCCGAAATTCGTAAATAAAGTTAAATAAATAATTTTTAAAAACTTTAAATACTTTAATTTTTTCGTTTATTTTTCGAAAAATATAAAAATACGAAATAAATTACTTTATCGTAAATACCGTTTTTACGTTCCTACGTTTTTATAATAAAAAATTATTAATTTTAAACATAATATTAAAATTATAAAATATATAAAAATAAATAAAACCTTGAAATTAATTATATAAAACTTTTAATAGTTTAATATTAAAACCACGATAAAAAACTTCGTTAAAAATTATTATAAATATTAATAAAATAAAATTTTTAAATATATACTTTACGGTTTTTTATAATTTATAAAATTTCATTATAAATTTTAATATATTATTATAATAAATTTTATTACGAATTTTTTTTTATTAAATAAATATAACTTTATTTAAATTATTATTAATTTATTTATTAAAATAAGTCACTTTATTTTATTAAAAATAAACGAAAAAAAAATTAAAAATTTAATTAAAATTTTCGTTAAAAAATATTAAAAATTATATAAAGTTTTTTTCGATATTATTTTTAACCGAAACTTTAAATTTATAATTTATATTTAAAAAAAAATTTTTAAATTAATAAATATTAAATTACGTATAAATATTACGTTTTACTTTTAAATTAATAATTAAATTAAACGATTTAATTAAACTTTTAAAATTTACTTTTAAACATTTATTAATTACGAAATAATTAATTAAAAAAACTTTTTATTTATTACCGAATTCGTTTATAATAATATAACTTTTTTATTTATATATTTTACACTTTTTTATATTAATTATAATTATTATTTTACCGTTTATAACTTTTTTTTTAATATTTTTCGTAATTTATTTAATTAATTTTACGCATATTAAATAATATAAATATATTAAAAAACGTAATAACATTTTAAAAAAAGCCGGTAAAAAATAAAAGAATAAATTAATAAACGTTAAAAAAATACACCCGTTTATAAAAAATAATAATTAATAATGTTAAATACACGAAACATTAAAACTAAATAATTAATTAAAAAATTAAATAAAAAAATATTAAAACTTTTTATAATTTAAAAAGTAATTTTTTTTACCGTTATTAAATTAATTTTATTTAAAGGTTAAAAAATTTATAACTTATTTTATATTTCGTTCGTCGAATTTTACCGCGTTAATAATTAAATAACTTTTAATTTTAATTAAATTTTACGGGAAATAACTTCAATTAAAATAAAAAATTATTAAATAAATAAAATTATAAATTTTTTAAAAGTTCGAAAAAAAGTAAAATATTTAATTAAATAAAAAAATTAACCGGTTAAAAAACATTAAACTTAAAAACTTTACGAATATATATTTAATAAAAAAATTAAAATTATTATTTTATAATTTTATTAATAAAACTTCGGAAAACTTTAAAACTTTTAAGTTTCGATTATATAAAGTTACTTAAAAACGAACATTAAAAAAAAAAAGTTAATATTATACGAGGATTAATATTAAATATTATTAATATTAAAATAAATATTATTAAATAATTATATATTATATTATTAAAAATATAATTAATTAAAAAAATATATTAATATATAAAGAAATTATATATTAAAATTAATACGAAATTATTAAACGTTTAAAACTTAATATAATTTTAATATTTATTAAATAAATTATTATTAAATAAAATTATAAATTTTCCTTTAAAAAAAAAAAAAATTATAAACTTTAAAACCTTAAAAAATTATTATATTAATTTTAAAATATTATTCTAAACTTTTATATTAACCCTTATTACATTAAAAACATAAAATACATACGAATAATTTCACTTTTCTTAAAATATTTTAAAAATTATTTTTTTTTATTTAACCATTTTATTAATAATAATTATTACTTTAAATATTACTAAAATTATTCCTTAAATCGTAATTAAATTAATAAATAATAAAAAATCATTCTTTAAATCGTAATCAAATTTATTAATAACATTTATTCTTTCGAATATTATTAAAATCATTCCTTAAATCGTAATCGAATTCATTAATAACACTTATTTTTTCAAGTATCATTCCTTAAATTACAGTCGAATTAATTATGAATAATTATTCTACCCTTTCGTACTTTCCAAGGTTCGAATAACCTCACTTTCTTTTAAAGCTTTGATACCTAAGAATCATTCCTTGAACTTCAATCTATTCAATCTATTCAATCAGTTCAATCAGTTCAATTACCTACCTGCCTTAGTAAATACGTACTTGATCTATTCGATCTATTCGATCTATTCGATCTATTCGATCTATTCAGTCAATTCAGTCAGTCAATTCGATCAGTTTAATCAGTTTGATCAGTTCGATTTATTCGATTTATTCGATCTACCTAGAGCCTCGTACCTGACCTTCCTACCTTTATTTTGGCGATACCCTCATTACTTCTAATATCTGGCAGAATACCTACCGCCTTCGTTACCTTCCCTTCTATTTCATACCTCTTACCTATCTATTTACCTACCTTCCCTTGCCAATCTTTTTATTTCTTCATCTTTTCATCTTTTTATTTCTTCATCTTTCAATCATTCAACCTTACAAAATATTCAATCAAGCTATCGCGCCATACCAACCCAGGTACGTAAGTATTATATCAATCTTTCAATCTTTGAATCTACTATTGAATCAATCTTTCAACCTTTGAATCTACTAATCTAAGTAATAAATATACTAGAATATCAATCGCGCGATCGATAAATTTACTTAAGTAAGTAGGTACGTATTAATCTTGCAATCATTCAATCTACTAATCTACCTACCTAGCAATCAATCAAGCAAGCAATCTTTGAATCATTCAATCAAGGTATGTACGTTTCTATCTACGGATATATCTTCCAATCGACTGATCTAATATACTAATAATACACCTACCTAGATACCAATCTTCCAATCTTTCGATCTACTAAGGTACGTTTCAATCTATAAATCTATTGATCAAGCAGTCGACTAATGAAGCTATATACCAGTATTTAATCGAACTGAATAGTAGAATCGAACTGAATCGAAGAATCGAACCTATTACAGTTATAATAGTAATACAGGAGATCTTGTAATGCAACTTCTAAGTTGAATTACAAGGTTTAAATAATAGAATCATTCTATCAGTTATGAATCATTGCTTCCAATTAAATCATTCCTATGCATGTAACAATTAGAATCATTAGATCGACTGTAGAATCATTGTATCGATCGTAGAATCAATGTATTGAGTGTAGAATCATTTCTTCCAATTAAATCATTCCTATGCATGTAAGAGTTTGAAGCTATTTAGAATCATTCTCATAAGTGGGATGTTCCCACTACGGTACCTACCTATCTTCCACATGCTATAGGCAGGTAGGTAGGTAGGTACTTAAGTAGGTAGGTACCTAATGCATCTCTTAACACATGAACCACCAAGTTCAAGAAGATCTATTCTAGGACAAGATTTCTATCTATCACCTGATAAGCCTCCAAGATGGCATCTGACATTGTTTATCTAAAGAGCTTTGCCGCTTAGCTCCGCAATGGCTTCGGCGCGAGGTCTGAAAATCAAATTTGGACCATCGTGAGTTGCGCTATTGCAATCATAGAGTTGGTATTCACTAGCTCTGCCTCTTCCATCTGTGCTTCCTGGTGTCCCTTCGCCTAGTTTACCTAAATCCCCAGGTGCGCTCTCGAAATCGAAGTGCCAAAGCAACTTGGCTATGACGATACTGATCTCGCAATAAGCCATAGCCTTCCCTGCACATGAGCGAGAACCCACGAGAAAGGGTACAAATGCTTCCTGCATCCGGGCGCGTGCTGCCTCACTTTCCGGATTATCAGATGATGCTTGGGTTATCCAACGGTCAGGTATGAAGGAGTACGAATCTGGAAAATATTCCTCATTGTGGTGAAGCGCATAGAGGTTAACGCCGACCTGGGTTCCTGGCGGAATTACGTGCCCGTCGATGACCAATGGGCTGTCGTCGGTATCAACCTTATCCCGTTCTCGCCAGAGAGTGGCGAGTGAAGGAGGTGATATGCGCAATGTTTCATCAATACAGGCACGAAGGTATTGACAACCCATTAGCTGTGCATCACCTTTGATGTCATGACCCCTTTTGTATGTTCCTCTGATCTCTTCAGTCAACTTCTTGTAAAACTGAGGATGGCGTGCAAGGTAGAATAGGAGACCACAAATGGCCGTGGCTGGTGGAGTACCCCCTGCGCTTCAGTCAGTTGTCGAATCCGCCAGGCACGATACACCGGAGAGATAGGAGGAAGTGACAAATAACCTACCTGCGGTGACGAAAAACGCTGCCTCCGCCATGAACTCACCGTACTCAAAATAATCAGGCCCATAATCAAGATTTCCTTTAGCATACGAGTAAAAGTCTCTTTCGGCATCCTTGTCTTGTTCTGCACGAGCTAGCATCATTTTATAGACCAACCTTAAAAGCTTTCCCTTCTCGGGCTCGGTGAATGGCGTGATTAGTGCAGCAAAGTTGGCAAGGGCAGGAAATTGCATGAAAACATGAATGCGGCTCTTGATATCGGCAAATGCCCTTGGTATGAACCGGTATTCCTCCTTGGTCTGGAGGTTGAGATGGTACCCGAAGGCAAGAAGCCCGACAATATCAAGTCCTAACCACTGACAATGGTCGGTCACATTCACCACCGACCCTGATGATTCATATATCTTTCGGAGGAAGATATCAATCTGTGCTGACATTGTCGGCTCAAACAACCGCATCGCGCGTTGCGAGATGGGTTGGCTAATCAACTTTCGCCTTTGACGGTGTGCCTCGGCATCAATAGTACTAAACGTAGTCGGCTGGTTCTTATCGCGTGAATATAGGTAAAGGTAGGACTTAGTTATCCTAGGATTCTGATAAATGTCTTTAAAGTATTCCAATATTAGCTTTAATGGAGTTTGTTTGTGGAGAATTGTCTTTGGAACTTACCCTTAAAGGCATGCAATGAATTGAACAGAAGTTTGTCCGGGGCTAAACGCAATACAGGACCATAGCGTTGATGGAGTTGGTAAATAGCAAGGTGGTCGCTCCGCGTGAAGGCAAGGTAACCGCCATACGCATCAGAGATTCCTCCAAGAATTGGGCCTGGATATCGGCGTAATGGGTGAATCGCGAGTCGGTAGATGACAATAAGGAAACACTCGTCGACAAGTTAGATTTTCTTTTTCAGAAAAACACAAACTAACATCTAAAACTTACCCACACAGCAGCAAGACAGACTAAATATGTCACTCCTGAAGTAAAGACCTCAGCAGCGTTCATTCCGTAGAGATGGCGTGCCATTTTTCTCAACTAAGGTTGGCAAACGAGATAAGCAAATGAACTTCTCAACGTTGAAGGTGGTTTACTTGCTTGTGAATATTTGAGGTCTGGCAAATAAAACAAAGAGGATTATTAATCAACGGGAAGAAGCATCTACCGCTGTAGTTACCACTACTCAAATAAGTTGATCAAAGGGATGTAATTGAGATGTGCATCATCATCCCTCACATCATTCTATGTACACGCATAGAAAATATAACAAAAATAGCCATGAACCAACATTAGCTCTGGTAGAGTGAGCTTTTAATATATCAATGATGTAATTACTATTATTGAAGAGCCACGGGCGTTTATTTTCTCTCAGCCTGCTTCTAGCACAATCAATACCTAGGTACCTAGGTAGGTACTAGGTACTTACCTCGTAAAGGTATAGTACGTAGGAATTATCCAATGAATCAATATGAGTACCTGTGGGTAGGTAGGTATATTTCTACTTCATTAGTTTCCCATCAGAAAGAGGATGGAGAGGCTGAAACGAAGCTGCAGAGTAAATACCTAGTAAGTATTTGATACTTAAAGTAGGCTCAAAGATCGTCTTACTATATAAAGGTACAATTACTTATCCATGCGTGTATTGATCTGCGTACCGATTTTGTGCTACACACCAAATGATGCAGATCTACTATCGTATGCATGTCAGCCTGAAGTGCAAGGGCAGGGATTAATCCATTAGTTGAATTAGGAACTGTGAGTATAACATAAGGCAAACTAGATTAAATGAAACCTTTTCAAGACTGCGTACCTACCTAGGTACCTAGTAGGCCTTATTGGGGGGAAAATTAAAGTATTGGATCATAATCTCTGAAATTCCAATGTCTTCCAAGGTTAAGATCAACTTGGAAAGTTATGTACCCAACGAAGGATTTTGAAAGCGGAAGAAAATAGGTAACGATCGATTGATACTAATTCTGTATGCCACTTTTATGCCTATGACCACCGTACATTTTCCTCTTAACGCAATTAACTCAGCCAACCCTAGCCACCTTTTCCACCATTTCCGCAACGAGATATCTCAGACAAGGTAGGTGATTATTCAATGAATCCAAGTACATCATACCCAGGGGTGTTGTCGCTTGAAAGGCTGTTCATCCGACCTAAGAGAATTTGTGTCTACTGAGGTTACAAAATCTGTTGTCAAGAGAACACCAGTATCAGGTGACTTGGACAGGTCGCCCAACGCATTTGCTGAGCCTACCTCCTCAGAATGTATTCTTCCAATACTTTTTTGATGACGTCCACTGTAGCCCATATGCATATGTCCATAGGTTTCGGAGCTAGAGGGGATCTTTTCTGGCTGAGGCCAAGAAGTCTGGCCTGACTCATTTGACGGACGTTTCGATAGTGACGCGGTTGAGCGTAATTTAGTCCAGAAATATCTCGGAAGTTCTGCGATACGAGATCCTTTGAAAGCTTTCGGAATAGCAGGGACGCAGAAAACAGCGAAAGCAAAGGTCATTTCACCTAAGCCCCAAAGAATACTCTGGGATCCTATCCAGAGAAAATCCGTCATCTGTATGGATCGTACAGAAACATGCACACGGGCAGCGGCGCATGCACAAGCCCTGCAATCTCATTAACATAGGTTCTCATCACAAATTTTCAAGCAGGCATCGCTGGAAAATGAACTCACATCAATCCACTAGAGAAAATGATGGAGACGGCAACCTTTCGTTTGCGGGGCAGATTAAGTTTCCAGATGGTCCTCTGTGGAAATGCGAGAATTGTGAGATCAACCGCAAGGTTGAAAGCAGGGACGAATAAGTCTAGGCTTTTCCTTTCATGACAATATCCGGCAACCCATGGATAGAACATTTTCTTGTAAGGTATGCATGATAAATGTGTGAATATAGTAGCAGCGATATAGAGCGCGGCATTCCCCCAGATCAATGCATGACAAGTCCAAAAAAATGTGTTTCGGATAGGATACGGGGGAAATATACGAGACCACTCCAGAAGGATCGCAGCTTTCGAGAACCACATAGTAAGATTGTAGAATGTCATTTGAACTTGAGCAAGCTATTCGGAGTTAATAAGGACTTTAGAGGGGCACCAAAGCGTGTATAGCAAGTTGGCTTACCAATAACATTTCCACCATTTCACCCATATGAATATTCCATTGATGGACGTAAAATCCTTGTGATCTGATCATGACGAATATGATAGCGCATAGGACAACATAACAGACCTATATCCATCTTATCAGCATCATACACACCTAGTAGTATTGGAATCAAGTAGGTATATAGGCATGACCGACATAGCCAGCAACTCCAATATCTAGGTAGGTAGGTATTGAGCATTAGTGATACAGGTTTCGTAAATGGTGACTTAAGATAGAATACTTACAATCCTCAATCCTAACCTTCTTCAGGCAGAATAACCTAGAGTAAACACGTAATGAGAACAGAATAGTTGTTGCAGTTAAACAAAGGACAACGATCGTGATGGATTTGCCATTTTCGGCTCCCGGGTGTTCAAAATTTGGAGTGATGCCTTCGGGAGCTTCCAAGGCAGGTTGACTGTCGTATATCTTCACCTGCTCCTGGAAAGGAAGGGATAAGAATGCGGGATCGTCCATCTTCAGAATTGAAACAGTTACTTGTAATTGAACTTATCAGTATCAAAGGGCGTACGGACTACACTTGACGACATCGAATCATTGAAGTTCCAATGCTATTTATCTGGTCAAGAATTGGGTACCTAGGTACCTAACTTAGTTCTATGTTGCCTATCAGTTTTATTAGGTCCGAAGTCGTAATTTACCAGAATAAGTAATTGATATACAGAGACGGTAATATAACCCTGACATCGCTCATTACCTAAGAATAGGATCTAAAGGATAGCTGATGATTGGTTAGGTAACTAACTGACTAACAACTTTGGAAGTTATATGTTGATCGGAGGCTTTTGTGGCAAAAACATCCAAAATGCATCTCTTCCACACCGTCTCTACTGTGCTGTACTTGGCTCTATTTTACTTAGGTAGGTACCTACCTACCTAGGTACCTACGAAACTGCAAGGTGTTGTACTAGTACCAGTACTTGCAGATAGTCATGTCCATGGGTTAAGCTGCACGTTTTTATTCCTGTGTAACCAGTAATGCAGGCTCTAGGTACTAGGTTGGGTCCAAGATAATACTCATACTAACCGGCCTGGTACCTTATGTACCTATCTACCTACCTAGTAAGTACACGGGTAGTTGAGTCCTCGCAGAAAAAGCCTTTTATAGCGAGATCGTCTCTTATAAGGTTATACCAGGTAGGTATACTCCAATATGCAATGATATAAAAATAGTCGACGTTGCAATGTACCTACCATAGAAAACTGCCGGAACTCCCGTTACATTATCGGAGTCCCACATATCGCTTACCTACCTAGGTACAGCAGGTACATAGCATTAGTCTAATTGGATAAGAGCTACAGTAAGAGACTCTTACCTAATTCGAATATTAGTCGAGTGAAAGGGGCGGGCTGAACATTCAGATGACAAGCCATGCCTATCAATATGCTTTGAAAGTCCTCACGTTCGTTTCGTTCAGGGCTCAGTTCAACTCAACAAAATGCTAGGCTAGTTATACTCTAATATGTACCTGTAATTGTGTGAAGGTCCGTCTGATCTTACGTTCCGCCACGAAGACCTAACATGGCTTAATAACCAAACCAATCAGAAGCTATCGCAAGTTGACCTTGAAGGACTAATAATGCGGCTAGTGTGTGGCTAGTGTGGTTGAGCCCCCTTTTTGGAAATAGGGGTTATACATAATTACCTAACCTACCGCTCTACGATCGCTCAATGGAATCTCTCCGTAGAGTTAACTAGAGCCCTAGTTATACCTAATAAAATGGCATTTGTATAATGGGTATGTACTGGGTGGGTACCTAGGTAGGTTCCTGGTAGGTACTGGATAGGTGTCTCCCTGGTGGGGGTAAGGATGGATTAGGATAGCCCTTATCTTATAATTAAGTATCTAGGTAGGTACATACTAGGTACGCTACCTGATTAGTGATCATATTCTTCATTATCTTCCTCTATTGGTGATTGAGGATGATATTTATGCCGATCCTCAATACGACTCATATATCGCCTCTACTGCTTTAAGACCCCTATAGTATTCGAGGTGGTACCTTGCTTCATCCCTTTAATCCGTCCATAATGGGACCCTATGATCCAGTCAGTAATACAAGCAGTGAATTTATCATTGTTTATCTATCGGAGCGCTCGTCGCGGCCGTACGAACCCGTCACGAGGCGGAACCAAAAAGACCAGGAAACAACGACGTTGTTGCGCGAGGAGCTCCCAACTACTCTCGCTATGGAGAACACGTTATACATACAGGTGAAGCTCTTTGTCTACCCTGCTTCCAATACTGGTGGCCAACAGGACCCTCACGAACTCAGGGGTGACTCCACAGACCTCCACAGCGGGCCGAATCCCGACCCCATAGACCTCTAGTTACCAACCTGGAGGAAGACCAGACGTCTGACAAGCTCTTAGAATTTATTGATGTCTAGGTTGCAACTCTACCATTTACACTGGATATCTCAAATAGAGTCTTGGTTGGTTTAAGTCCTTGGGATCTTAAGGAAGATAAACTCTAAGAAACTGCCTACTTGTTTATGGATATTCTAAACTGCTTTTAAAAAACAAGATATCACAGCGTTATTACTTAGGTACATATCTGCTAGATCAATATTAGTAAATAGTAGGTACCTAGGTACCAAGGTAGTTACGTGAATTCAGATTTATCTGCTATATATTTACCTGCATAGTAGGTGGGTAGGTATTTATTAGGTATTTAAGGGAGTCTTATAAAGGAATAAATGACTAAACTCACTAACGTACCTTGTACCTACCCCTATATACTAGGTAACGTTCTAATTTAAACAGAATTGTCTATCTTATTCCATATTTGTTGACAGCGAGGTTATGGTTTCTATGTACTTGTGTACTACCCACTAAAAAGACCGTATTATACCCCTTTAAGCCTAGGCGTATAGGAATCGTTGTTTAAATGGATGTGGTGGCGAAATAGGAGGTATTTTCTAGGTTAACTAGATCTTGCTAAGAAAGGTCTGGACAATTCGGGGTATGTTATTTCCACGAAATCGACATCTGACCTTATCCTGCTTAGACGTCACCTCATCTTAGTGCTTAAAGAACACAAATTTTGGTTTTTAAGCTAAAATGACGGCCCGGGCACTTAGTGTCGTCGATAGGGCTGGATATTGTAGGAATGACTCGTTAAAGCTTTATAACTAGCAGCTAGGAAAAAATTGAAGTAAAGTTACGGTCAGAGTGATGATCAATGTGGCCATGAGTATAACTATTGTAATAATGAAATAAAAGAAATAATTAGGTAGGTACCTACCTCCTAGTAGGTAGAATTTGTTGGAGAATTAAGTGGTATTAGAAATGTACCTAATTTATTATCATGATAGCAACACGAATGGCTTTCCTGGATTTAAATTACTAGATTATTTACTTGGGATACTCACAAATTTTAATTTGAAGTTCGCTTCGTCTATCACGATGAAGTTGTCTTTAGTTGTATGTCAGGCCTTTGTGGTTGTAATCATACCATCGCCTGTGATTGAACCACGCCAAGGTATTGACACTTCGCTTGCTGACTCTGCGCCAACACCAACCAATGCTTCTATACCTATTGGACCTACTGCTGATTCAACTACATACGATTTGAGTAAAGCCACGGCATCTGCTACTGCAAGTCCCTTGCCTGTGGGAACCGCACCAATTAAACGACGATATCTAACGGCCCGTCAGACGGCGTGCCAACCTCTTCCTACTGGAGCTGGACCTATGCCGACCCCTGATACTGATGGTAGCTTCCTTAACTACAGTACATTCTCAACTAATGCCAGTCAAGCTTCTACTCCGTCTGGCTACAATAAAACTTATGTGAACCTACATGCGAGAAGCGAGTCCTACGGGTATCTTGGCTTCAACGCCATCGATTCATATGATACCCAAAACTGTGCCAGCCAGTGTAGTACAATCTGGCGCGGATGCCAAGGTTTCAATATCTTCTTCGAGAGGGACCCTTCTATTGAACCAGGGCCGAATTGCACAAATCCATCTTCAACAACCACCATTAAATGTATTTTCTGGGGCGGTCTAGTCTCAGCAGAGACAGCTAGCAATACAGGTCAGTATATAGCTGACTTCCATGTCGTCATCGCGGGATCCAATGGCTATATGAAAAACGCTATTCCTCCTGTGCCCGGTTATGATGGAGAAGCGACTGGAAACAACACAATTGATGTGCCAGGGCCTGACCTTGGCGAACCATCTGTAACTACAACAGCTACCACATCTACTAATAGTACAACCTCCACTTCATCCACGGCAAGCCCGACATCTGGCTCTAGCTCAGTCACTGCTTCGACTTCGTCTACGGGAAGTGCAACCACGACAGTTACTACGAGCAGTACCACCACCTCTTCTCCTACTACAAGCAGCACAACTCCCCCGGGCGCAGGTCCCGGAACAGGGACTTACATCGGATCTAAGATATTTACGAACACCTATTTCGACCCAGCTCTCTGTGCCGCGGCATGTGATTCCCAGAATCAGAATAATTGGTCCCACCCTCCTAGCCGAGGTCAACCACAGATTTGCCGATTCTTCACAACATACTTGTTGTACAAGAATGGTCAGCCTATCGGGCAGTATTGTGCCCTATACACGCAGTACTATTCCAGCTCCTATGCTACCAACAGCGTAAGCACCTTGAAACCCTTGTCACTTTTTAGTCCTAATTTATCCCGATAGGGTACACAAAGTGGAGGGAACAGTCTTGATGTTCGCCATGCTTATTCGTACAGAAATACGAAGGTATAGGTAATTAAGTTCTCGATGGTATTCGTTGGTTGGGTTTACGTTAGTAGGTAATTGTTTCAACCAGATACGACGAAATAAAAGTTCTAATATGAAATGAGACCTACCTACTAGGTACCTAGGTAGGTAGGTTCCTATTAATGGTAAGGTGTCAGAAGTTACCAGACCGAACTTCTCATCTTATAAATAATAGCAATGGTTTATGTTACGTTGTAGGTAGGGGCTTAAATTATATAATCCTTACCCCTTTACGGTGCGGATTCACTACTAGGCGGCTTAGTAATCATTGTAGTTATAAAAGGGGGCTAACTTTGGTAGGTATGTATTAAATGAGCGGGATAAAAGACTATCTATCGAGGAACTCTAAAGGAGAGTCGAGGTATTATAAAATATGGTTTGCGGAAAAGGAACATATGAAAAACAAGAATAATTATCATTAGGTTACATTGTATCGTGGCTGGTGCTGATGTATCGGTGAAGGGGTGGAAGGTTGTCGCGGCTAGATGCTAGGCTTCAGTTTTATGTGTTGAATTGAATTGACGCAGATCGGATATAGCGCATTTAAGGCTGCTATATATGTTAAAGGATTTTGCACTAGTGGTGATTATAACGGACCATGTTTAAGCGGCACAAAAATATGGATACAGTTAGTTATGTTTTCCCTTACGAGATGCAGACTTCTTAAGGTATAGACCATGATTTCGTCGTTTTTGATTCGTTGTGGACGTTTATAATAGATGTTGGCGAGGCAGTGTAAAAAAGAGCCAAGAGCTACGCGTCAAGGAATATAAATCGTAAGGCTGATTTTAACGGAGACTATAACCGGGATTTCGGCTTGTTGGCGCTATGGCCATATGGGTACGCTTATGCAATATCCCCTGACTGAAGATTGCACCGCCTCTTGCGTCGTATTTTTGACCTCTGTCCTCTGCGGGGGCTAGCCTATGCTCGGAATATGAGAAGTTGTGAGTCGGATTTTTTGCTGCCTGTTCTAAAAGCCGACCGACATCCATGGTTCACACTGATCTCGTTACTACCTGCCAGGTATATTACTTAATTCGTCAACTACCTAATACGAACACCCTTGATAGGAGGACCTGGAAATCGTATGCAGCAAATCAGAATTCAACATACTTCACTCTTGGCACACATATGTAGTCTGCATTTCTAATTGATGTCTTATTAATATTTTACTCTATCACCTGCCAATCATCCAACTGCCATCGATCAACTACCGAGAACTGTGCATCCGTGTATAATCTATCTAAATTCCGTGCAAGCCCTTCTAGATTGTAGAAATTGGCGATCGCGGTCGAGAAAAAGTACAAGTATATTCACACCTTAGGGGTTAACTTCCTATTCCCGATGTCGTCAAGCGCACCGAGTTGGCCCGGTGTACGTCCCGTTAAGACATGCACGGAATGCAAACAGTCGAAGGTAAAGATTGCCGCTTTTCGCATATCGGAGCTCCGCTAATAGTTCGCTAGCTTCGGTGCGATTCAAAGGACATGTTCCCAAATCCTTGTTCTAGGTGTCAGGCAAGAAAACTGACTTGTACGGTTGACCCGTCTTTTCGGAGGACACCGGCTCGAAAGTGCGTTTCGAAACTTCCATCACACGGAGTTTCCGCCATTGGCAATATCTCCTTGGTCTAGTGACTAATTGAAGCGAACAGGCGTCTTGAAGCCATGTCAAGGGAGCTGCGAGAACTTCGTGATCAAAGAATATCGAATTCTCGTGCAGGCTCCACTACGAGCCCGGACCCAGAATCTACTCGTTCGCAAGACTCGTCTTGTAATACATCGCAGCCATCCGCTGCTATTCTACTAGAAGATTTCGAGCTATTGGGATTGGAAACCTTTGAGCTTGGTGGTGTCACGATAGATAAGCAATCCGTGGTTGAGATGTTCAAGCTGTGAGTATTTGATCTGAATAGTCGATGATCTTCGGCTGACTGATTCCTTGTCACAAAAGATTCACCACACTCTTTCATCCACATCTTCCAATATTAGGACCAATATCACTTAAGAATATTCACCATTCCCATTCCTTCCTCTTCTGGACGATCATAATCATTGTTGCGCTACGTGCGCCTTTGCCAACAGACGAAAATCTATTCAACAGACTCCATGACCCGTATATGGTAATGCTTAGCACTGAGATTCTACAAGCACCGATGCCGCTAAGCAAGATTCAAGCCATCTTGTTCCTTTGCGTATGGCCGATGCCCGTATTACATCAAAGGGATGACCCAAGTTGGCTCTATTGTGGGATCGCCGTGAACGCTGCTCTTTATATGAGCCTTCATCGATCGACTCCAAAATCAGGTATTACTCCTTCATTGTATAGTGTCGGCGTTATATCTGGTAGCCCTCGCGAGAGAACAAACACGTGGCTTGGCTGCTTCTACGTCAGCACCTCGTAAGATATTTCGTATACCCCTTATACATAGTAGATCAACTGCTAAGGATTCTACGCAGTCTCAGCATGCACCTCGGTCTCCCACCGATGATCAATACTCCATCTGACCTCGCATCGGTTCGTGCGATTCTCGGTGAACATGGCATACCAAAAGAATTTGCTCTCCAGATTCGGATACTCCTTATCATGGCAGGTTTCGGCAATGTCCTTGCACATAACTCAAATGATGGCGTAGTTGACTCCTCGGTCACTCAGCTTCTTGATGGTGAACTCGACACCCTTAGGATTACATATCCTGAGGGATGGTCAAGCACGACTGACTATGCGGTTATGGTCGTCAAAATGCACGTTTATACCCTGGTAATAACACGGTCCAGATCCGGTGCTAGTTCTAAGGACATACTACTTAAGCTGGGCCTAGCGGCCTCCCTTCGAATTATCCACCTGGCAAATTTGAGATTTCACGAAAGGCCGGATAAGTCCCAAACCATGTCTACGGTAGAGCGCGAAAGGACTTTGCCAAAGGATTACTTCAGGGCACTTGCTTTTGCGACAATATTCCTGCTCAGATACTTCGGTCTGAACAATGGTAATAGTAGTGCGGAGGAACAACAGCTAGCGGCGAACCATGTGATCATGTCGCATACTATTTTTAAAACTATAACGAAGCACGCTCGAGATGAATACGACAGAGTTGCAAGTCTCTTTGAAACGCTTTGCAAGCAAGCACCTGCTCCCCCAGATGCGGGCAAATCCAGTGTCACTGGTCGAATGGGGGTATCTATCTTACTGGACGCGATCAACGCTGCTCGGGAAATACGAGGGTTTCCCATTGAAATGCCAGAACCGGAGGCTCCAAATATAGCTGAAAGCTTAGTAGGGCCTAGTACTATCCCGCACGCGGACGTTTTCGACGCCACCTCTCAATTAGTAGAGCCGTGGCAGTCAGATCTCGCATTTGCGAACATGTTTTGGGGAGACCCTACATGGGATGTCTACAACATGTCCACAGATACTCCCCAGTACCACCCAGGCCCAGGGTTATAATTATGTATTATTGTATATAGAGAACATAAATCACGAGCACATAGACGAGACAACCATCGGTCATCTGCATCAATTTTTAGGACACCCCCTTTTTCAGCGGGGTGGGGTGGGGGTGGTGCAGGGTACAGGGTGCACCCCACTAAATACCATTGAATTTCTAGGGAGTGAGTTAAAACGATTTCGCACTCTATTCATCATGGGAAAAGAAAATTGCTATTATCTCTTTCGTTAATCTATACCTGCCAGGTAGGTACCTACCTAGAAGACTATTATATAAGAAAACCCCAATCCTCATAACCCTTTTAATACCTACCTATCTAAACATACCAGTACACAAAATACAAGAGCTCTCGCACTTCCTTTAACAAACCTAGATCTAAACAAGGACCGCAACTAATTCCTCCGGCAGTTTCAAGTTCACCAGCGCAAGGTGCTGCTGGGACCCATGAACATCATTCTCCATGAAGCTCCCTCCCGGCATACGTTTACCGCCTCGGATGCGCGGGATCGTAGCCTTGAACGCTTGAGCCGGGTCGAAAAACCCGCACCAGACGATGTCGCTCTCGGCCAGGTTATAAGCGTTCGCAATAGTCTTCACAGATAACATGCCCGAATCTTTCACTTTCATATATGTATCTCTCGATTCAAAGATGAGATCGAAAGTGATCTCGTATGGTCCTGCGTTCTTTGATCGGACCACTTTGGCCAGATCGCCGAGGGATGCGGGCTTATTGCGCCCGTTCATCTTTGCGCCATTGCTGATAGTAGTGGTGGCTGCACTCTTGACCCCATTCGACGTCGTGCCGTTGACATGTTCATTGGTGATGGATATTGGGGAGGATTTTAAGGATTTATCTCCCTTGCCTATCACGGAGATAGATTGCGTGAACAACTTTTTCCGTTGCTCGGAGATGCCATTGCCGTTTACTTCCTTACGGTTAGGGACTGTAAGATGATTATCTAGGCATAAGCCCTCCTCGCCATCTACAAGGTCCATGAGATGGTACATGGAGAACTTTGAGCATGGTCCTAGTTCGATGACAGACTTCCCACCAATACCGAATGCAAAATTGCCTGAAGTGGCTTTCTGCCCTGGATAGCTTCCGTGCTTGAAAAGGTCAGTATCCACACACGGCACGTTGTACGTATTTCTTTACTTACAATTGCAGCAATTCTAGCCGTAGCCGCTATGCTGGTCGCTAGTTCTTGAGTCGGTGCCAGTGCCTCGCCAATGATGAATATCTCCTTCGACGGGTTTGCGGAGTCATTTTCGTCTTGCTTGCCGTAAGTGTGAAAGTCAAGTTCCCATTTCTCTGAGATCTGACTGTGCTGATCAGCAGCATAGCCTTTCACGATATTAATCAATGAGTCTAGCTGTTCAATCAGGATTGCTACTGTAGTATTAGCATCTATAATAATCAAGGCGAGCGAAGTCTGTTGGGGGTCTTACGGTCTCGGAAGCTTCCCATGAACATTGATCGGAAACCGACTATACTTCCAGCCTCCAGTTTTATTTGGTAGGGAAGACCGCTCCCTTTGGAGAAGTGAAACACGCTGCCACGCACTCTGATAGATCTCTGATCCGGAAGCTGTTCATATGTGGCGGCGTTTAAATCGAAATATCCACCCGGGCCATGGAGGATATCAGGGCGTGATTTCTCATACATTGTATGCGCGGCTACTGACACTGGCGTGCAGCGAGCTGTTGGTGTTAGAGGAGATATAGTGAATCCTCCATCTTTGAAAACGGTTGCGGTGGCGCCGTGAGATTTTGGTTCGGCGCAAGTCCCTCCGCATTCTAAGATCTTGCCCATGTGTGTGAACCCCCCGAATTGACGTTGCACTTCGGGAGAGTTCCAGTCATTCACATCTAGTCCGGACAAGTAAGAGCAGTAGGCAACGTACGGAGCCGGGTCGTAGGCCCGACCACCGACGATAACATCAAAGTCCGGGGTCGCTTTCATTGCATCGATAAATGGCTCTGGCCCCATCTGCGCGACAGCACGAGTTGATGCTTCGATATCCTCTTCCGTCATCGGGGGAACGCATGCACCACATCCGCTTATTTTCCCCGCATTGAGACGCTCTCTAATGACCTCCTTATCGATGTTGGAGAATATGGCTAAAGTTTTAAAGGAATATTCTTCGTTTCCCTTTTCGGCAGCAATTTCTTCAATAACTTCCACTATCTCTCGAACGTGTTCGTCGATCCCGTCTCCACCGGCAGAGCTGAAAATCAGGGGGACGTGAAACTGATGGACGAGCTTCAGGAGTTTTCTTAGATCTCGGACGTATGCTGTCCGCGGCGATCCCATTTTCCCTTCGGCTAGCCTATCCGGACCGCTATCTGTTGAACCGGAGTCGAGGATCATAGCCGTTGGGATGCCGGTTGCGACGTAGAATCTGAGAGCAGCGGTAGTTTCGTCCTCCTGGAGCCCGTAGCCGAGCATACCCACGGGAGTGACGATATGACATAAGGGGGCTAACGACGCGTCAGCGTCGGTCGTGGTGTTATTGATTGCAATAGGCATGATGAGAATTTGGTGAATTAAAGTATAAATGATTATTGCAAGAAGTTAGATTTCTATCTATGGAGAGATGAAAGATTGAATATGACTGTGAAGGGATAATAAGAACATGTAACTCAGGACGTACTTATTCTTATCATAAGGAGGCGCGGTGTTGTTCGAGATGTCCGAAATCTGATCAAGTTCCGAGTCGACGTCACCAATGGTAAGCAACGATATGACCAGGACCTCCGAACCTTGCATTTCGCACCGCGCACTGCCTCTCTGTGTCGTTCGCTTGGCTCGGCCGTCGGACAGAGCCATCCTCTCCGCTGCTGTCCATTGCAATACATTGTGGCCGACCAACCGAAATTCGCATTTCGGCCGAAGTTCGCTCTTGGGATCCGCATTTCGCTCCATGACATAATAACAGGTAGGTACCAGGTGCCTACCTAGGTAAGGCACCTAAAGAATCGCGAGGAATATCTTAAACGACGCGGGGTCTTCAGTAAAGTTGTTTCAAAGACGGCGATAAACGTATAACGTAAACTCCATAGAAGGTAGGTAGGTAGTAGGTACCTAGATACACTGGGTTAGGGTTAAGATCAGGGTTGGGGTTAGAGTTGGGGTTAGAGTTGGGGGTTAGGGTTAAGCCACACTGCCCACCATGCTATGTCAGTTCATGTATTGTAGTGAACTTCCTATTCCCAGAATTCCGAAGGATCACGATGGGAAATTTGAAGAGAGAGATGCGTACCTACCAATATAAACGATTCATTTTTACATATACCATAGCTGCGATAAGATTGTATAAGTAAAGGTTCAAGTTCGACTCTTATTAGGTCTGTCGGGTGTCCTTTCTTGTCTACCTACCTAGGTACCTAGGTAGTACCTTTTCCCACCATGCAGGTAGGTGCCCAAGACAAACCAATACCCAACGACGAACGTGCGGGTATCTTACCAGGCAGGCAAGACCTATCAACGTTATCGGTGATGCCCTGGATAATATCTCTCACGCTAGTCTCCGTCTCCTATCTTTCTTTGGCCACGGCCACCAACCTTCCAAAGGCGTATCATCGTAGACGGCATTAAACGAACTCTCCAGATCCCAGGTTTCGTATCCATATATATTCTTATTCTCGCCGACACTGAACGCGTATGTGTAACATATATTGTCTATAGAGATATTTTCTAGCCGTATGTCTGACAAATCCTTGATATCTCCAGCGTGGACCTGGAGGTGAGCGATCCATCGCGATGGGACTTGAAGGTCTCGAAGAAAGTAATGACGGGTATGAGTAAGGTCATATCCAAGGCAATACCTGTTTATAATCTTGTCCAGGATTGATTGGGGTTCGGGTAGTCTGTCCTTTAAATCCATATACCCATCCTCCCATTGAACATTATCTAATGACCAGTGTAGACCTTCGCGCATAAGCTGCGGGACGTTGTCACACTTAAACTTGAGCCGGGCGAACCAGGTTTGTGGTCCAGGTCCAGTATCTCCATTAGGATGATATGGGGGTTCGGGACATAAACCTAGCTCTATTGTTTCTTCTGCCTGGCTCTCGAAGTAGAACTTCCCATTTGTTGCTGGTGGTGGTATCGGAAGACCGGTATTTCCCAGGCCTGCATGGAAATTGTCATAGGCGGGAGGTGCCACTCGGTCCACCTGAGGTCGAGCTGTCGTATTTGGACCCTGTTCAGGATCCTGTTCTGAATCCATACTCTTTTAAGTCGCGGTATCCCACTATGGTAAAAAATGTGATTGTTGTGTTGCAGGTGTTATGTAGGTATTTATCTTGTTGGGAAGAGCATGGAGCAGATTAAGGGTAAGTTAGAAAACGCCTACTCTTTCATTTTACTACAAGGTTTTTAGATAGATAGGTACCTATATAGGTACCTAAGCATGAGCCGGAGAAAGCTCTCTATAAGGTATCTAAGTACTTACTAGATAGATACCTACCGACCTTTTCATGCAGTCATGAACTAAAATATTATACTCGATGCGAAAGGTTTATTGTAAACTTAATAGACGCCACGGCAAGATAAGGACAGGGAAGTCCCACAAGAAACTACTTCGTTGCCCTCTTCTTAGAGATTTCACAATGACTTTCGAAGAGTATCTGACAAAGTGCAGGTCCTCAATATAACGATCTAGAATATAATCGTCTCACGTAATGGCAATATTGATATTTGGAGTTGTCTTGCAACCAATGTATATCTCAACGTCACGTAGTAAGGTATTTACCATTTTGACATGCAATTATATACTAGTACCTAGGTATCTAACTCGTGCTTTCGCTTTCACCTTTAATAGAAGATCGTAGGTAGGAAGTCTCGATGGGTCGTTTCCTTCTTTGAAGAGTAGACAGGGCATTGCTTACTTAGGTACCTAGTACTTGGGTATCGTGCTCTTTCAAGGTTAGATAAGAGTAGTTTGAGCGTCGCGCATATTAACGACGTTATTTCCTCAGTCGTTAGTTTTGTTTCATGGTAGTAGTAGTTTCCTAGGTAATAATAATCTAGGAAACTTATTTTATGGAAGTCGCGAAGGGTTAAATCGACAATGCTCGATCGTTTTTGATTCCAAATTTGCTTGCGATCCCGAACTTGAATAATTTCTCTCCTATCTACATACAAGTTACGATCGTTATCCCATTTATACCATCGCTAGCTCATCGCTATTCTATTCTATCGTTAATCCATTGTTATTTTCTCGCTAATAGCATGGATCTCCAATTTAACTTGACCGCTTCATTATGATGCTCGGTTATTCCACTTATTATCATAATTTACAACCTTTTAAGAATCAACTCTACTAATGTAAAGCTTTCAGAATGTAGTATCTATTACCCTTAATCAAATAGTTACGTGGACATAACGACAACACTTCCCCGGAGCCCCAGACACCACACGGAAGCTCGCCTAAGGGCAAGGGGGAGAACCCTCAGGCAAAACCCATTAAGTCAAGACTCGTTGCGTAAGTGTTATCATATATTATTATACCTATTTATCAGCTTTAATCAATCTCATTAATAACAGGATAACTAAGAATTGGGCTCAACCAACTAAGGGGAAGGCCTGTGTGCCGACAAAAGACTTTGAGGATAGCCCCAAAACCATGATTGAGGCTATAGTTAAACATTCTTTAAGTTTATCTTATTGGGCATTTGTATCAGCATCATTACTAGCGATAGGGATGCTCGGCGGGTTAATATTTTTAACGCATCAGTCGATCGCTCAGGGGAACGACGTTCGCTTCAGAACGGCCAGCATCATTAACACCACCCATACATCCTAAGATAATTGGAGAGGGCCCGGAGAGGGAGGAGGATAGCTGTCGATAGAATGTACAATATTTTTTCCCGGCGAGAGGAACATAAAATATGTTGAAGCAGATGCAGGGTATGAGTATCATATTAGGTAGTTGATTAATAGTTTGTGAAGTTACTGATTCTAGGTAGTGGTTCGTAGATAGCACACATATACCCTTAAGTATAGGGCGTAGACTCCCAGCCACCTAATATTCCAGCAAAATACAAGCCTTTTAACAAAAACAACATGATGCAGTTTTTTGCCATGGAGGAAAGTTCGAAAAATCAAAAGAATCCTACCCCTTAATATCAACGAGGAAGACATGGCAGTCTTGGAATGAAAGATTAGACGGACCTACACTCAACTATACCTAGTCTAGGTAGTTAGTCGTCTAAGTACATACTTTAGAGTATTCATAATCCCTCAATGTTATCCTCGACAGAGACCCAGTAGGTCCGGTGCCCAACACGGACAGGGGAAAGGTTGTTCGCGGGGCGTACATTATCAAGGAGACTTCCAATTATAAATTGACGTTAGCTAGTTGTGGTTCTAACCTTCATTATGCCGTGGCTGCGGCCAGCTTGCTTGAGGACAAGGGCTTTCCAACACGTCTTGTCAGTTCACCCAGTTTAAATCTTTTCGAGAAGCAGGATCGGAAATACAAAGATGAGGTATTCCCTAGGGATGGCAGACCAGTGATTACCTAGTGTGGAGGAATATGTATCCACCACGTGGGCGCGATACGTTTCGGCCAGTATCGGAATGACGACCTTCGGCTACTCTGCATCAAGAGAGAGCAATTATGAGCGGTTCGGATTAGATAATAAAGGAATCGAGAGACGGGTTTTAGCTTACCTTGAGGAATTGAAGGGAGACAACGCGTGGCATCACGGATGGAGACAATTGTAGATTTGGATACTTGAATAGGGGTTGATATTAACACGATTGTTCAAAACTTATCTCATAAGAATGGGAACCCCATACACCAGACGCCGTACGAAATATGATACAATTTTACCATTAAATACAATTATTCCGTCGCATTGGGGCCAAGTACTTTTCCAAGTAAGCTGATCATTTGGTAAGCCTAGAGATCTGCCAATCTGCCAACAGATCGCGCATTTAGGTGGGGTGCAGCGCCTACGGCAGCGCCCCATCCCCTGTAATCGCGATTGATGGTTAGCCAATCACTCGCTGCTGAGTACCTGTTGGGGTTACCAACTTTTGTAATCAAGTTCTCATTTCTATTATATAGGTCGCCTAGTAATTGATAGACTGGATCAACTTGATTATTAACTTACTTGTTAGATGTTTACCTAAGGACTGCACCACATTGTGAAGCTTGTGTTGATATATGACTTTAATCAAGCCAATATACAACTGGGTCGTCGTGGTTGCTTAGAGCGACATAAGTGAACTAAAACTTAGCTAGGTACCGAGGTAGGTTATGATGGATCTCTTGCAGTACTAGGTACCTACCTAGGTACGTAGGGGGTTACTGAAAGCCTTTGAAGGCGCTATAATCCTAAGGGTTTCTAGCGATAAGGAAGCGTTATGACTACAGCCCTAGAGGTACTTAGCTTATAGGTGAAGAAAGATAACGCATTAAATCACTAAAACCTTCCCTAAATTTTAGCGCACATTAATTAGATAGGTACCTCCCTACCTACTAGGTACCTACCTACCAGCACATTTCCATCTCAACCATTCCACCATTTATGCACTATAATTACAGTGATCACATCATTTCAAATCTCATGCTTCAGACACAAACACCCCGACATTTTCTTAAAAATAGATTTAATCACAATTTATATTTAAAGAGCGATTAAATTATAAATAAGCTGATCTCATTTTCACAAACCATTTAGTTGTGTAAACAACTTTTGTTCTAGACTTCAAGCCTGGAGATTACCAATCGTCACGGATTTGAGAACCTGGTACTCTTCTAAACCATACTTGCTACCTTCTTTCCCATAGCCGCTCTCCTTAACACCTCCGAAAGGTGTTTCGGCAGCACTGATCAAGCCCGTGTTGACGCCGACCATGCCACTCTGTAGCTGTTGAGAGACGCGCATGATCCGACCTATATCGCTGCTGAACATGTAATTGGCAAGACCAAACTCGGTTGAATTGGCCAGCTGTATCGCCTCCTCTTCCGTGTCAAATTCCCAGATCAGGGCCAGGGGACCAAATGTCTCTTCATTCGCGACAAGCATGCTGGTGCTCGCTCCTGATATGACGGTCGGCTTATAGAAATAGCCAGATCCAGGGCCCGAAGAGCCACCAGTCCTGAGTTTCCCGCCCTTAGAGAGAGCATCCTTGACGTGTTGGTCGACTTTTTCAACCGCAGCTTTATTGACTAAGGGCCCTTGGGTTGTCTGCCCATCAAATCCCGATCCCATGTTTAGAAGATTGACCTTCTCCACGAGCCTTGCGGTAAACTTCTCGCTGACGCCTCGCTGGACAAATATTCGGTTCGCACTGCAATATTGTCAGCAAGGCCCTTTTTGAGTGGCACGCTATGAAGTTGCATCGACTTACCACACGCAGGTTTGACCCGTGCACCGGAACTTTGAAACCATGGTTCCAGCAACGGCGATATCGAGATCCGCATCGTCAAATACAATCAGGGCCGCATTTCCGCCGAGCTCAAGGCTCGTCTTCTTCAATGTAGTAGAGGCAAGGCCGGCTAGTTTCTTCCCTACACCGGTCGACTCGGTGAAGCTCAGTTTGTTGACTAGTGAATTCATCGCTAGCTCAGTCGCCGCAGCCCGATCTTTTGTCGTGCAGACATTGATACAAGCAGGAGGGATGCCAGCTTCGACCGCAAGTTTAGTAAGGGCTAGGCACGAATGTGGAGTCTCGCTGGGGGGCTTTATAACGACGGAGCAACCCGCTGCGAGGGCCGGGGCGACCTTGCGCGTGATCATAGCTGCAGGAAAATTCCACCTGTCCCGGGGCTGGTTAATACCCAATGTAGGCAGTCAAATGCAAATAAGGGTTACTCATACGGTGTGATAATGCCGCAGACGCCTATCGGCTGTCTAAAAGTCATGATAGTGGTATTTGCCTGAGAAGATGGGATAGTATCGCCATAGGCTCGTGGAGCCTCCTCGGCAAACCACTTGATGAAAGACGCCGCGTATTTTACCTCTCCCTCGGCCTCCGCATAAGTTTTTCCGTTTTCGAGGCACAGGATTATTGCAACTATTTACTCCTTTAAGATATTGTTAGGAAGAAGTCATCGGAAAACTCACGGTCACGAACGTTCTTCTCGACCAATTCATACCATTTCCGTAGCAAATTACCACGCTAGGCTGCGGTGGTCGATGCGTAGAATTCCTTTTGTGCCTTTGCGGCTTGCTCTATCGCATTCTGGATAACGGCACGCTCCAGATTTGCAACATTGCTGATTTTACTTCCGTTTACGGGCTCTACTGAGGTAAGCTTCCCGTTGCTAAGTCGTAATTCTACCTACCTACAGGAGACTCACCTAAGACTTCGAACGTTGTCTTAGCTTTAATCCAGTGTCCACCGACGAACGCATCTTCGATAAAAAGGGTCGGATCTGAGAGCTGGTATCGTTAGCTGAATGTTACTGTACTTACAAGTACAAAGGGGGGTAAGACTAGAATATGAGGACATACAGACGCAAGAGGGTTTATAAGGTCGACAGCCATCTTCACGTTTTAGTTTACCACAAGACCAAGTTTAGTTGGATTGGTCTCAAAGACTTGAAATGCAATTTCTCTATTTATTTGTGCTTTCGTTCACCGTACATGACAATTTTCCTGGGTACCTAGTTGTATATACAGCCTTGACAAGTAAATTCAGCCCCATGATTTTCACGTTGTGGTCGGGATTATACGATGAATACGGCCTCTATGTTAAAAAAGTCGGGACCTTGTTCCACTACGTAGTAGGTACTCGGCTCGCCCCCCGATACAGAACAGCTTACCATGGCAGAGGCTGCGGATGGTTCCATCTCTAAGTCTCGACGATGAGAAACATCTCTGTGTACAAGGTACCTAATTTAGGATCCATAATTCAGGGGCTCAGGGGGTGCAACCCGGAAACCATTTTCCGATTGGGAAGGAATTCTCATCCCTATTCCCCCCTTCCTAAGATGTGTATGCATCTCCAAGTTCCCCGCATTGAAGCAATTTGGGGGGGTTCGCCTCAGAATAGGTCTCATTATCGGACTTGGTAAATAGAATAATCCTGCTGATTCATCGGAAAGCCTATCCTGGCAGCCTAGCAGCAACGATTCCACCTGTCTACCCCCTGCCTACTAGGTACCTACCAAAGTACCTACCATCCAAGTAGCTCGGTAGGTACCTATCTTATGAGGTTTAGTAGTGATGAGAGCAAATGTGGGGTACCTAGTAATATACATGAAGCCAGCTGACTGGACGTGGGGTAACCCCGCAATAGTTACCTATCCCCCAGAGTATTACATCCACTAGAACTCCACTAGAACTCCACTAGAACTTAACGAAAGAATACAACCACAACCACAACCACATTTCCTCTTCTATTGATGTCCATAGCTTTAGAATTTTATACAGTGTTTTCATCGAATTGCATTTCAATTGATTGCCGATTAAATTGTTAAGTGTTCAGCATGTACTGAACGCAGCATATGCCAGTACTCTAAAAAGTGTAGCCTAATTCACGTTACTCTGCAACGCGCACAATTCGCTTTTGATGATATTGTTAACTTTCAAATCTACGAAAGCCGCTACTGCGTGGGTCTCATAAAACTTCGGTTGTTACTACTCAGCGATTCTACTAGCGTTCCGGTTTAAAGATGGTAACCTCCTCCGTGTCTGGCCGCAGGCACGTTACCACCGCGTGCAGTCCTTGCCGCGATGACAAGATCAAGGTACGATACGTTTATTGGTATCCAATTGAGGCTCCGACGCTGACTTGAACATGAAGTGCGATGGTAAAAGCCCATCATGTGGCCATTGTATTGACAAGAAGCGTCAATGCGTATATAATTCCAAGACAGACAGGCGCAAGTGAGTGAACCCGCGCTCTGACGATGCCTTCGCCACATTGCGAGTCCAACTATCCAAGGCTTATACCTTGCGTCAGGATATCACTGCGTAAATCTATTGAGACCTTTTCTCGTCGCCTGCGACAGCTCGAAGCCACTTTAGCCTCTCACAGTATCGACCTTCCGCAAATGCCCAATGAAGAGGACGCTTCTATGATAGACTCGCTCATGGTTATGTATGCACCTACTCCGGAGCCTCCAACATCTCCGTTACCTGTTACATTTATGAGCTCTGAGTCGCCAGATCGAGCTATGCTTCTACCACCTTCGGAACCCGACACGTGCATGGATGCCACGGAGCAGCCAACTGTCCCCGGCAGTAATCTGTTCCAATTTGATTCTGCTATCGACGAAGACTGGGTTTGGAATATGGGCGCCTGTTCATCATATCCGGCCCTAGATCTGGGTAGCTTCACTCCTATTAGCCCTCTAGGGAGCGATACTATTATTGGGCATTCAACAGCGTATCCCATAATTCCCCATGATATACCCACACCAACCTTAATTAACGATGAAGGGTCATCAGATGATGATGACTGTTCTGAGGTGACGAGTCAGTTCTCCTCGCGACTCGGAACTCTCCTGACTACGGCGCAACCTCCAATATGCATTTTATGGAAAGTAAACGTATTTTGAAGTATAAGTCAACATCGCAATCACGAGAACCAAAAATCCAGGCCAAACTGGACGACGCAGGTGTCGGCCAGAAGGTACCTATTGAGCTCATTCGAAATCTTACTGATCTCTACTTTACCTGGCAAAATCCTAGCTTGTATATAGTAGATAAGAAGGAATTCGAAAAGGCAAGAGAGAGCTACGTCCTTTACAAGCGGGAGAGTACGTTTTACTCGGAATTTTTGATCAATGCATTGTAAGTCGATTACCATTAGTACCATATGACTAAGCCAATCTGACTTAAGCAGGTGCGCTATAGGGGCAGCGTTCAATAATACCTGGTACCCTGGATACCCTTTCCCCTTGGGTGAGTTTTTTGCAAAACGAGCGAAGGCGCTCATGGATGTGGAACTGGACACGCCACGGATAGCCACTATCCAGAGTCTCGCCGTCCTAAGTATCCATGAAGCCTCCGCTACCAGAGATACCCGCGGCTGGATTCTTAGTGGTATGTCATTTGATTTTACTATTCCCCTACCTATTAATAGGAAAGGTACTAAATCCAATTCATTTCCTAGGAATGGCGATAAGGCTTGCGTTTGACTTGGGACTTCACCTCAATACGAAACAATATGTCGAGGATGGAACTATGACAACGGAAGAGGCGCGAGCACGGAGTGTGGCTTTCTGGGGCATCATAGCAACTGACCGGTATGTCCTTAATCATTTTCCAAGAATGTCTTCGTCGCGACTTGATATTGATTGTGAGGTAAACGTGACAGAATGTGGGGAATATATCTAGGTCGGCCGTTTCATAACACCCTTGATACTGTGAGCGTTGAAATACCTACGCGTTCCCAATCAGGGCAAAAATTAGATCGTTGGATGGCCAATGGCGCATTTGGCAATCATTCAAGAGGGCTTGTTCTTCCAGATCCAACATATATTCTTTCGGAGAGGTGGCAAGCATTATATGAAATCATGTCTCCCTTAGAGCTAACGTTGTACGTCCCCTACAATCCATTTGAGACATGAAACTTACTGTGATGTAGGTATTTCAAGGCAGATATCAACAAGGTTGAGCTGGTGGCATTTTCTCAACATACATATGATCGTCTTCTAGCATGGAAAGACGAGCTTCCAAAAGAGCTAGTCATCGACATGGAAACATTAGACTCAACAAAGCATCTTCCCCATGTACTCATGTTGCAGTAGGTAACTCCTTTAATAGCTGCATACGATTTAGTCCGGACACTTCTGACTTCTAAATAGTATGCAATACGCCCTGTTTATAATCATCCTCCACCGTCCGTGGGTTGCCAAGAAATATATCCAGCCGACTCCTCTCTTCGGTTCGGGACCCCGTCACGCGCGTGAGATGTGTCTTCGCTCCGCTGTTGACATAGCTATTCTCATCCGCGCCTTTGAGAAGCAATATTCTCTTCAAAGGGCAAACGTGCTTCTTGTACACATAGCATTCACGGCCGCCCTCATTCTTCTCTATGCGACCGTATCCGAAAAAGACTTCGACTGCCAACGTGAGCTATCAACGCAGCTAGATATGTGCTGCCAAGCACTAGCAGAACTTGGGAATTCATTTGAAAATGCAGCAAGAACACTCGACATCCTTCTGTCTGTTAAGAGAATGTGGCAGGCAAGCTTAGTCTCGGGAATTCAGACCAAGCGCGCACAACCTCGAGAATGGTTCCCAAGTAACCATTCCAGTAAGAGATTACGAACATCCGATTAGTACGCGTACCTAGGTAGTCAAAGGGTCACCTCTACATCATTTTGCAGAAACATTAACCACACCTAAATATTGTACTATTTGTTGCTTAGTAACAAGGGACGTTGTGGCGCTTGCCTTTGGTCAATATCCTCCGAAAATGAATTAATTTTTGCTATATAAAGTAAGGTTTTTAAAATAAAATATAGTATTTTATTTTATAATATTATTTATGTATTTTATTATATTTTAAATAAAATATTATATTTTCGAAGCCGGAAATATTTTTCGGTATTTAATTTAAATATTTTATATTATAAAATTTAAATGTAATTTTTATAATTATTAAGTATTTTTTATGTTAATTTTTTTTAAATATATAAGTTTAAGTATTTTAATTTAAATATTTTCGTTCGTATTTAATATATAATTAAAAATTTAATTTTTTAATTGTTTTTTTTTTTATAATTATTGTTTTTTAATTTTTTAAATTTAATTATTTTATCGTTTAATAATTTATATATATAAATATATATTTATTTATTTTATTAAAAGTTAATTTATTACGATTATTATTATAAATAAAATTTAACGTTAAAAATAAACGTTTAAAAAAAATTAAATTATTAATTATTAAATATAATTTTATAATTAATTTAATTAAAAAGTTTTTTTTAATTTTTATTTAATATTAAAGTTTAATTAATTTTTTTAAGTTATTATAAATTATATAATGCGTTATAAATTAATCGTGCCGATTTTAAAACGCGTTAAATTTAATTTCGATCGTATACGTTTAATTAAAAAGTAAATATTTTTTAAATTAATTAATAATATTATTATAAATTTTAAAAATAAATAAAATATTAAATATTTCGTAATTAAAAAATTAAATTATTTAATTAATCGTTAAAATTTAAATGATTTTTTTATTTTATAATATAATTTATAATTTTTAAAAATTAATTAAATTAAACCGTTTTAAATTTTTTTTTAATATATTTTATTAATTTAATATTTAATTTTATTAATAAATTATTAAACTTATATACGAACGATTAATTTCGAATTAAACGATAATTTTATATATAAAACTTAAAATATATAATAATATTTTAAAACCGTATTAAAAATTAAAATTATTAATAATTCGATATAATACGATAATTAATTTATTACGATTTTATATTATCGGGATAACTAACACGTGACTGATAACGTTAAGGCTATTAGTCATGTGACTTATTAAGGTTACACCCCTCGTGTATATAGTTTCGGATTTTTGCCCCTATTTTAAAAATATAAAACGTAACTTTAATATAATTTTTTTATTAATCGTTTTACTTTAAATTAACCGCGGTTTATATTAATTCTTAACTATACTAACATATATAAATTATTTTTAAATTATTTTTTTTTATTATACGTTAACCCGAAAACATTAATATTATAATATAATTTTTATATTTAAAATGAGAAACCCTGGCCGCGCAGTATGGGTACATCGGCTGATCCGCGCAGTAACGCTAAAATCCGCGCTAGCGCATTCGAAAGGTACCCAGAACGCCCTCATTCCCTTCAATCCACTTTGATTAATTATTTCTCCTTCATACAACCGTCAAATTTAATATAATTACAATCATTCAATTGCTCTCATAAGGCGCTTTCGAATGAACCCGGTTGCAGATCTATATCCATCAGCGGGAAGGAGATATATTGGATTGAAAAGATTCGGGCAGAGGGATAGAATTCTGAGACCACCGGTCGCAATTTTGTAGCGCCTTCAGGTTCAAACTCACTTCCTATGACGTCAACTCCTTTTGAAGCGGTGCAAATTGATCTGCTAGTAGACCAGATTAAGAGCTTTCAATTGATTGTAATTATAAAGCTTTTGAGCCGGTATTCAGGGAGAAACAATTGATTGAAACTGATCGGGGACTTAGGTGTTCCAAAAAGGTACATTGCGCGAAAGGATACATTTTGCCACATACTAGTTTATATGGCGCTCGAGGTACACCAAGCTATACCTCTTTCGATTTAGCTTTACTGCGCGGATCTAACGATGTACCCATACTGCGCGGCCAAGGTTTCTCTTTAAAATTAACTTATAATAATAATATTAAATGTTTTATTAAATAATTATTAATAATATTAAGTTTTTTCGTTTTTAATATATGTTTTATTATTTTATTCGAAAATAAGCGTATTATAATTTAACGAATTTAAAATTAATATATATAAATAAAATATTATTATAAATAAATTTTTAAAGTTTTTAATCGTATAATAATAAATTAAAAAAAATTCGTATAAAATAAATAAAAATAATTATAAAAATTAAAATATATTTATTAACGTAAAAAATATCTTTAATTAATAATTATATATTATGAAAATTATAAAAAACCGTTTAATAATAAAAAAGTTTAAAATTTTAAATAAAAAATTTATAATTAAATTTTATCGTTTTACACGTATTCGTATAAAATCTTAATATTTTAAAAAGCTTTTTAAAATTAATTAAATTTTTAAAAATAAAAATTAAAACATTAATATAATTTTAAATAATTAATTTAATTTCGTTAACGTTAATTATTTTTTAATAATAATAATAAAATTTTAATAATTAAATTAAAACGTTAATTAAATAATTAAAAATTAAATCGTTAAATATATTAAAAATAATTATTATTTATTTAACCGATTTAACGATTTAACGTATTTATTTTATATAATTAAAATAAATTTCTTTTAAAAAAAATTTATTAATTAAATTTTTATTTAATAATTTATATAATAAGTTTAATTATTAAATTATTTAAATAAAAACTTTATTATTAAACGTATTAAAAAATAATTTATTAATTAAAATAATTTTAATAAATTTAATGTTAATTAAATGTTTTTAAAAATTATTAATTTTAATTAATAACGTTATTATTAAAATGCGAACTTTTTTAAATTAATAATTAATTTTAATTTATTAAATAATTAATTATTAATAATTATTATAATAAAATAAATAATAAATTAAATTTATTATAATAATAATTATAACGTTATTTAAAAAAATTATTAATTTTTACCGTAAAATAAAATCGTAAATTAAAATTATATTTTTAACTTATAATTAAAAATTAATTAAATAATATAAAAAAATAACGAGGTTAAATAAATAAATTAATATATAAAAAAATTAATTATTTAAATATTTTTAATAATTTTTTTAAATTATAATTATATATAAAAAAATAATTATTAAATATTTTACGATTATTAAATTATATTAAATTCATTTTATAAACTTTAAATAATTTATTAACTTATTAAATTAAATCGTGATATTTTTTAAACGTATAATTATAAGTTAAATTTATAATATATAATTTAATAATTATTTAAATTTAAATTTAAATAAAAAAAAATTAACGGTTAAAATATTATTAATAATAATTAAAATTATTTAAAAATACGGTAAAATTAAATAATTAATTATATTTCGAAAGTGGATAATCCAGTTCCGGTATATAATATTTAATTATACGTGTTTTATAAGGTTTATGTATAATACCGGTATTTTATGAAAAATACAATATTTTTAAAAACCCTAGTACAGAATGCAACTAATCCACGAAGCCCCCTGTAATTACAGGGGGCGCAGGGGCCACAAGGCACTACTAAGCGCTAATTCTCAGGGTTCTACAAAAATACGATCGCATCCATTGTACAATAGGACCTAGGTACTACCTTCGTACTGATACGATACTACCTCGTATCGTACCGATTCTTTAGGTGCTCATCTCATGAACTTTGGGTACAGCTCTTAGAAAATACAACCACTTTTTACCCTACCAATCAATCCTACAATTTGACTCAAGAATCGATAACTACCTTGGTGATAAGTGCTCCATCGTCATCCTTAAGCCTAGCCGCCATGCCAAAAGCCTGAGAAGCCGATTCGAGGCCGAACGTCTAGTAGCGTAACTCCCTGCTCGAGCGCATTTCTGATCTGTAGGCCGCGTGGGTAGCAATTAGCATATCACTACACGTCAATTTGAACGGGTACACTAATGCCGACGAGAAGGGTCTTGCCTCCGGCGCGTGTAGCCTATGAGGTATGAGAACTGTATAACTCGGAAGAATCTCGATCTTGCAAACTCACATATATCGATGTGCGCGCACAAGACTCCACACTTGTGCACTCGAATACTCTATGAAACATGCTTACATGATTTCTTGCCATCAACACAGCTGCGTCTTCTTTTGCTAGCTCCATCACATGTTCTGTTGAGATCGCTGTGCGAATTTCCAGGAATTGGATCGCGTTCTAGGGGCTCAAGTAGCGCGCCGTATGCGAAGTCCGTATCAACTGGCAATCTACAGCGTAGGTTGTCAGCAATATGAAAATCAATGGTTCAGAAGAGGCACGCCTGACCTATGCACCTATTTACCAGGGTGATCCAAAGTTCTTGATAGTGTGGAATCTTCGTCGCGCTGATACGGAAGCGTAGTTTCTCGCAGATCTTATACACGTCCCCACAGCAATCCTCACACTCGTCACAAGGTACACCCACTTCGAGCGCGACTTTGTCACCAACTTCCAACCCTTCTACGCACAAGCCAACGGCGAGGATGACACCTACTGCCTCATGACCCAGTGGTGGCGGTTCTCGTACTTGGATGTCTCCGTTGTGGTATTATATGTGGTAGTGCAGGTCGGATCTGATGGCTTTGACTTCAATCTGTCTTGTTAGTCTTGGGTCTTTTGGACTTGCGCCTTCACCTCACAACAAGCAGTGATACTTAGGTAGTGTACACGCATGTGTGCACAGGAGCGGTGATTTGAATGCTACTCTTTTATATACTTATTCATTATTAGAAAAATATCCACATAGATATTATCCAACCTACTCGTACGATCGGAAACAACCAACGGAGGATGTGCCCGGAATTCAGGACTCGGCTCAGCAAACGCTCCGGGTTCTAGATCCCGAGCCCCACATGCAGTTCGACCAGATGTTGTTCTTACGTATAGCATTCTAGGTATCTATTTGAGATAGAATAATGTTTAAAGACTGAGGGAGCTGCGAAGACATTGAATACGCGTCTAAGTCGTGGAGTTGTGTATTATTATAAACTTAATATTTATTCGGGCTCATCCTGATTTTGGACAGGCGAACACATCTTCAACGAGACTCTACTGACCACGTCGTACTGGGTAAGCAGCCGGACATTCTCTCACATCAGTACTTTGTCACGATGGACCCTACTGCAATCATTATCGGGGCTGGACCTTCAGGTATCGCCATGGCCTATAAGCTTAAGCATACATTGGGCTATGAAAACTTCACAATCTTCGAAAAGCTTGACGGCGTTGGTGGAACGTGGAGGTTGAATAATTATCCAGGCTGGTCAGTATACCTAAGAACTTCCTGTACTTCCTGCTTCCACAAGATGGCTCACATGATGCAGTGGATGTGATGTTGCCTCGCATCTGTACTCTTTCAGTTTCAATCTAAACCCCCATTGGTCTCGAGAGCTATGCGAGCAGGACGAGATTCTCCAGTATATCGAAGACACAGTTGATAGATTTGACCTACGTCAATTCATTCAATCCTCAATTCAGTGTATTGGTGCTAAGTGGAACAATGATCGCACCGAGTGGGAAGTACGACTCAAAGACCTGAAGACAGGTATAGAATTCACGCGACGAGCTAATATTTTCGTGTCTGCTGTTGGCGGAATATCATTTCCCAGAGATGTTAGCTGTCTTTCTGTCTATATGATGCATCCAAGAACTGACAATATCGGGTAGGTTCATTTTGAAGGTATGGATGACTTCAAAGGACCTATGTTCCATACCGCCCGATGGGATCATTCTGTGAAGTACAAGGGAAAGAGAATGGTAAACTTCTCCTGAACTCCTTCGGTTACCTAAATATCACTTCTCTAACCACCTCAGGCCGTTATTGGAAATGGCTGTAGCGCTGCACAAGTCGTTCCCTCTGTGGCGGATCATGTATCTCTCGTCAAGCAATACGCACGAAGTCCGCAGTGGTATCATGACAGACCCAACCACGTTTTTACCGAGGGAGAGAAGATGGCCTTTCGCTACATACCATTTATCATTCAGCTACGTCGCTTGTTGACCTTCCTCGAGATCGATTACGAATCTTACGTATACCGACCAACACCCAAGGGAATCAAAGCTCGACTTCAGAAAGAGGAGGAAGCTCGGCAGTATATTTACAAGACGGCACCGAAGAAATATCATGAGATGCTAGTACCCAAGTTCGAATTGGGATGCAAGCGCCGAATTGCGGATCCACAGTACCTAGAGTGCCTGCACAAGCCTACGGTCGAACTTGTTCCTGAAGGCATCGAGAGAATCACGGAAGACGGCATAGTCAGCTCTTCCGGCAAATTCGACAAGTTCGACATCATCGTTCTAGCCACTGGATTCAAGGTGTCACAATTTCTGACTCCGATGGAGATCATCGGCGTCGACGGTAAGACCCTCGATCAGCAATGGAAAGAATCCCGAGGCGCACAAGCGTATCTTGGGACATTCGTCCATAACTTCCCGAACATGGCTATCATGTAAGTCCTCCCGTATCGCCGTCGCTTTAAAAAACCGAGCGGCTAATCAATCCCGCTTACCAGTTTCGGTCCCAACACCTTCCCCGCAAACAACTCCGCCCTCTTCGCCTGCGAAGTTCAAGTCGACTATGCAGTCAAAGCGCTCTTCGCACCTCTCATCGACAAGCGAGGGCGCGTAATCGAGGTGCAGGAGAGCGTCGAGAACCGCACCACAAACGTGATCCACGCACGGCTACGGAACAGCGTGTTCCAAGGCAACTGCTCGAACTGGTACCTAAGCGAGTTCGGGCGTAACGCGGCATCCTGGCCTGATACCGCCGCGTCGTTTTGGGTCGCCACCTACTTCCCGAAGTGGAAGGCTTTTAATATGTCTGGCGGCAGCAGGTTATGGTTCATCAATACATTGCTGCGGAATGTGCGCAATACTTCGCTTTTGACTAAGACTCTGGTCCTGGCTTTGCTGGCTTTTGGATTCAGGCCGCTGTTGAGTTTGGGACACTTTTCTAGGACCACAGATATGCTGAGGAATTATGCAGTGAGGAACTTGATTACCTAGAATAGGTAGTTTTTGAGATGTTTTACTGGAAATTAAACTACTTATCTATTATGTGAGTAGAGCAAATTGAAACATGAGGATGTCGCATATGAAGTTCTGGGTAAAGATTTCGCACATTTGCTCAGGGGTTAATGCCGTGCAATTTGAGATGATAACGCACTGCGGGGCTTTCTTTTTCAGTGGCTGGCCCCTTGGACTTTAGTGAATAACCGTTATATCACAGGGGAGCTACAGGCACACATATCACCCGGGCACTGTATTTAACAATAACTCACCCAACGGTTGTAACCTTAGGGTACCTCTGATATCGCGCCCTGTGGATAAGATTTTCGAAAGATATTTTTTAAGATTGAGAATAGTTACCTACATTTATTACGGATTTATCCATATTTTTGTACGATTGCGGATGGGGAGTTTGTTAAGGCGTACTACCTGTAAGAGCCCCGAGGGGTACCCGTGGACGCTCCAAGTTACAGGGTTTACGGCACTTAATCCCTTCAATCAGCCCTGTAATACTTCGTACAGCCAGTTACAACGCAACTCCCCTACAAGTCGTTAGCTAGTGTGCTTTCTCATGTACCTAAGCTTTTCGGTAAGTTCAACATTTTGCAAGGACTTCAATAGCATCGCAACCTTACATTTTATTGCTTCTTTCATAATTAAATCGAATATATCCATGAATTTTTCGAAAAGCCTCATTGTTTATTGAAGGATATAAGTCTAAGCATGTAGGTAGGGTTGAAAAGGTATCTGTAAGTAATGTGCTGGTTCAGTTTAAAGTAGGTAGCTACGCGTGCATGTATGCCCAGGACATATTCATGAAATATATCAATCAAATGGCTTGAATAAGAGATATCTGAATACATAAGCCCTATATTTTTAACTTGATGTTAAAGAAGACGATTGGGATATAAAGTCGAGCGCGTAGAAGGTGCCTAGTAGATAAAGCATTCTGTCATTTTATAGCTTCTAAACCCCTATGGAGGGGTGGTCACTATGGACTGCGCTAGGGCTGTACCTAGTAATGTGATCAATAGCGCTGTACACCTAAATTTACAGCGCATCCCTATCATAGTACGAGCTTGCAAAAAGATCGATCTTACTATGGACCGGAGAATATAGCAAAGCCACCTGGGCAGTTATCTTCTTCATCAGCGACATCCATAACTTAGTATACAGAGTATATCGAAGCAGAATCTTATTGTGAATGGTTGTAGTTATCAATGAGCACGAAAATTATTATAGTATGGATGGATGCCACCTGCCAATGCCGTGATTTACGGTTGATCATAAATATTGCTAAGCCACATGTAATAATTATGTCAGCCACAGGCATTGTCAATTGACGAGTAACAAGTACCTCCGTACTCGTACGTAAGTGTCACAAGGGTGCACAGCCACAATGGTAACGTCGCGGCCCCTGCAATTTGAATAACAAACAACTTGGCAATTTGGCCTCAGGAGAGTTTTAAGGCTGAACTCATTTTACCACTTTCAACATTACAACCTTGGAACCTTGACGGAGATAAGACTTCAAAACATCAATACTTGAGTACATACCTACTCTGTACTTTACCGTAACAAGCCTGGAATGAACCTATAATCTATTATCAATCATCGTCGTCTAGAACACTTCGACCTCATCAACCCTCCAATTATCCGGTTTTCCCGAGTTCTTCGCTTCGTCATCAGCGGCATTCCACAGGCTTACAATACTTCTACCGAATCTACATCGACACGAGTGTCCTAATTCGAATTCTATAATCCTACGCGCCAGTTTCTACGCGCAATAAAATCTACTCGCCCCGTCTAGTATCGGTCGCGATACAGAATAGAAGAAATATTTCACACCCAGCCATCCCGGCAAACTCGTCAGGATGGCCGTCACTTCGATACAAGACCGAACCTCCGAGTTCCGATCCGTCCTTACACAAGTCCAGAGGCGACAGGCTTCGTCCAAGGTCGGCTCCCAGAGGAGATCTCTCTTGACAGATTCGCAGAAGGCCGCCGCCAATGGAGACGCGCAACCGCCTCGGAGGTCCGATTTCGCGAGACGCGCAGCCGAGATAGGACGCGGGATCGCCGCTACGATGGTATGCCTCATCTTTCATAAGGAACTTCGGGTATTTGCTGACGTGTTGGTTATATAGGGCAAGTTAGAAAAGTTGGCGCAGTTGGCAAAGCGCAAGACTTTGTTCGATGACAGACCCGTCGAGATTAACGAGCTTACTTTTATGTAAGACCCCTGTGATATTTATATGCTATCCATTGATCGCTAATATGAATATCCCAGAATAAAACAAGATCTATCATCTTTGAATCAGCAGATCGGCGGCCTACAGACATTAACACGACAACAACACCCGAAAGTCGACCAGGAAGGCGAGCACAATAAGAATATTGTGCTGATGTTACAAGGCAAGCTTAGCGACGTGGGCGCCAACTTCAAGGACGTCCTCGAGGTCCGTACCAAGAACATCCAGGCATCCCGATCGCGAACCGAGAATTTTATCTCTTCTGTATCCCAGCACGCGCAGTCGTCATCGCTCCAGCAACAATCCGCTTCACCCTTGTACGGGACACCGAATCGAGGCACACCGTCCCCCGGCGCGGACTTACTTACGCTTAATCCACCAGCGGCAATGGGCGATCAGCAGATGCTTTTGATGGAAGAAGCGGCGCCGCAGAACTCATATATCCAACAAAGAGGCGAGGCTATCGAGGCTATCGAGAAGACTATTGGCGAGCTCGGATCCATATTTGGGCAGTTGGCGCAGATGGTGTCGGAGCAGAGCGAGATGATCCAGCGCATCGATGCGAATACCGAGGACGTGGTCGACAACGTGCAGGGCGCGCAGAGGGAGTTGCTAAAGTATTGGTCTCGCTACTCGGGCAATCGGTGGTTGATTGCAAAGATGTTTGGAGTTTTGATGATATTTTTCTTGTAAGCCCTTCATGCTTCCTAAAACTCGATTATTTGTAGACGTGTTTTGCTGACTATAAACAGGTTATGGGTCCTCATCGCCGGTTAAGCGAACGGAACGAGAAAACAAGACACGAGACGAGATTTATTAGTAGACGCTGGTGTACTACTACTACGATTCTTCAGTTTGTACATTATTACGCCATCCACCCCTGGCTAAGGGACCATGGTAGTTGGGCTACACGTACTAGATTTTAATGAGATGCATGGCGGCGACCCGTTTGTATGCGTACCACACCTATAAAGTATTGGTTCTGGCAGAGTTGGAGTTCAGACGGTCATGAATATGATTTTATTATATCATCTTGCTAGCTATTTGATCACTGTATGTCATCTGAATTTAACAACACCATATTGGTTTATTTTTATATATCGCTAAAGTTAAGTGTCCATTCCACATATGCGAGAGTGAAGAACCGTCCGCTCGGTCTTAGATCGAACCGAGGTCAATCCACTCCTTAAAATTTAGAGCCAGATTTCAGATTTCAGATTCCACGATCCCCCACTAAAATCCATCCAAGCTGGGTAAAAATGGCCGCGTTTTAGAGACTAAAAACTTCAACGGTCTCTTGACCAATCCACAGCTAATCTACTTGGTATCGAATAGAATTTCTCGCTATAGAATATGATCGAGATGTTTCATCGATGTGCATGGCGGGACATTCTGCTTTGGCCGACGTGGAAGTATGTATGTGCCTGGATCTCATCCCAGGTATATACTAGGTACTAGTAACCCCCCTGGATTTCCACCACTGGCGTTCCTCGGCGACCGAGTACCCGATTTCATCGTAGTGGGGTTGATCGCGGAAAACATTTCCCAGTTAACTTCCAGGTGTTTTTGAAATTACACGCTACATCACCACATACTTACTATTTACCTTTATATCATTCGCCAGGAATAGGAAGGTATGGCGCCCTCAGTATTGGGTTGTAAAAGCTGAAGAAAGGAAGAGTGACGGAAGTCGATGAGTGAGCCCTGCTACAACTCTCGCCAGTGTCCTTTACCCGGCTAGCATGAGTATGCGCTTTCTCAATTATTCGTCTACCACATAGCATACTATAGTAAGCGGATATATATGTAACATTCATCACAGGCGAGATTCGATTCGAGAATAGTCATCTCAAAACCCCCGCGATCTACCCCAGCAGCTAAAGCATAGTCAGGTGGCATACAGGTACCTAGTAGCTAGCCCATACATATAGCAGTAGCCCGGCCAAGCTCGCTATCTATTTTGCCGGAGGCGTCGCAATAAATACCGTTACGTAGCCTCCAAGGATCGTCTTGAGAATTGAAAAGTCATTTGAATGTTTTCTCGTCTCATTAAAACTTATTCCATAAAAAATCGCTTGAAATTAGTAGCAAAACCACACATACAAAGGTTTATTCATAGAAGATACTCACTCACGATGGCTCCCACTTCGTTCAAGCTCAACACGGGCCAAGACATCCCCGCCATTGGGTTCGGTACGTTTTCCCCCCAGCTAGCACCCACACGCAGTGCCCCTCATCCCCTAAGCTCTAATCTTCATACAAACAAATACCTCCAGCTATTATATTTTCCAACTCATACAAAAATTGAAACCCTCACATTGCTCAAAATCCCCCACGCTAACAACTCGCTTGCCAAACAGGAACATGGCAAGCCGCCCCAGGTGAAGTCGCCGCAGCGGTAGCCTACGCTCTAAAAGTAGGCTACCGTCTCATCGACGCAGCATACTGCTACGCGAACGAGGATGAAGTAGGGCAGGGTCTCAAAGCCGCCTTCGACGCCGGATATGTCAAGAGATCGGACATATTCGTGATGACGAAGCTATGGAACACATACAGCACGCGCGTGGAGCTCGGACTCGACAAGTCTCTTAAAGCGCTGGGTCTGGATTACGTGGACTTGTACCTGGTACACTGGCCCGTAGGCATGAACCCCAACGGCAACGACGACCGTTTCCCCAAGCTGGCGGATGGGAGTCGTGATATCACGTGGGACCACGACCACGTCGCTACGTGGAAGCAGATGGAAAAGTTGGTGGCTACGGGAAAGGTGAGGGGTGTGGGTGTTTGCAATTATAGTAAGACGTACCTGGAGCAGCTTCTTGCGAAGGCGGATATCGTCCCGACGATTAATCAGATCGAGAATCACCCCGCACTGCCGCAGCAGGAGGTTGTGGATTTTTGTAATGAGAAGGGCATCAGGGTTGTGGCGTATAGCCCGTTGGGGAGTACCGGGGGCCCGTTGATGAAGAGTGAGCCTGTAACTAAGGTTGCGGAGAAGAAGGGGGTTAGTCCTGGGACGGTGCTATTGAGTTATCATGGTATGTGCTCTTTTATCGATGCGTGGTTGAACAAGCTGATCTGATAACCGCGACAATAGTTGCGAGAGGCACCACCGTGCTCGCCAAGTCTGTTACCGAGTCGCGCATTGAGGCCAACCTGAAGATCATCGATCTCGACGCTGAGGATATGAAGATCCTAAACGACTACTCGGATAGCTTAGTCAAGGCGGGTAAGGTCGAGCGATACGTATACCCGCCCTTTGGTATCAACTTCGGCTTCCCAGACAAGAATGTGGGCAGAGCATTACCGAACGGGGTATGAAGTACGGAATATTAGTATTGGGCGAAGCAGAGTTAATTGCACAGACGTATTTACACATGCAGATACGGACCAAGCGAGCGCAACGAATGCTAGGCTGGCTAGCTAGCATATTGATAGAGACCTATATCATGTTTCGTGGGAAACTATAACTAGATGAATAGATCAGGCGCCTTCATATCGCGGCCCTCCCGAGGCATATTTGAAGAACATTTCTCGTTGATATCACACTAGAGATATTCTAAAGGTTCATAGTTCCTATATGAGCCTCGATCATAGTCCCCCAAGAATTCTAGACTGTCATAGCCTTGATTAGCGTCGGAACAATTTCAATGAGGCGATCCAATCCCGGTTCATTCCCTATACGGATTGGGGGCGATGCTATCAGCTCATGGCCTCAAAGGGAAAGGTCCTACCAATAGGCAGGCTGAGCTGAATATAAGTCATACTACATCAAGACATTATGAAGTCATGCGGTTTATGCCCTCAACATTGTCTATAAAGTGGGAAGATAAGGCTGGCGATTTTTCGGAAATGTGACATTTATTTCCATACCTATACACCTGGGCATTCATCAATCTCTTTACTATTTACTAATAATTATACCCACCAACATGGATCCTCTTGCCTCAATCAACCCATATGTGTCTCTTAAGGGAAATACACAGTTGGGAGATGTTTATCAAAAACTTCCTCCGGGAAGTACTCGTTTTCTGAGGTATAAGGGGGTTCAGCAATCACCGAACTCTCCGGAACAATTGCTTGTTTTTGAATTTGAAACTCATGAGATATCAAGCGTCAAGTCGCAATATTCAGCTTTATCTTATACATGGGGCCACCCCATAATCAACGACTTTAAAGATGATATGTCACACGCAGTCATTTGCGATGGCCGTCGCATGCCAATCGGCCTCAACCTCAACGATGCGCTTCAACATATTTACGTGGAATCCGACATATCTCCGACGTTGTTATGGGTAGATGCCATCTGCATCAACCAAAGTGATCTTGCCGAGAGAGCTTCACAAGTCACCCTTATGACAAGCATATACAGTAACACCTCTAACGTAGTTGTTTGGCTGGGGAAAGACGACGATGACGCCCGCGAAGCTCATGCTATGCTATCAGAGTATACACCTGCTCTTCAAGCAATTATGGAGGATATTGTGTTGGATAACCCTAATATTCCTGTTATAGCTGGAATGTTCAATGTCTACGACGACAAGGATGTTCACGAGAGATATAACATCACGCAGAAACCCATGGATTCCTGGAAGGCGCTCGTGAGGTTTCTTTCCCGGAGATGGTTCAGTCGTATATGGATCGTGCAGGAAATGGTTTTTAACCCCTCCCATCTGATCTGTTCCGGCCCTCTCCGCTTCGACTGGGCCGATTTAGACTGCTTCGTCAGTCTCGTCTTCGGCGCGCAGTGGCACGGGCTTAATTTTCACGGATTAGAAAAGGAGACATCGCAGATCGCTCGGATCTTCACATTCCATCGCGAAATTCGCATATCAGGAAGCGATTTTGCAAATCAAGACCCGCGTGCCGCTCTTTTGAGCACTGAGGAAAAAGTCTATGATTACGCGCAGAGCTATCTCCTCTCGTCGGCTTTTCTAGAAGCTACAGATCCCCGCGACAGAGTGTACGCGCTGTCCGCGTTTGTATTTTCCTACGGAGCCAAATTGAATGTCAAGCCTCTCTGGCTCAAGGCAGACTACACTCTTCAGACAACGGAGGCTATGCTTCGCACAGCACAAGTCCTGTTATGGAAGACTCGGTCTCTTGACATGCTTTCGCATGTCCCTGATTTAAGCGACCGACAACAGTCCGATCTCCCATCTTGGATGCCTCATTTCCACGTGCCGGGAGCTGTCGCATCCGTTGAGACTTTGCTGGAAATGCATCAGGGCCAGAAATACCACGCGGGTCGTCTATCATCTACAAGTCTCGCCCATTCAGATATTTATCTACATTTAGATTCTCCAGGAAACGAATTATCAACCCAAGGATACCTCCTTGATACAGTAGAAGAAGTTATCCATTTCGACTCCGGCTTTCTGTCAACCTTAGAAGTATGCACCAAGCTACCTGTGAGATACGCGAATGGACAGTCCCCAGTTGAGGTTCTCTGGCGCACTCTAATAGGAGGAAGAACGGACACAGAGTTCCCCGCGCCGGAGGAGACGGCCGTGGATTTCGCTAAGTTCGCCAAAGCCGGTCTTATAGGTATCGCTTTACAAGCACTTGGAGTCACTGATAGAGACACACTTATGAGGCTAATTTCTATACTTAACGATATCGGGACTCAATGCCCCCACCCTTCCATACCAACGGTGGATGAGTTTACCGAAATATTAGGAAATGTGATGGGAGACATGGACGGCACGGTTAGAATGTTGACGGAATTACATACTAGCTCTTCCTATCGGACCATGATCTCGCCGACGCATTGGGGGCGCAAGGGCAAGGCTGTTATTCGTACTAGTAAAGGGTATCTTGGATTGTCGCCTCATTCGACAGAGGCGGGGGATGAAGTGTGGCTCTTCAAGGGGGCAAATTTATTCCATGTGCTAAGGAAGGCGGATGATGGTCCTAGGAATAAGGTTTTACTTGGAGAGGGTTATGTGCATGGGTTTATGGAGGGCGAGGCGTTGGGATTAGATGGAATGAGTTATTCCCCCGTTACCATTAAGTAATGATACCTAGTGTAGGAAGTATTTTTAATGATGTCGCATAGACAGCTTTAACCATAAAGTTTTACTTTCGGTCCTCAACTCGAATCTATATTTTTTCGTAGAAACTTTCTTGTAGTTGTGCTGAGTCTATCTTCTAATGCACTAATATACTTACATAGGTAGGTACTTAGGGAAGTCACTTTGTACGACACCACCACTCAGGGGTTTAGCCTTGACCTCAACCCTAACCCTAACCCCAGCTTAACCCTGACCTCTAATTAGGTACCTGGATGCTGGAGTTATTACGGTTATTTTGGAAGTCGATATTACGGTAACATTGAGCCACGTGGAATTTCCAAGGTGACTGAGGCTCTTTATCAACATTTGTCCCTCACTATATATATAGGAATAGCCTATTTCGATACCTACATACGTACACTGGGTGCGTAATCACACGCTTGAAATGTCCCTCTCGGTACCTATGAATCAATACACTTTGATACACATACCTAGGTACCTACCTATACAAGTCCTATTTATAGGATATGAATCTAGATTCTAGATTCCACTTTATTACCTACCTAGGTAGATAATAGTTTGATATCCGTTCCAAGGTTTCTATGGTTGTTGTACCTTTGAAACGGTTAGGTTAAGGGGTCAGTGGTACCTAGGTAGCTAGGTAGCTATATTGTATCTAGCTCTAAGTACAGCGATATCCGCTTCTATTTGATTGGCACGGTGGGTTTGTGCGGTAGAATTTTGTGTTATGTTGGACTGAAAGGTACCCATCGGGACGTTGAGACAAAGTAGACTCGGGTTTTGTGAAAGAAAATATACCTATGTTGTGTCTTGCTTTAAATCTACCTATAGTTGGGAAATGCAATTGGATCCTGTAAGAGATAGTCCTGTGGTTCAATATCACATTCCCCAGATTTGTTTCTCCTATAACGAAAGCCGGCGTCTTGTAAGACACTAGGTACCTGGTATTAACTATCAAAGAAGCTTTCAAACACTTAGCCGGGAAGCTTTATGTAAAGGACATGGAACTTCCAGGCCTTTGAACTGTATTTTTCAATATTAACAACCCCAAATGTATCCTGTTCACAACTTGGAACCCTTACCTATTCCCCAACATCTCCGCAAAAAGAATGTCACGATGTTGATTAACCGAACATCCGCTTTCCCGATTTGGTTGGAGCCATGCCGCGATAAATTTATCCACTCGAATATTAGCCAGAAGGGATGAACAACTCAAGGCGAAATCCGGGAAAATTGGACTACTCTTAGAATTAGCTTCAATGGATCAGCGGAATGAAAATGTTTATTTACCTTCGAACTTGCCCACCGGATCTGAAGTGATTGTTTGTAGAGAAGTACAAAGAATACAAAATTGTTATCGACATAACTGCTCTTGACTGAAACAGAAACATGAAGGTCTCGTCGGCACTTACAACTTTGGCAATTGCCACTGTTGGCAACGCTCAACTCACGAAAGTGAATGACTTTAGTGGCACGCCGACAAAGCTTGGGATGTACGTCTATGTGCCAAAGACTCTCAAGACTCCGGCTCCTATTGTTGTGGCAGTCCATCACTGCCAAGGATCAGCTCAAGGATACTCTACGGAATCTCATTACATGCCCTTGGCCGACCAACACAACTTTATCTTGATCTATCCCAACTCAAGATCTAGCGGTGGCTGCTTCGATGTTGCTTCGGAAGCCAGTATGTATCTCTTTCCCCCATATATAACGTGTATATGTAGTAGAAGCACTACTAACTATGTCTAAAAGGTCTGAAGCATGATGGCGGCGGTGACAGCCAGACCATCGCCAACATGGTCAAGTACGCCGTGGAAAAGTATGGCGGAGACGCAAACCGAACATTCGCGACTGGAACTAGCTCTGGTGCTATGATGACGAACGTATTGGTCGGTGCCTATCCCGATGTATTCAAGGCAGGATCTGTCTACTCTGGTGTTCCCGACGGATGCTTCGCAGTGCCCGGATCCACCGCTACCCAGGACCCTCCTGGATGGAACAACCAATGCGCGAACGGACAGACCACCAAGACGGCAGCTCAATGGGGCGACCTCGTGCGATCGTACTATCCCGACTACACCGGCCCCCGACCCAGAATGCAGATGTAAGAATCTATATATCACTGCCATTGACTTGAATTATTTGATCTGACAAGGAATTAGCTGGCACGGATCTGCTGATGGCACTCTACGATACCCTAACTGTATGTCCAACTCCCTTAATAAGCTGAATCCAAAACACTGACTCTTTAATAGACGCCGAGACGATGAAGCAATGGTCCAACGTTATGGGTCTCTCAGCTCCCACAGACACTGCCAACACCCCCCAAAGCGGATACACCAGGAGCATCTACGGCGAGGGTGATGAGAAGACCGCACAGCTTGTTGGATACAGTGCACAGGGAGTTGGCCACAGTGTGCCCCTCCACGAGGCGATGGATCTTGCATTCTTCGGTATCGCATAAAGGGCAGAGGTTTATCCAATTACTTAGGAAAACTTAAAATGGGGAATATGTAGTCATGTATCATAGCTTATAGTTATCTATATTTAACGATATGTTGAGGATGTGAGGTATTGTTTTGCCGTGAAGAACGTATCCGGTCGATTGAAATATGTGGGTGTCGAGCCGTGCGAACTCCTTTTGAGCACACACTGTAAGCATCGAAGTGCGATTCTCATCAATGTGACCTGAAGTGCTATTTCAAGACCTCTCATTTCATCCCTAGGTACTGCTGTCTTTTCACATCAACATTTCTCTACTTCTACATCATAAAAAACAATGTGCCTCGAGATAATGATATTGACTTAATACTAACGATACCTATCTGCAACGATTGTGGTGATCATCGAACTAATCGCGAGCCGCTACCCAACTTATCCGCCCCATGTAACGGTCCGGATTAAACATAGACGTAGCAGAATAAACCGTTGTTTCCACCAAGCTGCTCATGCGCCTCCAGAAGCTTAATCGGAGGACCAAGCCATTCCAAGTCCACGGTGACATTCGAAGGGTCCTCGGCGCGTCGCTCCAGGTTCATCATGGGGGGCATCGGCATACCACCACTAGGGACGACGTTGAGGCGCTTCTCCGGGTCCTGCATCTGCCAGATCCACCACAGACGGTCTAGCGCGGTATGGTGGAAGTAGAAGAGCGGGTCTCCGGGCGATGTCATCGGGTCCCCACCAGGGTCGACGGCGGCAACGTAGTGACCTGCGGTGTGAATCTAATCACAATATGTCAGTTCTGACTCTTAAATAGAATGGAAAGAGTGTGAGACTTACTCCCCAGGGGTAAGGGTCATTCCTGGGAGGCGGGGTCCCGAGCAACTCGTTGTAGAAGGCGTCGATGTCCTTGCTATTGTTAATGAGGTGGAGGGCGCGGTCGGCCTTGGCTCCCATAGTCGCGTCGCGGTTCACATCACGGCGCAAGCAGCGGGGGTTCTTGCCCGACCCGTCTGCTTTCGGGTTCTTGGGAACACTGGAGCCGCCCATCGACATGGAGGTTGGCCCGAGACTGACGACCATGCTGCTCGTATGTTAGTATTTGACACACTTTTGGTAGAAAAGAGATGTGACGCACTCTGAGAATGGACCCTCAGTGACGCAGCCGCCACCGCCGCCAGACTTGATGATGTTGGGGGTTCGTCCAGGCTGAGGAACACCCCTATACGACGGCTCCGGCTGGCCGTTACCACCGAGACTGGACGCATTGCCATTCAGTAAGGGGGAGTTGAATGGGTCTTCCGCGTAGCGGTCGTAATTCATATACTAACTCACGATTAGCAACAACATCTGGGGATTCGTCATATCTTGGGGTTGGCATACAGGCTGGTAACCAGTGTAACCACACTCCTCTCGTAGGGCTTTCTCGAACAGCCAGACATAGTACTTGTGTGCGCCAAATAAGTGGAAGTTGTCGTGAAGTTGCATGGCATGTGTCATGTGGAACGCGACAAAGTCATCATATCGGCTCAGGGCACCCGGGAACCTTGTCGTATCTACCGTGGGGGGCAGGTTCATCAAGCACTTCACGGCAGTAGTGTACTCAATTCTTTGCTCTTCGGAGAGGTCACTCCTATTAACCAGATTAGCATTGACGGAAGACTTTCGTAGGTATCGTGAAGGTCTAAAACGTACCATTCTCGCCTGACTGCCGCATTCTCTAATGTGCAGTTATTGTTGGTGTTGGCAGCAATCTTCTGAGCTACCCATTCATCAACCTTAGGCATAGTAGCCTCCTCAAGCTGGTCGACGACATCGAGAGGGTAGACGGGATTGCGAATACTAGATTTACCATTAGTTAACCTAGCTACGCAAAGCCTGCGGTGAGGGAGAGGACTATAACCTACACTTCTATCTTTGATGAATATGCACTCCGAGGCACCTCTATCGCTGCGCCTTGGACTCCGGCGAGGAGTGAGGGAAGTAGGAGAGCACTCCCGATCGTCCACATGATGAAGCAGCTACCTTTCGAAGGTAGATCTGAACTTGGATGTGACTTACCAAACGGCCATTTCCAACAACTCTGGAGCTGGGAGATCTTCCAAGAGGTAGGTATATATAGCCCGCATTTCCCATGGCGGCTCAATCAATCGACCTGGGGTTCAACCTTGCACCTCCGCACGGCATTTGAAGCGCATCTGCATTAGGACAATTTTAATTAACGCATCCAATGACAGCTGTTCCCAATATATTTCTGCTTAGATAAATGTTCGGCAGAGAGACTCGTAACACGAACCATCGCCCTCGACGACCTGGTTCAAACTCATCGATCTCATGGTTTTCGTGTTGAGTCATTGAAACAGTCACATTTCACCGTGAACTCGTGCTTCTCCAGGTACAGGTGAAGATACACAAGAGTTGATCGATCATCACCCTATTTGAATGGGAGGGTTGTTCACTGTTGATAATTGACAGTAGTTATGGAGGAGGTAGATACTCTGTGACAGCTTATCTAATGGATATGTTAGATTAGGTCATCTTCAAATAAATCACGTGATTTAATTAGTAATCCTATTAGTCATTTTCGAGTGTTATGGCTTAGTCAGATCTAAAATCCAAACTCTTGACACCCACCACCCCGCACCCCCAATTTCAATCTCCTGAACCTGAATCTTTTAAATTCTATGATAGCTTCGGCGTTCTCATCACAACCTTAGAAGTACTCTTCAACGAGAGGGGAAGCTGGCCTTTATAAATTAGAACCCATCTAATTTCCAAGACCATTTCTATATAGTCAGACCAGTCCACGTCAAATCACCGCTGTTCTAAAACTCGTGGCCTTCTCAATCGACTTCGTTGGCAATACAAAACAAATCTGCTAGAACGGCACCACTGATCGGAATTTGGATCTTGCAATTATTTCAAGAAGTATACAGAATGCGAAGAACAATCTAGAGAGTTAGCTGTTTCAAACGATCATATAACTACTAGGTACGTGAGGTTGAAGGTTTGAATGGACTTCATTTCACATTTCCACAATCGAAATAACTTAACTAGACCCTCTACCGTACGCAAAGTTTTACATCTATTCCGTCATATCTACCATAACCTTAATCACCAAATTTCCCTCCTCATCCTTTACTTTAGCAGCCGTACCAAAAGCCGTAGGTATGCCCCCTAATCCCTTCAGTCTGTGAGTCACAAGTTTCTGAACATCGGGTAATAACGGGTTCCCGCTTGCGAGTAAATCGATAGCTTTGCGATACGCATTGGCATATCGGAACACGCCGACCAAGTCGACTTCCTTGAGCGACGCAGCCGAAATAGGAAGTGTCTGAACTGGCGTGCCCATTCCGATAATCATGACTTTGCCGCCAGGTTGTGTTGCCTATTCTGTTAGCTGACTCGGGAGGTCCGGGGAAACGGGTGGGGCTAAAATAGGGGTTGAAAAGGGGGTAAGAGGAAGTATTACATATATGGCCGTTTGCATGCATGATTCAACGCCTGTGCACTCAAACGTAGTAGCAACCTCGCCAATAGCCTCACTCCCATCCTCAACCTTTAAAGCTTTCAGTTTCTCAGCTACATCTTGCGCATACGATAGTTTGTCCTCGATTGTTTCCGGCCTCGGCGTCACAATGGGCACCGTAAACGCAGCGTCAGCGAATCCGTTCTCGACGGCGAACTTGACACGGTCCTCTAGGATATCCGCTATAACCACGGTCTTGGCCCCAGCTACCTTACTTGCAGCCGCGCAAAGCAGACCTACTGCTCCGGCGCCTAGCACTAATACCGTAGACCCCTGTTTCAGTCCTGATCGATCCTTAGCGTGCATCGCGACAGATAAGGGTTCGACGAGCGCGCCGTGTTCGAGAGTTAGAGAATCTGGCAATCTAGAAAAGATGTAAGCACTCGGGGTCTAAGGTCATACTACCATAACAAGATAGTATGGTGCTGGAGAGGGGATCGTAGTAGATATCGACGTACTTATGACACCACCTTGCGGGGTGGTTTACCCTCTCCTGTAGGGTACCTTGTGCGTGTGGGAAAGCTTTAGCAGAACTACGGAAGTTCATGCCACGACAGATGTTATATCGACCTTCGCGACATAATTCGCAATTCTCACAGGGTAAGCCGACTTCGAGGGCCACACGGTCGCCGACCTTAAAGGGAGATCCCGTAGCCGGCACAGCAACAACTACACCCGCCGACTCGTGTCCCAGAGTGAGAGGCTCTCGTACTTGGATCTGGCCATTTCGAAAATGTCGGAAGTAGTGTAGATCTGAACCGCAGAGACCAGTTGCCTGTACAGCTATCTGCACCTCGTCCGCCGAAGGATCGGGTAGTGGTCGGACTTGCTGTTACACTCGTCAATTACTTATGCCTCTACCATCTTTCTTTCCCATTTCTGGTGTCCTCATTGGAGACTTACAACCCGGAGGTCTCCTGCTCCGTGGAGAACAGACGCCTTTACTTCGGTGGCGCTCATGATAGCTTCAATTGCTAATTATTGGCAATAGGACACGAATAACCTCTCTACTCAATTTTTCTGATATCGAAATAATTAGAAATTGGGAGACTTTGATTGGAAAGAATAATATTGACAGATGAAGAAAACACAAGTAGTATGTCAACTACAGCTATTTTTCAAGCAACAATGGAGCTCACCTAGTTACCTACGTACCTAACGTCACCCAAGCTTTACCTAGGTAATCACTCTAGCTTCGGTATAATTATAGAAAAAGAAATCATAGAAGCCTATATCCTTCCATTAGACCTTCTCTAGATTGCGGGCACCAACCAGTTCTACATGTGCTGCGCAAACCCCTTAATGAAGGTCCACTGCGGGGAGAAGCTAGTACAGGTGTGAATTTTTGGGATCGTCGAAATCCGGCGAAGTAAGCTAGACTCGGTAGAAATAGTCGTTTCTGGCCGAGTGGAATGGGGTTCGTGATGAATTTCTCTTACCCCAAATCTCGTCTCCATCTACCCCGCTGAAAGCTCTTAGGTTAGGTGAAAAAATAAAGGGAACTGAGGGAGACCGAGCTATCACCGGTCTACATCATGAGACTAAAAAGAGGTCTTTCGATGCGCTTCATACTGTAGGAATTCATCAGCTTTTCGGGTCATCCCCACTCTTCGCCGGTTTTAGCCCAATTCATTGACCCTAATCGTAAAATGCGGGAGCACTTACTATATTTTAAACTTCCCCGTAAAGAAGTTCCCTGACGTAGGAGGGTTACAGAAGTCTCAATAGAAGGTATAGCTCCGAATACGGAAATAGAAAAAGCGTCACATCCCACGCTGGAGGGGTAATCGACCATAGGAAACCCAATCGCGAACTCAATGGTAGAAAATTGAAACTAGCAACGTACAGAGTATATCGGAAAACATATTCCTGAGTTGCCTGAACTTGTATTCTTAGACAACAGCCAACCAACTTCAAATAAGCCATGGCAGACTCACTATTCTCGCTCAAGGGCGAGACGGCCCTTATAACAGGCGGCACAAGGGGAATCGGACAATCCGTCGCCATCGGGCTGGCTGAAGCGGGCGCCGACATAATATTAGTGCAGGTATGGGAATCACATCAATCGATTCAACAAAGCAAAAAAAAAAATTCATGAAGAAAAAGGAAAAAAAGAAGACAAAAGAAACTAACCCCTAAACCAGCGTTCCACAGCCTCAACCGAGACTAAAACCGCCATCGAGGCGCTCGGCCGCAAAGCCACCATCTACACCGCCGACCTATCCAACATAACCGACGTAGCAAGCCTAATCCCCAAAATCGTCGCAGACGGCCACACAATCCGGATCCTCGTAAACTGCGCAGGCATTCAAATCCGGCACGCGCCCGAAGTATTCCCCGACAGCGACTACCGCGCCGTCATGGGCGTAAACGCGGACGCTGTATTCGCGTTATGCCGGGACGCAGGAGCGCACATGCTGACACTACCGGAGTCAGAAGTGACGGGTCGACGGGGGAGTATAGTGAACTACGCGAGTCTGCTATCGTTCCAGGGAGGGTTGAACGTTCCGGCGTACGCGGCGAGCAAGGGTGCGGTGATGCAGATGACGAAGGGGTTTGCGAATTCGTGGGCGGGGCGCGGGGTCAATGTTAACGCTATCGCGCCGGGGTATATCGCTACGGATATGAACGAGGCGCTGATCGCAGATGCGGAGCGCGCGGCGAGTATTAGTGCGAGGATACCGGCGGGCAGGTGGGGTGGTCCGGAGGATTTTAAGGGGAGTACGGTGTTTTTGGCCAGTCGGGCTGGGGCGTATGTTAGTGGGCATACGCTTGTTGTTGATGGTGGGTGGATGGGGAGGTGAGAATGAGTGGAAGAGTAAGGAGTGGGTGGAGGGTGGTGATGGGGTCAGATTTTTACGAGAATTGTTAAGTCACGGAAATGTAAACCAATTGGGTAATAGATGCATAGAGAATGTTTTCATTTTGAATTGTTACAATTTGAGCCGTATAACATCTCTCATAACCGACATAAACATAAACCATCGATTTTACAATTTTACAATTTCTAAACCGTACAAACGCCAAAATGCAAACCCATCCATAGGTAATTGATACACATAATAAAACACATCACTTCGTAGAAGCCATAACCTGCTCCATCCAAGGATACACCGACGAGTTCGCCATTGGGTAACCCATATGTAGCGCACCGGTGAAGAATCGCGCCTCCTTCGGGGATCCGTGCTCGAACAACAAGATCGAATCTTCGATCGGCATGAGTCCATCATGCATGCCCTATCATCATCATTAGTACTACCGCACAATATAATCATACGTACGAAGTAGGTAACTAAGTGATATGAAGAAGAAAAGGAGAGGGAACATACGTTAACAAGCAACAACCTCGCACTAGGCAACTCCAAAACCCCCGTCTCAAGCAACGAAAACTTCTTCTGCGCACCGCTCAAATACGCCTCGACATCCTCTCCATAACCATGTTTCGCCGCCAGCGCCGGCGTGAGTTTAAACGGATACTCATGTCCATCGGCACGAGCCAGCCACTCCCTCGCGAAGAAATGATGCGTGCCGGCTCCGTGCGCCACGACGCCGACGAGCTTCTCGCGATGCGTGTGCGCCGCGCGCACGGCGTAGTATCCGCCGCTGCTGAGGCCCCAACACATGACGCGCGCCATGTCGAAGCGGCCGTCTTGCGCCATCCACGAGAATGCGCTGTCCATTAATCTGTCGGGAGAAGACGGGTCTGCTGAGTCTGCGGGACAATCGGCAGTGCCTGGGATCTCAAATACGACGGCAGCCCAGCCGCGTGAGAGGAATTCCTCGCATCGAGCTGTGTTGTCGGGGCGGTAGCCGTCGAGGCCGGTTAGGAGGATGACGGTGGGGTGTTTCACGCTGGAGTCTGGGGGTACGCGCACGTATGCTGGGATGACGGAGCCGTCGCGGCCCTGGCCATAGGTGTGTGGGATTGAGACTTCGATTAAAGGTGAGGGAGACCATAAGGCGCCGGCTTTGCGGTAAATTGCTTTTTGGAGCTCCCAGGCCTCCCATTTGACGGTATCGCTGATGCCGGGAAATCCGGTGATGTAAGGGAACCGGGCGATTCTTAGAAGGCATGCAGCACGCAAATAAAGGTCCGACGCCTTTTTGACCTCACTACCCCCTTTCGCTACGGCCTCATCGGCATGCTTCTCAAGAGCTTTGGCTGTGGGCACGAAAGCTAGGGTAAACTCGGCCGAGTTCATATCATTGATATCTCGCGCGATTAAGTCAAGAAACACAGGCTCGAAGTCCTCAAACGCTCCGTCGTGGAATGGGTATACAGATCGACGGCATGGTTCGCGCCACTTGGTCTCCCAGAGCGCCCGAACGCCGGTGTGGTGCGGCATGCGCTTCTCGAAAGCTTCTACGCCCATAAGCCACTGCTTGGGCGAGGGTCTAGCGTTCGGCGCCATCTTGTCTGGTTCGTCCCCTTTACCCCTTACCTTTACCCGAGAGTAAGGAATTAAGAGAAGTTGGAAGTAGCAGATCCAAAACTGGACCTGGTGGACCGTGAGGATGGCAACTCATCAATTAGCGTGAAGCCGCTGGTTTGAGACTCGTCCTCTTCTTCGGAGGTGTACCCGCTGTGACTTTGCTTTCGCTGTGACCCGAGCCGGGATAGGTGGATACGACCGTTGCGCTTACGGACTACGACGCGCCGCGTGGTGTACCAGTCTTTCTTCTCTCGGATCCTATTTGCCATTAGTGGACTTTTTCGTTTTCGAATGGTCCTATTCTCAAGGGTGTTGACATAGATGTGGGGTAGGTATTCGGGAAGGATGCGGCGTGGCTGAATCATCCATCCGTAGGTCATGCCCTTGCGTTAGACTAGCCGCTGATATGCAGAAGCCTCCGTCACTTAACGGCGATGATTGTTCCATCCCTTAACTAGAGCCTGTGGTGGGGGAGGCGCTCCTCCTCAAAGTTAGTAAAAATAGATGACTTACTCTCTCTGAAGCAGAGCTATATTGGTTCTGATTAGAGCACTACGGAGTTCCTGGTCGACAGCCTGAACATTGCTTTGCTGAGCCATTTTTTATAAGAGACGGAAGACAGAGAGATAGGCCGTCGTTCCGAGGCGTAACGGGTGGGGATGTCCGAGTGTAGTCCGGGAATTGTGTATATGCAATCTTTAAGAGGTTAAGATGGACAAATACAGATGTTTAATATGCAGGCACTCAATATATATGATACGATGTATGTGTTTGGCGAAGGGAATAGTGAAATGATGGTAATGCAAGTGAGACTGAATCGTAATGAATCGTCGGTGTTCCTAAGAGTGTTACTTATGTAGGTTTCTTGGAGCGGGAGTGAGGCATCAGGGCCTTTATAGCCGTCTGTCTGACGAGTTAAATGTAGCACCTACCAAAAGCATGTCCCTCTAAGGATTCCTATGCGCCTGCGGAGTAGTGAGGATCATGCCCGTGAAGCTGGTTTCTACACCCCGTCGCAGTCTGAGTAAGCCAAGGGTTCGCTCGTGTAGTAGAAGCATCGCAGTAAGACGCCAAGGATGGTGCGGATTGGCTGGGGACCGTTTCGCGCTTCGGGAATTCTCAGAGCAAATGGGTATTATCACGTCCAACCAGCTCACTACCGGACCACACACCAACCCGAAGGAGAAGGCGATATTTTGGGCTTAGTATAAAATGTGGTTCGGTAGAATGTTTTCTACTCAGCGTCGTAACGGACTGACGAAATCCAAGTCTATTGTTGGAGGTCTCCATCACATGTCCCTCTTTCACATGTCTTGATTTTCTAGGCCCTCTATACTCTATCCTGTATCGAATGCTCTCGTGCTGTCACGACAGGATTTCTTCTTCCAGGTACCAGAACTCTAATAGTATATATATCCCATGTCCCGTCCCCTTTTATCGTTTTTTGACCGCTCTAAGGAGGGTTGGCTCATCAACTTAAATCTTCGGCTCTACCAAACGCTCGGAGTCAGCCGAGGTATCAAAAGCACATGCACCGTGTAGCGTGCAGTTGGTGTAGGTATAAATGATATCAATCGCCTGAACTCTTCTCACTGGGCCTTACTCTTGTCACTGTTATAGTAATGGGCCATTTCTAGTCCAGCCCTCCTAAAGCCGCACTTTACGTAAAAGCCTTCGTTCGCTTCGCTGCAGTCGAGGATAGTCTTGTAGCAACCAACTTTCTCGGCGATGAAGTCGAGCGCTTGAATCAGACGAAGACCAAGCTTCTTGCCTTGTTGGTCTTTCGCAACAGCAATGTCCTCGATGTGACCGACCAGGCCAAGACTATGGATGCTATCCAAGAAAATATTACGTCAGCAATCTTGGCTCAATCATCAAAGCTTATCCAAATAGGTTTGTCTCGAATCGCGATCAGGTAGATCGCAGATCGCAAGATTTACAGTGCCATCGTCTAGAAGAGGGATGTCCTACAATTTCCTCTCTACGAGTAGTGCTCCCGTTCCTACGATCTTTCCCCTTGCGGCATCCTCAATAACGAGGACGTAGTATGTGTCCTGTGATGACATCCACTGATACCTCTCAGCGAATTGGTCTTTGCTAATCTCACCAACGGTCGTCAGAACGCGTAGGCAGTCGAGAAATCCAGCATCGTAGTCGGATAGTCGTAGAGATCGAGCGGTGTAGCCTTCAGGGAGTGCGGCAGAGACTTCGGGTGAGATGAGGTCGGACGAGAAGAGACCTTGTTCAGCCATTGCGGTTGTGATTGTGATCTTGTGCAATGTTCGCCTTATCGAAAGTCTCGTTTTGGTTTCAGTGGTTAATTAGCGAATGTTGGTTAGCGGTGAAACGAGCGGATACAGATCCAAGATTCTCAATGGAAACCCAGGAGTGAAGGAGTGAAGGATGAAGTGGTTGGAAGAGATCCGAATGACAATGTTGGTTGAGGCGATAGTAGAATAAGAAGAGGTCGAAAGGTTAAAGGGGACAGTTCTCGTTATTACTCTAATGTTGTTATTGTGTTATCGACGATAAAGAATACGAAGCAAGAAATTCCCTCTTTACATCCCTGAAACCATGAAAACTACAGTATTACAATGTACCTTGTAGTACCCATAGTACCCTGTAATTCCTTGTAAAGCCCCTAAATTTAAGGAAGCTTAGCCTCAATCGATTGGATCTGGCCTTCGGTAAAACCGTAAAACCCCTAATGATAGCCCTGGAACCGACTCAGTATCTGCATAGCCTGCATAAGAGCTGAACAGCCGGACCCTGCCCAAAGCTTGAAAAGAGCTAAGAATAGAAGTCTCGATTTGTATCCACTGTATTGTGCAGGTACATAGGTACCTACTCAGTGCAGTCCCCTCAACTTTCAAAGAACCTGAAATTCCCAGCTGCGACTGCTGACATCATTTGAGTTTTTGAGGCTTGCAAAGATGAACAGGATCTGCCTTTGAGGCAAGAACGAATAAGCAAATCCGGAGTCTCCCAAGCAGCCAAGTCGTGTTTTCGTTCTCTTCATTTTCAATATGAAACTTACTCTCGTCCGTCTCCATTTCTTAATCCTGCCATTCCGATTTACAATTTCATTTGTGAATATTCATCCAACCATACCTAATATTCCCTAATAGTTCTGGACCATGGTTAAACACCACGATAATATGCGATGACGTTTAGGCGACCCACGATTCCGTGTCATTCAATCAGTGATTGATTGCGGACAGATGACTGGCACTGACTCGGTCAATATCGCGACGAATATCGCGACTTAGTTATGACGTGGACAAGAGCCGAGGCTCTCTTGTTCCTGCATCCTATCTCATTGCCTAGGAATGCCTGAAATGCTTGGAATGACTAGGAATATCGATTATTTATCATCTTAGATCGGGAGCCAACTGGGTCAATTGGCATGGAAGATAGGGATCACCGTCTGAGATGCAGACACGTTTCCACGCTCTCGGCGCTGGGCATATGCAAGTCTCCGTGGTTTCCGTGTCGGGAAATCGTTGAGAACCTATTCGTTCCCCTTTTTCGCCCTTTCCTATTCTAGCGCGAAACTATGGGGGGTCCACTCTGCCACTCTGCCACTTTGGTAACGACAGTTGGAAGTGGCCAATTAATAGCCAATCAGGAGCCAATTAGATCTAGACTTAGCTATGAAAAAACCCCCCGCATTATTATCACATGTAAGTTTTAAGCTAACGAAACGTTATGCTGGTAACATCAACAGATTTCTGTCGCGCATAACCTTGAAGGATTTTTGGTACTGGTAACGGGTACACGTACAGGTACCAATGCTCTAATTACCTAAGAAGCGCGGCCAATCTTTAATTTTCCAAATCCGAATCCAAATCATCATCTGTCATCCGTCATCTCGAATTAATTCAACACTCCTTTTTTGACTTCGTTCCCAATTTCAAGACATTTTTACTTTACATTAAATCGACCATAGAAGCGAACACAGACTGTTTCTTACTTGATTAACTTGTCTCAGCCTGCCATTAACTCCTACAATAGCAAATACACAAATACACAGATACAGCCTGTACCTTATTGACCAAACGTTTGAAGACGTTCCTATTCTCAATACAATAAATGCAGCCAATACATTTCGAAAGTCGACTCCTCCATCGACGTCAAAATGTCGGCAAATACGGAAGAGGATCAAAATGATGACTCGGTCAAAGCTGTTGAGGCTCGTCTTTCGTCGTCTGAGTTATTGCCATCCGCCCCAGGTAGGACTCTCCTGCCTAGTACAATAGCGAGTGCCGTCAGTTTTGCCGCAAGATCAACCTCCTTCGCCCTTCGTGTCGGTACCTTAATCGGTAGCTATGGCTTAGGGGCTGCTAAGTTCACCACACTTTCGAGTCTAGAACTAAGTCGCGGAATTCTGGAGGGGATATTGAGTAGGGCTGGGAAGGATGTTATGTCGAGGACCCGATCTGAGCTAGGAAGGTCAGATGCCGAGTCTATTCTAGAGAAGAGTCTCGAAAGCTTGCATCAGACCATGTCGCAGATCGTCTTTTGGACTGCGACTGGCTTTCATATCACTGGCACCACTGTATCAAGCGCATCCCAGATATCTCAACTTTTTCTATCAGTTTTGGATCAATTCTTCGGCTCAACCGACTCTTCTAGAGCCATCGCAAGCATTATCACCCTGATTCGTCGAGAGTTTCAAAACCCCGCTACTGGAGTACAAGGAGAAAGAGTTGGGGTGATCGACCTTTTGCTTGGATTATGTGGTCTGGCATATCTGCAGAATTGGTGTAGGAAGATGATCGAAGATGAGTCTCGTCGACTTTGTCAAGAGGAAGTCATCTGGGATGTTGTCCTTCTTGATGATGACAGACGAGTTGATGTCGATGATGAAGACATGCATATAGTGCAAGGTGCTGGACATGCAAGACAAATTGGTTCTGGTGGCAATGACGATTTAATCGAGGCAATTGAGCGACATGGTGCCAGATTGGATAGTAGTGACGAGGATGAATCACCCGAGACCCGACTCAAACAACATATTATAAAATCTCTTCCGAAAGACGCCCAGGTATCTATAAATACGTCGACCACTACAACTAAGACGATCACTGTTGACATCACGGGTGCTCCACTGGTCCCAATTTTATCATTACCAGGAGTCGACCTCGTGAAAAGTGAAATACGTTCCAAGACACCGGAAGATAAAGAGGAAGGATCCAATTATAGAGTTGTGTATAAGATTAGCCGGAACAAGGTGAGAAGCACAGCTGTGGACAGTGACGGTGATGATGACATGAAGTCTCGGGTTGAAGCGGTCGAGGACGGCGAATCAGATTCATCAACCAGCTTTGTTAGTCGCCAGTCCGATCAACCCCCACCTGTCCCGCCGAAGGTTGATCGTCCCACATTCGCATCTGCAGTAAAGCGGAGAGGAAGTCTTGGATACGACTGCCCGGCTCGTCAAATGAGACACGCATCAGGTAGCTCAACTTCAACTAAGGGTCGTATATCTCCGCCCATCTCTTCCAAGCAAAGCCCCGAGCATATCGCCAATCAGAAACGCGCCAGAAAACCGCTGGACTCGCAACCCGCACCACGAAATCACGTTTCTGTTTCTGTCTCGCCAACTAGCAGCAAATTCCCGATTAAAAGGCCCGAGCCGTCCCCCACAGTCAAACCAACCGAAAAGAAAGGTGGCATTCGAGGGGTCCTTAAAAAGAGATCCAGTTTACTGAATAGGGATTCGAGCTCCGAGAATCTTCAAACTGCCACCAAATCAAAATCGTCGATAAAGCCGCCATGGGGTAGCAACAAGACCTCCCAGAGTAAGGTGCCCAGCACATCAAGAAAGGAGATCATCCCGGACAGATCTTCAAGTCTGTCATATCGCGAAACTCCTCGGGCACCACAACGGGGAAGTCCGAATCACTTCACTTCGAAAGATCTAGGCAGTGCTGGGGGTATTCCCAGCCTGCACGGTTCGCAATCTCGGACAACCTATGTCTCGCTACACGACCGGCGTCGTGAATCAGTTGTGTCTTTGACTGATACGTTCTCGGTACACTCATTCGAGAGTCGACCATCGTCTCCAGCATTTCGTAGGAATGAGCCCTCCATTCGTATATCTCGCGCCGAACCTGGACCTACCTCCGGTGCACAAAATCCCCCTTCGCCATCCCGGGGTCATCTAAGAACTAAGTCCGAAAATCACAGTTTATACAGTCCAAGCATATATACACTTAAAACTAGGGATTCGCAAGCCTCATTAGCACTGTCGCCCTTTCATCAAAAAGGCGCCTATAGTAATTCAGAGGCCGTGGATACTCTACGGTCATCGGGTATGGTTGAGGGGATGTTTCCACAGTTCCATATCCTAAGGAATATTACACGATATAGTCGTTACGCGTCTGCTGCGTACGGCTCGCATTTCTTGAAGTTCATGGGCATCACAAAGGAACTGCCTGTTTTGAAGGGATTGGACGAAACACATCGAGACGTACGCTCATTTGCGCATCATACGAAACTCCCACCAGATAGTATCTTACTATCTTCGTTTGTCGATCCTCAAGGTGGTTCTGATTCTACCGGATCTACTGATACGGGCATTCCTCTCGTGCATACTATCGCTATTGATGAAGAGTCTAAAGCTGTTGTGTTATCATGCCGTGGTACGCTAGGCTTCGAGGATGTCCTCGCCGATATGATGTGTGAATACGACGACCTCGTTTGGAGAGGAAAGCCATACAAGGTCCACAAAGGCATCCACGCATCTGCGCGACGACTTCTGTACGGAGGAGATGGAAGAGTATTAGCGACACTTAAGGAGGCTCTTGAAGAATTTTCAGATTATGGTCTGGTGCTTTGTGGACATTCATTGGGCGGCGCCGTCACGGCGCTACTTGGAGCTATGCTTGCCGAGCCTAGTTCTACGGGAGCGGGCTTCGTTACTTCTTCCGAGCCGCATCAAAAGTTACTTGCAAACGGGCAGTCTCAGCAAACCTCTTCTCACGTATGTCTACCATCGGGTAGACCAATTCATGTGTATGCCTATGGACCTCCTTCTACCATGTCTCCGTGTCTACAAAAAGCGACCAGGGGCTTGATAACGAGTACAGTGCATGGCAATGATCTTGTTCCGTACTTATCACTAGGCGTCCTTCATGATTTCCAGGCCCTAGCTTTGGCGTTCAAGACGGATAATAGCGAGGCAAAAGCAGAAGTACGTCGGCGAATTTGGGTGGGCCTGCAGTCAGGTCTGGCTGATAAGTGGTATAATAACGGGCCGACACGATCTACCGAGGAGGAAGACAAGTGGGCTTACGCTGCGCTTAAGACCTTGCGTGCAAGTATGATGAGCTCCAAATTACTTCCTCCAGGCGAAGTTTTCTCGGTTGAAACCACGCCCGCCCTAAGACGAGACGCCACCCTTCAGGCTGGCACGGGCCAGGTCGGGCGACCCGCAACTAGGATCGTATTGAAATACGTCAGGGATGTTGAAGCCCGGTTTAGAGAAGTCCGATTCGGTTCCAGCATGTTACTGGATCATAGTCCAGGGAGGTACGAAGATGCTCTCCGACGACTTACATTAGGCGTTGTAGATGTTTGAAGTATCATTCTTGGAACGACAGTCATTTAGATATCCCCTTTTATTAGCGCGTAGATACCTGCCACGATAAAGATTGATCATGTAGATAGATGAAACATTACGTCCCAAAGACGAATAGTATAGAAACATATTATGACAGTTAGATAGACCTATTATTTAATGCGATAATGTGTAACATTCAACACTTCTGTCAATAACATGTGTTGATCAAATTCATATTGGGTCACATAGAACACTAACAAGTTACCTATCTCAGACTAAACTCTTAATATTCATCCATCCGAGAATAGTATGAGTTGAAGCCGCATGTCGTATTTGGGAAGTGGAACGGAGCTAAGGCAGACGGCGGGCGGTTAAATAGGGATAAATTCAGGGGTTCCGAACACCCATTCTACCGGGACCAGAGAAGAAAGATCACCCTTACCACCAGTGAACACACCGCATGCGAGGGTACAATACAAATCGCGTGATGGCTATGAGCTATTAGGAGGATGAGAAATAAGAAAGACTTGAATTCCTCTAATTTTAATATGTATATTGGTTTTATCTCGAATTAAAAAGTTACGTCGTGTGCCCATGAATTTACCCCAACATTGAACCCCTCAACACCAAGGAACCCCACCTCACGATCCCCTCACTCCGCTTATAAGTCGTACCAGAACAATTCCAATTCCAATTCCGATTCAATAAATTTAAATCAGCATTCAGATTTTGTTAAAAATTTTGAACATTTACAGATCAACTCGAAATGTCGCCACCGCTCATAACACACCTGTACACCGCGGACCCGTCGGCCCACGTCTTCGACGGCAAGCTATACATCTACCCGTCGCACGACCGCGAGACAGACATCCACTTCAACGACAACGGCGACCAATATGACATGGTCGACTACCACGTCTTCTCGCTCGACTCCCTCGACGCCTACGCATCCCCCGAATCCACATCCGCGGTCCCTCCAAAAGTAACCGACCACGGCGTCGTCCTCAGCGCCGCCGACGTCCCCTGGGTAAGCCGCCAGCTCTGGGCCCCCGACGCCGCGCGTCGCAAGGGGAAATACTACCTCTACTTCCCGGCGCGTGACAAGGAGTCTGTATTTCGGATCGGCGTAGCTGTAGGCAACACGCCCATCGGCCCGTTTACCCCGGACCCGGAGCCCATCCCCGGCAGCTTCAGCATCGACCCCGCGTCCTTTGTCGACGACGACGCTGACGAGAGCGCGTACCTGTATTTTGGGGGCCTGTGGGGCGGACAGCTGCAATGCTACCAGCGGGGTAACACACCCGCGCACTACGACGCGACATGGCTAGGCGCGCAAGAGCCGTCTGGACCAGATGCTACGGCGCTGTTCCCGAAAGTGGCGAAGCTGAGCGACGACATGCGCGGGTTCGAGGGCCCGGTGCGAGATCTGGTGATTCTGGCTCCGGAGACGGGAGAGCCGATTAAAGCGGACGATCACGAGCGCAGGTTCTTCGAGGCGGCGTGGATGCATAAGAGGGGGGAGACGTACTATTTTAGCTACTCGACTGGCGATACGCATTTCCTGGCGTACGCGATGGGGACGAGTCCGTTTGGACCGTTTACGTATGCGGGGAGGATCCTGGAGCCGGTGTTGGGGTGGACGACGCATCATTCTATTGTGGAGTTTCAGGGAAGGTGGTGGTTGTTTCATCATGATTGTGAGTTGAGTAAGGGGGTTAATCATCTTAGGTCTGTGAAGGTGAAGGAGATTTTTTATGATGCGCAGGGCAGGATTGTGGGGGAGAAACCTGGGGAATAAGGGTGGATGAGGGTGGCTTCTGAGGTTGGTTATGGCGACGGTGTGATTTGATGGGCGGCTGGTGTTTAATATCGAGTTGCTTGGCCTTTGATTATTGAATAGGTAGAGTCGCGTTGTGCCATGGACGACGTCGAATTGCCGTGTTGACTGTATCAAGATTTCCCAGGATTTCCATATTAAATTGTACCAAGCCGTACCTAGGACTAATTTTTACAGCGTTCATCGTATTATCCTACCACTGTTATTGGCAACGTTAATAGTATCTTCATAATAGCGATAGCTCTATTAGTACCTGTGCCATGGAAGTACAATCTTCCACGATATGAGGACGGGGATAGAGTCTGTTCATCACACGGCAGAAGCAGCTACTTACCCCATGGGGTTGATCTACTCGATCCCCTTATGACGTTACACCTGATCTACCGATATTAAAAGAGGCGTCTATTTTCAGGGGAAGGTAAATACCGGAGAGTATCTCGATGAGGGGGACTTGACGATAATTTATCTCGAACCTTGTGTACCAATCACACTACCGGTGAGATAATGGACATTATGGATGTTATGAGTGTTACTCCAAGATATCTCTGCCGAATAGTAACAGGCTTTAACTTTATCTCATGACCTGCTGTGGTATGTATCAATGATCACAAGTCTTCCTAAAACTGGTGTATACCTTCCCGAGATCGTTATAGAAAAGAGAGAATGGTTCTTCATCTCCCATTTTGTATTCCATGCAGCCTGAACCTTATCACTCCTAGTTTTCCATCATGGCCACCAGAAATCGACTTAACGATGGCATCAAGGAGAACTGGAAGTGTGGTCTGATATGCATTGGCATGGCCTTTGCTATGGCTCAGTATGGGATCGATGTGACCGCTGTAGGAGCCTTTCAAAGCATGCCCGGCTTTCTAATGACCTTTGGATACCCTGATCCTCAACTGAAAGGGGGTTGGGGTATTTCAACTACTAATCAACAATTGATAACCTCGTTCTTGAACCTAGGGACTATCATTAGCGTTCTATTTATCACCCCTTTCAGTCGATACTTTGGTCGCAGACACGGAATATGGATGGGTTGTATCCTCTCCTTCGCCTCGTCCACCACTCAGATGGTATCGACCTCGATTCCCAGCCTGTGCGTTGGGAGAGCTCTTATGGGGGCATCGAACGCCTTCTTCCTAACCTTCTGCAATACGTACATCGTAGAATGTGCGCCGCCGAACCTACGCGCTATCTGCTCGGCTATGTTTGCCGTTACGATGAACATCGGAACCATTATCGGAGCCGTCGTCGACGAAAAGACTTCTCGCATGATGAACAAACTCTCTTACCAGATTCCGTTAGCTTGTCTATTCATATTTCCGGTTCTGCTGAGCATCTTTATGTTCTTCATCCCTGAGTCGCCTCGATGGCTGATGCTTCACGACCGTCGCGAGGAGGCGGAACGATCACTTGCATTTCTCCGTGATGATTCATTAGAGTCGAAGTTCATCCAGGAAGAAATTGTCGAGATCATCCGTGGCGTCGAGGAAGAGAAGTCGAATGCATCCTCGTCGAGCATCGTGGATATCTTCAAGGGTACAAACCTACGTCGCACACTCATATGTCTTTCTGTTGTCGTGTCAAGAGCATCGTCAGGCGTGTGGGTCTTCTTGTCTTACGGTGTAAGGTCCCTTATTCTCCGAACGTTACTCCCGCGGTATTGTCTAACGTGGACCTAAGTAGGGTGGACCATAAGCCCGTATCCGCCAACCCGCCAATTCAATTAATGTATTAAAATGTACACAGTATTAATAAGCAGTATATATGGAACTTACACTGTGCTCTATGGTTTACAAAGCGTTGCTAATGTTTAATAATAATATTTTCAATACCTAAGTAAATATATAAGTATTTATTATAAATAAGAATATTTTTTATTTTATAAAGTTTTTAATTTAATAAGTTAAATTAAGAAAACGACGCTAACTTTTATTATTAAATTTTACGGTTTATTAATAAAAAAAAAAATAAAGTAAAAATTATATAAATAAGTATTTATTAAATTTAAAGAAAAATATAATTTATTTTTACTTTTTATTAAATATATATTATATGTTACTTATTTTTTATTTTATTTTTTAGTTTTACGTTAATATTTAAATTTTATAATTTATTTATTTAATTAATCTTTTTATTTTAACGTTATATTTAAATAATTATTTAAAATTTAACGTAAATTAACGTTAATAAAATTAATCGTTTCGTTATAAAAAAAATTATAAACTTTTAAAAAAAAGGTAAGTTATTTAATTATTTATATTCGAATTTCCTTTTTTTTTTTAAATAAATATTATTAAGCATTAAAATTATAAAACTTTTTATTTTAAACATTTAATTTTTAAAGGATAATTAAAAGAAATTAATATTTATTATGTTAAATTTTTAACTTATTTTAAAGTAAATATATTTCATTTTAATAATGGGTTTTATTTAAATGTAAAATATAATAATATTTAAAAAAACTTATAAATATAATAATATTTAAATAAAAATCGAATAATTTTTATTAATTATTATTTATATTTTTATTATTTAAATCTTTAATATTATTTTCCTCGCGATTAATATTTAATCCTTAAGAAAAATTACTTATTAATTTAACGTGTTTAATTTAATTTTTTCTTTTTATTAAATAAAATAATAATAATAATAATAATTAATATTAACGTTAAAAAACCGTTACTTATATAATTATTTTAAAACTTTATTAAAAGTATATTAAACGTATTAAGTTAAGTTTTACATTTTATACTTAAATATAAAATTTTTATAATTTATTTAATAATTTATATTTTTAAATGTACGTTATAATAATTTATGTTATATTTTCCTTACCGGAAAACGGAAAAAAAAAAAAACGTAAAAAAAATAATATTATTAATAAAATTAAACACGTATTTACTTAATAAAAGCTACGTTAAATATAAATTTAATTATTTTAAAATATTATTATTAATATATAATATCGTTTTTTAAGTTTATTAAAAATATTATTTTTTATATTTTTATAACCTTTTCGTAATAATAATAATAATAATAATAAAAATTATAATAATTAACTTTATTACGAAACGAAATTAAAAAATTAAAAAATAATAACGTTATTACGCGAAAAATTTTTAATTACTTTTTTTATAAAAAATACGGTATATATATAAGTGAAGTTTTTTATTTATTCTATTTTTAAAATTAATTATAAATAAAACTTTTACGAGGATTTTACGAGCTTAATTTTAATCTTATAAACTTTTAATTATTAATTTAGAAAAAAATTAATATTTAATAAACCTTTTTTACGCTTAAAATCTTACTTTTAAATAATAATTTAAGTTTACGTTTTTTTAACTTTAAATATTCTTTAATGAAATAAATAACTTTTAAATATTTATAATAAAGGTTAATATAAAAGTTTAAAATAATATTTTAAAATTAATATAATAATTTTTTAAAGTTTTAAAGTTTATAATTTTCCTTTTTTTTTTTCGAAAGGGATTTTACGTTTTTATTTAATAATAATTTATTTAATAAACGTTAAAGTTACATTAAGTTTTAAGCGCTTAATAATTTCGTGTTAATTTTAATGCATGACTTTTTTATATATTAACATGTCCTTTTAATTAATTATATTTTTAATAATATAATATATAATTATTTAATAATATTTATTTTAATATTAACGATATTTAACATTAATTTTCATGTAATAATATATAATTATTTAATAAATAAATTATTATAAATGAATATTATAATTTATTTTTTTAAATAATAATTATTTATTATTATATATTAAAATTATATATACACATTCATTTAATAAATAAATTAAATTTAATATAAATATTAAAAAGTTAATTATATTAAAAATATACGCATTATTATTTATTTTATTTTATATTATTTAAATCACGAAGCGAAATTAAAGAACTTAAAAATAATAACGTTATTACGTAAAAAGCTTTTAATTATTTTTATTATAAAAAATATAATATATATATAAACGAAGTTTTTTATTTATTTTATCCTTAAAATTAAAAATTAACGAAACTTTTACGAACTTAACGGAAATTTTATAAATTAAATTTTAATTTTATAAATACTTAACTATTAATTTTCTTTTTAATTAAACGTAAAATAATTTTTATAAATAAAAATATAATAAAAAAAATAATAAAATAAATAAATATTTAATAAATATATAATTTTTATAACCGTATTTAATAATGTAAAGTTATAATATTTTTTTAATTAATTAAAACCGAATTTTTATAAAAGTTTTATTATTTTAATAATGTAGTTTAAATTCGAATGCGTGTTTTTTAATTAATCGAAATATTTATCGATAAACCTCCGCATTTTTAAAATTAAGCTTAAATAATTAAGTATATAAATATTATTTACGTTATATAAAACCGGAAAAACGCCGGTAAAACGTATATATATTATTTTATATATATTAAGTAAAAAATTAAATATCGTAATTTAAGTTTTTAAACTTAATTTTAAAATTTATATTTTTTCGTAATGTTAAATTTTTAATTAATTATTTCATATTTAAAATATTTTTAAAAGTTTAATAATTAAAATAGTTTAATTATTTTTATAACGCATTTTTAAATAAGTTTAATTATATTAAAATTAATGGGGGATTAAATCGAAGTTTTACGATTAAAATTAAATTAAACTAAAATTAATTTAAATCGATTAAAATAATAATTAATTTTTAACTTTAAATATTATAATTAAATAAAAGTTTAAAAGTTAAAAAAAAAAATAATATATAATTTAAATTAAACGTTTTCGATTAAATTAAATTAAAAAAATTAAAACGTTAAATTAATTAAGTTATAAATAATTGAAATTAATTAAATATATAATAAAATTTTAATATAATTTAAAACGCGTTCGAATTAACGTTAAATTTTTTTTTAATATAACGCGCGTATTAATTAAAATTATATAACGCGAATAATATTAATTATAAATGTTTTAATATTTAACCATTTATTCCTTTTAATTTTTAATAAATATGTAAAATTTACATTATTTTTAAAAAAAAAAAAAAGAATTTTACATTATGCGAAATAATTTATTTAGTTTAGTTTAATTTAATTTATAATAATATGTTTTATTATATTATTATTAATTCGTAACATTATTTATAATATTTAAAATAAAAGTCGAAAATGTTTATATAATAAT